GATTATATATTACATTTCAACCAAACCATTTGTATGAATATATATGGGTGCAATAATCGTAAGTCTTGGCTAATAATTGTTTACATCATTGCTTTCAGTATTATTTATTCTTTAGCTAAGTGGTAGAAGGAAAGGAAATCTTACATGTTTTGTGCGGATAGAAACCATAGAGTCCACACAATTTTGGTAGCAATAACATTCGGCCATAATTCTTTTGTTCGTCTCCTTCTCTGTCCGGTATAATTTAATAAAGTAGTCTAGAAGAAGAAAAATAATAAGTAGAACAAAAAACAAATAAAAAAAAAAAAATAAAATAGTTAATTTAACATTAAATATATATTTATTATTTAAAAAAAGTTTACGTCTACCCTTATGCTGTCCCAAGCAATTTTTAAGCGTCTTATAATCGCACACAGGTTTCGGATGAGAAACTTTGTAGAAAAGAAAAAGAAATGTATTTGAATTAAAAGACGTTCTGCTGTTCCCAATTACCGCTCTTCGCATAAAAATGTGGTATGCACTTGCAAACTTTGAAAACCAGACTCAAGCGGCATTCCTGTTGACAAAGGTTGCGTGTAAATATCGGAAAGTGAGTTAAATTGCTCTCATGCTGGAAGCGACATTTGCGCCGCTTAATATCCGCACCGAATTCAAATTTATCTTCTGTAACGATTTCCATGCTTGTGACTCGTAATTGCAGCGACTCACCGGTATAACCTAAATTCTGATCGGCTTTCATCACATCAAAAGGGCTGTGCAGGAAAACCTTTAAAATATAATATCTTGCACACACAATCTCTCTCTCTCTCTCTCTCTCTTTATATCTAGTTAACGGTTATTCTCGTATTTACATTTATTGGTGACATGTCAAAGCCTAAGACATTATAGTTGACGTCATTCTCAAAATAACTGCATTTTTTCACGGATATGTGAGATGGCGACGTCTGTATGTCCTTATCCGGTAATTTGCCTTCCACCATGTATCGTGAGCTGTATTTGTCAGATAACATTGAGTTTGTCATATAGCATAGACCATATTCGGTGAGAATTTGCCTTGTTCCTATAATGAATTCTCCAGAGATGGTGTGTATCTTATCCATGAAACTAGGTATATCGGCTACAAAGCGGAGGGTGTTATCCCCAGTTAAATTATAAATTAATTGCATATAATTTTCGGGCTTGATTTGCAAACGATCTAACAAGCGATCAATCTCAACATTGCCTACTAGATAATCAATGTTGCTGTAAGTGGTGTTAGCCAAAGTTTCTAAAAAATTGAATAAGATCTTTGCGTCGGAATCGCTGATGTTTTCTCGGCTATAAAGAAAAAAACGTCAAAATGATAACAATTACCTATGGAAAATTTAGTTTAGTTTAACATATTTTAGCAAAACTTAAATAAAAACGCTTGACCAAAACGTTATTATATTATTATTATTATTATTGTTATCAATTTAGCCAGAGAATAAATTCAAAGACTAACGTCTTCAATCACTAACATTTAAGGCTATCCGGCTCTATTAAGAACTCTACCGCATTTGAGATTTGAACCTTCGAATTGGTAGTCGAGAGTCTTTGCTTAGTCGGCCACGCAGGCGGATAATTGATCCAAAATAATGTTTGTTATCGTTGTAAAGTCCCTTTTTAACTCTCTTAAAGTTTCCCTACGAACACCTTCCACGTATGTATATACTAGCACTACTTGTGCTAAGGGCATATTAAGCTTGTGCGGACATCTGTAACGTCTAGAATGACTTGAAATGGACCCATGTTTGGAATGATTCGAGTCTCTTTGCTTACGCGCCCCTTTGGTATCTGTCTACTAGCAAAATTTTGTTCAACCGAAAATTTTTAATACATTTTGACAAACTTTGTTACGTCATTATGTTCAAATCCTAATACATATTCTATGTTTTGAACAAGCTGCTGAATAAGGAAAATTTACTTGAGATGGGGTTATTTTTCAATCCCTCTCATACAAACAGGAAGCTTTTATATGATAAAAACATGAAAATCTCTAGTACTTTATGATAAAAAAAAGTGGATCAAGCAATGCTTTGACATGCTCATTTACTGTGAGAAGAGTATCCATTAAAAGTCACATTCTATTTTATATCCTTAAATCAGGGTAGATGTAATAGAAAGCGTTTGACATCAAATGGACGCCAACTGTTACAAAAGTCAATCAATCAATCGGTCAATTAACACTTTGAACTAATTTGTATCGGTTTGCTCGACATGAATACTTACCGAGTATAGTTATCAAACAGTTTTCTATTTAGTCGAACCAATGGGCAAATCGTTACACTTGGCATTGTTGTATTCCAATAATAGTAATTCCGCTCCAACCCAACAACAGTACTTTTGGTGTAATATTTATCAACTGATTGCAAACCAATTGTAATCGAAAAATACATCGATATCGTTACAAGAAGGAGCCACATAAATCTAGAATAACACGCTTGATTTGTGAAAAATTCTTATCGTTAAAGTTAGGTCGTGTGATTGTAAATAATTTCTTGTGCGCGCATTGAAAGGGTGATTGCGGTTGTTAATTACACCGTATACTGATAGTGGATCTTTGCAGGAAGCACCTAACACCTGTCTGTTTTTTTGTGTGTCCGGTGTGTTCGTCCCTGTAATCTTCTTTGAGATATGATAGAAAGACATGCTTTGGCAGAGAGATGAACTTCCGATGAAAGTGGATTGTGTCAAACTATTTTTGCAATTTTCTATTTTAAAAAAGGCGTTACGTAGAAATTACTGTTTGGTCAAATCAAAAAAAAAAAAAAAAAAAAAAAAAAACAAGTAAGAAAGTTATATTCGGCCGGGGCCGAATCTCGCACACCCTCCACTATGTTTTTCGCTTTCGACTCTCCAAGTTCTTTAATTTGATACCCATATCGCTGGTATTATTAAGAAAAAATTAATCGCGGCGTCTACCATATTCATTTTAAAATTAACCCATTTGTAGGCAGATAATTTATCTTCATTTGAAGAACGTACAAAATAATATTAAAAATTCTGTCTTATTTGCCTTATGATAAATAAGCATAAAAATTCAAAAATGTAAAAATAATAATAGTTAATTACTGATAACTTTGTGTGGGCATGGCCGATTTTTTCCATTTCGGGATGTAAAGAGTAGAGTGTTTCGTAAAGTAAATTTTAGCCTTCTAACTTTAACCATTTCCGAGTAACGATCAAAAATTCAAAAATTTTTGCGAAAAAAAACTGAGTTGCGTTCAGTTTACGCTCTACTGCGCGCTTCTGCTCTGACTAAGTTGGCCAATCTGCTCGCAGGCACTTCCAATCTGCCTTCCAAATTTGAAATTGATATCTTAATTTTTGCGAAGAAGAGAGTGCCAACAACTCACACCACACAGATGGACAGACATAACTAAATCAACTCAGAATTTCACGCTGATCAAGAATATATGTATACTTTATAGGGCCTCTAAAGCTTCCTTTTGGGTGTTACGTATACATTGCAAAAAACACGAAATGAGTATATCCCCACCTTATAGTGGTGGGTATAGAAGAGAAAAACTACATAGATGGAATAATTTTGTCATTCGCCATCGAATTTACGGCTAAGAATATGGATGATCTTATGTTTTCAGGAAAACGTAAGCATCCGAACTGTCGTTTCCATGGCAGTTACGTTCAAAATTTTTTTACATCTTTGGGCTTTCATATGTTCTCCGTGCCGATTATTGGACCTCAATGACATAGTGAAACGCCATTTAGTGCAAAAAGAAACGCGAACGTTTTTTCATTCCTTTAACTAATGAAGTCTCACGTTTATGTATATACTCTAGTGTTAAGAAAGTTGTCACGCCAAATCCTACAATCTTCTTCTTCTTATGTCATTCAGCAAATCAACAGTGGAAGATTCGCTATACTGCAATCTATACTCTTAGTGTTATAGCTCATTGACTGGCTGCATAGTCATGACCAAAGGCATTTTCTTACTTTTCAATTGATGTCAGTTCCGATTTCGCAACATATTTGACGCCATGTATAGTGGATTCATTTAAAAAGCCCGTTAAAAATGCATTAACAGTTTGGATAATTTTTTTTAATTTTGTTGAAACTTTCAATGCACTTGACTCTTTACAATTTGTTGGAGAAAGTTTCCTTTGTGGCAATGGTGGTGACAATAATCCAAACATTTTTATTATAGACGACTTTGATTGTTTTTTATGCTCGATTTTGCATTTCAGTGTAATAAACGTCCTTTAGAACCTTTCTTGGAATAATAATTTTCACTAATGAATAATCGTACAGAAGCGAAGTTAAGTAAGAAATCTAGAAGAAGAAACATATTTAAAGTCTTTAAATTTAAAATTTACTGAAATGATTTTGTTCGTGAAATTTTAACCATTGCTTACTTAATGCAATAGAGATAGTTAACCTACACGTCGCTGTTAACGGCCTGTTGGACAGCAAGCAACTCTTCTCTGCACAAAATCAAGTATTGCTTTGTTTGTTCAAAAATTCTCTGATTAAATACACTGTTGAGAATTGCCTTTGCATACTGCACGGAACCCTATTTATATGTTTAACATTTTGAAAATTACAGAAACACATCTGCACACACACAGTAATGTGGTGTTAATGCGTTAACGGTCGGAAATTCGTAGGACATTTGACATGAATACACTAAATTTAATTGAAAACAATAATTATGACATGAAATATTAACGAGCAATTTCACCTTTGTTAAGTTGTTAAAGCTAAAACTCTAAACACGAAATGCTCTCAAGATTTGAATAAATTTTTTTTTTTTTTTTACATTATTGTTTGTTAATTAATTTAGCATGTAATATTTCACATTTAAAATGAAATACAACATGTTTTGAAGTTTTGTAAATTTGTTGCCGTCATAGCCCCCAACCCAAAAAGCCCGAGCTAAAGTACAGAAAAGAGCGAAAAATTCAAAATATGGTTATCAAGGTCTATTCGCGTAATCTGGAGTTAAGCAAGTTGAAAGAGTTGCTTAGAGAGAAGTTACATTTCAGAATAAAGTGCCGCGACGTTTATCTGAAAGCATATCGCAAAAGTTTGAAGTTTCGACCCTCTATGACTGGATCGCCAAACAATGAATTTCGATAATCCTCACTTAAGGATGAGAGGTATATTCTTTTAGTCGAAACGTTTGCAACGCCAAAAAGGAAGCATCAGAGAGAAGTATATATATTTTTGATCAGCATCGAATTCTAAATCGATTTAAGCATTTGTCCGTCCGTCTGTCTGCGTAATATCTGTTGTAAACATTCTCCTGGCCACAAAAATTAAACTATCGATTTCAAGTTTGTCGGAAGTAATGAGAGTTCTTGCACGCATGGCGGCATTGAAAATGATTGAAATCAATCGAAGTACACGCTTACAGTACTGCGTCAAGTCGGGAAACACCTGTTTTTCAAAAGTTATAAAAAAAGTTACCCGTAAAGCATAGCAGACAAATGTACAAAAATTTGAACACACATTCAATGGTCGATGATGTAGTACCTGTACCTCTGGTATCTTTTTTTTCACAATCTTTATAACGCGCAGAAACTGCATAAAGTATAAAAATTCTTGGTTAGTTGCAAACTTGGAATGCGCCTAGATATGTTCGTCTGTTTATTTGTCCATCTGTCCGCTTGCCCGACAATGCAGTATCTGTGGTAAATATTTCTCGTTAGCAAAAATAGCAAAAGAATTTACAAGTGACCTAAATTTTTCGAGATTTCTTTCAAAGATAGAAAACATCAGCCGTTCCCAGTCCATGTTATAGACCATTGAAATTTTGTTCTTTTTTTTCTTTTGCCTTTTTGTTGGGATAAACGGTGATGGGCATAAAAGGTTCGTTCCCGACCGATATAATTTTCTTTCTTTGTTTTCTTTATGTTTATTAGATAAATTTAATAAATGAATTTTTGTGAAAGCTATAAACTATTAAAAGGAAATATTTGATAAGAACTCTCTATAAAGTACGCGTTCTTTATGATTTACATCTCAACTCAGCAGCTGCGTCGCCTACAGCAATTTGGTATTATTTTGTTCATAGGAGCTGCGGTGACATTTGCCTAAATTATCGATATGCGTTGCAAAGTATGCTTAACGGTTTCTTCATCTTACCGATCCCACATTTTTAGCAGTTACAAGAAACAAGAAAGAAAAAAAACATATATTTGAAAGTATATATATAGGTATATACTTTTATGCCCGTCACCGTTCGCCCCAAAGAAAGACAAAAGAAGTAAGAGAACAAAATTTCCATGTTCTATAGCATGGAGTGGGATATATATACATATAATATATATATATTTATATATATATATAAATGACTCGGAGAACTGTTACTCACCGGCCATACACGAATTGAATACATTAAATGAAAGTTTGATAATGACAGAGAACTCATTGGACGGAAGCCATTCCTCGGTGAAATCTGACATAACCACTACATGGTCGCCAGCACTTTCATCTACCCAATGTCATAAAAAAAAAAAAAATAAAACCCAAAATGACAATGAAAAGCTGAACGGGTTGTATTTTATATTCTAGTGAAGTACGAAAGGGTGAGTTTGTAACTTTTGTCTATACTAAAAAGCAACTAATGAAGAATATTTTTTAGAGGCATATGCACTGCTAAACCGGATGAATGGTAAAACTTACTCGATCGAGCTTCTCGAATCAATGAAGACTCTGCTGCTAGATGTGAGCTTGATGAGTCACCTAATTGCTCAAGCCCGAGGCTTAATGAGTGCTTATGGGAGAAATGTGACTATCAGATGACTGAAGATTCTATTCGTAGTGTACAACGCAAGCTAATGATTCAGAATACATGTTCTTGCGGCGCAATTGCATTCAGAAAAGAAGGAATTGCGCTTCGTACAAGTAAATGGCTCCGGATGTGTTGCTAATAACATACACACTTCCATGCACTTTCCACAACACAGTCCTATTCATTGTGGGTAGTTTCTCGATTGTGACATTAATTTTTAAGTATATTTAATTTACTCAAACAATATTGTGTCTGTTGTAATGAGAAGTAAGGTATAAGATCGACAAAACAGTATAACACAACTGTTGAGTTAAATTGTAAATCGTAATAGATCTCATAATTATAATAAACTACTAATATGTCGGGGAAAACATTAACTTAAAAGGTTTATGAAAGTAATTAAAACAAAGAAAGAACAGCAATTCTGCTGCCTGACGTGAAAGAAAGAATTTCGGGCGCTTGTACTTTTAGCACAGTTGACAAGGTCTTCGTGAGTAACATAAGAGAGACCTAAGTCTTTTGCTCCTCTTCAACGTATTCTCGGCTGTTTTTTTTTTTTTTTTTTTTAATTTTAATACCAGTTTTCATGCACTTTTTGTAATGAAATAAATTGACATAAAGAACTTATTTTATTCATTGCTTATGCCCACCAATGAGACAGCGAGTGTATGCAAATTTATAGGAAAGGAAGCGGCAAATGAATTGCGTTAATGATAAATGTTGCTGTTTTAAGTTTTCCACGTTTTTTTCATTTTAATGAATTGCATCCATTACGAATATAAACAATAAATTTAAAGTCAATTCGTTGGAAAAAGTAAAGGGCTAAATGTGAGTAAGAATAAAGTGTTTGTATACATAAAAAAGTTGAATGCAATTGCGAAACCCGTATATCATAAGAAGACAGAACACTGCTTCACTAACAGAGCGGTTGAAAGATATATCATCTACAAAATTTGCGATGTTCGTACATATCAAGGTGAATACGAACAAATTCTTCCACGACAGAGTATACGAAATTAATTGGCCAGCATTTGCTTTGCGTAATAAAATTCTAAATCCAAGATGAGAATAGAAAATACAAACATTTCACTTAATATATATGAAATTCTCTCTTGCAAATATGCTAACAAACTGTAGCCCATCGCTCAAGGTCTTGCCGTTGCGTTCACGTTATCATCCAATGAAGATATATTTTTCCCAAGTTTTTTATTTATTGATAATTATTTGAAATTTTCGGAAAAAATCGACACATTTCCTTTACTTTTCCATTATTCACTTATTATCATGTTTATATATAAAAAATGAGAAAAATACGGATGATATTTCTTTAACATTCTCTTTATTTCTAATAATAATAAACCTATTCACTGTGCAAAGCAGTAATAAAGAAAAAAACTCGCAACACTGCCTTTGTCATATTGTTGATACAGTTGTTGATAAGTCAAAAGCCCGTATCCACGCGTCCATTCAATAAGTAATGTAATATCAATTCTTTCTCACTTGGCGAGTACATTGTCGGATGAAAGCCGCTTAATTTAGTTTTTAAAATTTGAAAACAGTGGAAGCTATCACATCGCCGACAAGAAAAGAAACTCAACTTATAATCCGTCTAAGGCTCCCCAGCATCACACGACTAACGGACTCAATTATTATGTTTCGCTGGTTTTACGTTTTAGTTTGAAAAGGTCGACATAAAGAATTCTAAACAAACATAACTTTTACCAGTTAATCTCCACCTGTAGTAGAAAACCCAAGCGATTTTCCTTTAGAATTTTACGTTCAAATATTCAATTGCCGAGACGATTGCACGCTTTGTCTCGGCGAAGATACGGAATGTGACTCATAAATAAATAATCACCATGGCATGATGGCAATCGATATTAAATCCTCTGGTCAGTCCTTGGTCGACGAACAAACAAACAGGTTCCAAAAGTGGACTAATTTGCCCAAATGTAGCCCTTTACTTGCATTATGTGGCTAAAACTTTGAAAATTGTTTCTCTCTTCGATAAAATTATTCGGGTAGTGCGTGAAAACCGATTTAGTTTTAGTACTACACAGTTGGGAAATGTGGACAGACGAACAGACAGGGTATATATAGGTGCATTTTGAATTTGAAGTTTATATACTTTATACAGCTTTTGAAGCTTGCTTCTACACGTTATAAAGATTGTGAAAAAATCATACCGCAGATCTAGCATCGATCATAGAATGTGTGTTCAAATTTTTGTATATTTATCTTCTATACTTTACGGGTAACGAGCAAAAAATCAATTTTTTATTAGCTTTGAAAAACAGACACAGTGCTGTAGGCGTCTCCTTCTATCCATTTTCAATCGCAATCTGCGCGCAAGACCTTCCAATGTTTCGGCCAAATTTGAAGTCAATAGCTTACAACAGACATTGCATGGACGGACAGCCGGACAAACGCGTAAATCGATTGAGAATTTGATGCTGATCAAGAATATTTATACTATGTGGGGTCGCTGAAGCTTCCTTCTGGGCGTTGCAAAGATTTTGACAGCAAGAATATATCCCTCATCCTCCGGCAATGGGTATTATAAAATGTGCTTTTAACCCGTACTGATTGCTTCCAAATCGCGTTGCCCAAACGAGATTGCTTCCGATCATCTTTCTTTTATTAATCTCATTGAAAAACCAAACAACAACAATGAATCGAGATGAAAGGAAATAGGAAAGTTGCAAGTACTTCGAGTTGAATATTATTATTTGCGTTTGCAGAAGTCTGCTATTGCTGCGGTGTTCTTCATCAATTCGTTCAATTCTAAAATTCATGTATTTTTTATATCCTTTTGAGTTCTCTTTTGAGCTCTCTTCTTCATGTTTTCATTATCTCTCTTATTGGTTAAATTTTGCTTCTAAGTCCTCTGCCCTTACTTATCTATACCATGCACCACTTGTGGCACAGGGCATGTTGAGCTTGTGCCCATATATTCTAGAAGAGGTTTTTCAATCACCTGCGCGCTGCGGCTTTGCGAAAGCCTTTATGAACATCGTCCCCTTATAATGGTTTAATTGATTCTCATTTATCAAGTTTTTAATTTTCTTTTTTTGCTTTTATTAATTTATTTGAAGGGTCTTACAGTTTGCAATGCTTCATCATTTCTCCTTGACAATTATTCCGCTTTTTTAGTGTACATATGTGTGACATTTAGCTTAAAGTGTACTAAAATAACCGGTTCATTAAATCAAAGTTTTTCAAAACACAAACACTCGACTTTAAGCTCTCTTAAAGCGTTCGCTCTCTTCTCCGATACGGCTTTGTGCTGAGTTTTCATAGCAAAAATACTTCAAAAGCTGGCCGTAAATACAAAGCATAACGAGAAATTACTTTATGCAGTCGTGTAATCTTTACAAGAGCTTGAAAGACAATTAATACAAATTCATGTTTAGTGTGCATGAAAATGAATGGAGTGGCTATAAGGTAAGTTATTCCATTCCAGATTTGGCCAGATTGCGTACACCACGATTGTGAATAACAATGAATATTTATGATTTGATTTCTTAGCTATTTTGTGTGTACAGAGGAAAGAAACGATAAAACGTGATTAAAAATAAAACGAGTTAAGTCAGTTAGCGTTAAATATAAAACGTTACAATCTTTTTTTTTTTCTTTTTCTTTCATACCGACAATCAGAGTATGGGGATATACTAATTTTGATACTCTGTTTGTGACGTCGGTTAACCGTACCGCTATTGGGAAAGTCTTAAGAGTCTTTAGTTGTGTGTCCGTCTTTTTCCTTTCGAGTTTTATAAAAAAAATTCAACTCGACGCGAATGAAAAAGAAATATTAATTTACCTAGAACCATCCCCTTTTATAGATCGATTTAAGAAAATGATTGTTTTTGTATAAAAATTTTTTCTCAAATCTGCAACTATTCTGAATCGTATCCGAATAGAAATAGGAAAAGTTGTTCTGGAAAGAAGTTCAACACTTTTGTCATACCGAAGGATATATAAAATTCGCATCAAGGTGTTGAACATAATTCTCTTACTTATCCATATTTAACATGAAACTACCATCAGAGGTTTCTAGTCTTTAAAGTGAACGCAAGCGAGCAGTACAAAAATTTGCTGCTGAAAAAAGTCTAGAAAAAAGCAAAAGAAATAAAAAAAAAAAAAACCAGTATTCGATTAATCAATGGTCTGATATTAGGTGGGAGGTAGAACTTGACACTGGAAAAATTTAATAGAAAAACTTGGAATGAAAATAAGTTTCTTCTCAAAAAAAAAACAAAAGCGAAATAAAAATATATCTTTTATATACATATAAATAATATTTAAAAAAAAATTCAAAAACTTAAGAAAACGTAATTATTGAAAAAAATGAAAAAACATTAAAAATGAAATAAATAAAAATTAAAAATAAAAAAAAAGCGATTTTTCTTTTTTTTTTTCTATCATATATTATACGTTGTTCAACAGTTTTGTTTCCTTCTTATATTTCGACAGTAATTTAAATAGTTTTCATTAAAAAGAAGAAAAAAAAAAAGGAAAAATGGCGGTAATTAAATATCTCATACTGTATATGGCCATAGGTGAGTAGTAGAAGGAAGAAACAACAGTGGTTTAAATGTTAATTATCTAATAATTCTATTATAATAGCCGTTGACTTGCCTCGACGCTTTTAAAACTTTAAACCGGATATTCAAACCGATTATTTAGCAAAAGGTTAACTTTTTTTTTTATCAATCTTTGTTGTTGCAATTCAATAAAACAAGAATGTTGTTGTAGTTTTTTATTCATTCATTTATTTATTTACCTTTGCTAATTTTTTTTTGATGCAAATATAATAACAAAACGTTTTAGACAAAATTGTGTAAAAAATACCATTTAAAAAAAAAAAAGGGCAACTTTTTTGAAATTTCGTAGGCTATGTGTATTCGATTTTCGAATTTTTTTGAAATCGATTTTAAAAAAATATCTGCCCTTGAAACTTAAATAATTTTTCTTTGCTCGTACTACTAAAGCGAATAAAATCGTTTAAAAAGCTCTATTTTCCTGGAGTTTTTTATCTTTCTGAAATGCATGAAAAACGAAAGTGCAAGATAAGCGGTGTAATGTGGAGTTTGTGAACGTAAACCGGTATTAATTTTAGCATTCAATAAATACCATCAGCTAAAGTGAATGGAAATCTATTATTAAGTTTTTTCTTTTGTTTTTAATTGCGAACGTGTCACCAAGTCGCTTGCAATAACCGTGCAGCTTTGATGAAAATTTGCTCGAAATTCAAAAATGAGTTTCGTTCAGGCGAACATCTTAAAACCGATCCGATTATTTTCCGGGTGCTACCCCTTCAGTTTCCAATGTTCTCAATTGCTTTTTATTTTGAGTTGAACTCCAAAAAAATTGCACTTCCAACGCAACAATATCCCTCTACCAATGGGCCATTGTTGCCTAAAAGATAATAGGTATTAATTAACATAAACTCCAATTACGGCCGGTGAACATAATGCATATATAACTTCCGCATACTTTGGAAAACAGCTTCACTTCGTTCAGCCGGATTTAGAGTTTTTTGTGTTCATTTTACAATTCATGGTCGACAACTTTATAATGTTTGTCATGCACTTAAGAACGTATGCGCATATTTGTATGCGCATATAAAACGACATAAAAAAGTAAAACCTCTAAATTGCATTAAAGCAAGTGCATGTGGTAGGAAAAGCTGACTGGATGTGTTCGAAAACACATTATGGTACACACGAAAACCGACGAAAACACACAATATGATATTAAAAAAATGCTTTTGAAGCAACCTTTTACTGCGCATGTGAATGGATACGATATTTGCATTTCTACAAACATACATATGTATATTTTTATACCCATCACCCAAGGATGAGGGGTACATTCATCCGTCAAAACGTTTGCAATACTCAGAAGGAAGGATCGGAGACCTCACGAATTATATATATATATATATATATATATATTCTTGATCAGCATCAAATTCTAAATCGATTTAAGCATGTCTGCTTGTGTGTCTGTCCGTCTGTGTAATGTCTGTTGTAAACATTCTCTTGACCGCCAAAATGAAGCTGTCGACTTCACATTTGGCAGAAACATTGAAAGTTCTTGCACACAGCTTGGTAGTGGAAGTGAACCAAATCGGTCAAAGGGTACGCCTACAGTAGTGCGTAAAGTGAGGAGACCTCTGCTTTTCAAAAGTAATGAAAAATTGGTTTTTTGCTCATTGCTTACCAACTATAGCAGATAAATGTACAAATATTTGAACGCATCTTCTATGGGCGCTGTTGTAGCGTTCATGTACAAAAATGGAAAAAATTGACCACGCCTACCCACTCAATACAATTAAGTATACAAATTCTTCGCCAGCTTCAAATTTGAAATGAACATAACCATGCCCGCCTGCTCTTCCGTCCATCTGACTGCTTGCGCAAATTTGTAGTATTTGTGGTAAGCATTCTCCCGTTAGGGAAAATGGAGATATCGCCCAAAAATTTGCAAAAGAATTTGGAATTGACATAAACTTTTCAAAGGACACGCCAACAACGCTCACATGCCTATGCGGTAAAATCTTTTATTGTGGAAAGAGAAGTAATCAGCTACGCCCTCTTCATATTATAGAGCATGAAAACTTTGTCCTTTTGTCTTTTTTATGATAACGGTGATGGATATAAAAGATTCGGTCCTGATCGAATTAGAACTTGTTTAATATGACAGCTTAGGAAATAGTAAAATACACATAATCACCGACGAAATTTAGAACCGATTAGATAACTAATCGATATGTGAATTTCAAGTGTTTTAAAATCCTAATTAAAGTTCTAAAGGCTTTACGATAATTTCACTTTCTCTAACTTTCCCCGGGTTGTTTCTATATGTAGGCAAATCACCAGAATAATATGGCCAAGAATTGATATACCTGCGTGGCGTCTTAGAGTTAAAAACATTTTAAAAATTAATGCAACTGAACGAAATTGTGGCATAAAATCATTTGATCATTTCTTGTTGTACTGGTTGTTATTATATTCCAAGGTTCCCTGAATTTTTGAAAAACAAATAGACATTAAAGCCGAGCAAAGCCGACTATTAAGTACTCTACATCGTGCAGATTATAAGACGGAGTGCTAGAAACGACATCTTGTTGCCATGTATTGGTAGACTTTTCATCGGGAAACTTGTAAGAGAGAGAGGGCCTTAAATGTAAAATGATTTTTTTATATATTCTCGTCATAGAGCACTGATAATAATTTGGCTTTGCTGCAGATAGTGACCTATCCTCATGACAATTCTTAAATAGAGCGCTTAAAGTCCAAAAAATAGGCCTAAGTGATTCGAATTCGCTACAGACGACTTCTATGTCAAATAAGTGCTACGAATCACTTTTCATTGCAAACTCTTAAAACATGTAAAATGTTCTGGCTAAACATGGAGACAAAGTTGTTTCTTCGAAATTTTTCATGATTAACTTGATTTTCGCCCCGTTGTAATGTTTCAATTTGCTTCTTGGAAGACTATGCGGAATAAATGACTATATCTGAGCAAAATCTTTTTACGATTTTCTCAGCAGGGGTTGAATACTTCCAACCACTTTTCACGCCTTAAGCATACTTCTCATATCAGGTATTACTCAAAAGTGTCAGTTTCAGATCCGTGCATCACTCAAATATCTAAACACGTATACAAGATATTAAGATTTTTTTTACATCAACTATTTTTCTGTTGAGGATTGAATTTCTTATCGTTGTCGATTCTTAAATTTTAAATAAATGAAGAAGAAGGGCTGAGTCCGCGCAATCACATTACACAGACATGCATTTATTGTGACAGGGTTGTATTACTTTGTCAAACTCTGTTGCTCGAATCTCTTTACCATCATCAATTTACTTACATGGTTCCAGTATTAACGGGATCTTCCTTCCCAAGTCTAATACTATTGTTTGTTGTTTCCAGTAAAGCAAAGAACTTTTCAAGATAACTGCAAGTTCAAGCGGATATCGTTTGGTTTGATTCAAAAATGTGTTCAACTTTGTTAGACCGACGCGTCTTAATGTAAATCGTAATGAGTAGAACAACGTGCTTAATATACTGCCCTCAGCATCGAGGTGGATGGAAATCATTGCCTTTCCATTTACATAAAATCACACTGCAACCTGGTTTTATAAAAAAAAGTGGTAATTGTTCACAAGTCGTCGTATGAATGCATTTAAACAAAATAATAGAAATTTCCTAAATTATTATTATTAGATTACGTCAGGTGTACGTTTGTTTAACCATTAGCCCAGGAACAAACTCCAGCCGGAATTAGCATGTAATGTGTGCATATTTGTGCGTTTAAATTGTTACATAAATAATAATAAAATTATACGAGATTCAATTTGTTGCTCTAAATATTTTAAACGTTTTTAAAATATTGTTAAATCAGACCGAAAATTTAATAAAACTGACAACAAAACTAAATTAAACATTTTTCCACCCTACACTACTCACTTATCCTAGAGGGTATATTAGTTTTATGGTAATGTATACAACACTCGCAACTTATCGACTCAGAAAACTAAAACGTCTGTCTGTCTGTTCATCTCTCCACTTATGCTTGCCCATGTATTTCTGTGTTCACTCTATAGAGCGTTCTTTTCATAAAATTTGTCACACCGACGTGTTGCAGCTCAACTGAAAATTGTTCGGATCGGATCACTTCTTCGAATATTTCCCATATAATGCCTTATTTTAAAATGTGAAGTTATTTGAAACAAGTAAGAAAATTATGTTCGATTGTGACCGACTACTTCATACCCTTCACCGTTATCCTAAGAAAGACAAAAAAGTCAAACAAATAAGGGCGCGGCTGATTTTTGCCATTTTCAAAATAAAAGTCTGCGTGTGTGGGCGTTGCTGGCGTGACCTTGAAAAAGTTTAAATCATTTTCTAATTCCGAATGCTACGGCATCAGCCATAGAATATGCGTACAAATTTTTTACATTAATTTGCTATAGTTTATGAGTAGTGAACATAATATCAAATTTGCATTCCTTTTGAAGAACAGAGGTGTCCTCACTGCAAGTAGTACTGTAGGCGTTTCCTTCGACCGATTTGGCCCGTTAATACCAATCTGCGTGCAAGAACTTCCAAGATCTCTACCAAATTTGAAGTCAATAGCTTCATTTTTGATGCCAGGAGAATGTTTACAGCCGACATTCCCTAGACGTACAGACGGACGTGCTTAAATCGATTTATAATGTGATGCTAGTCAAGCAGTTTCCTTCTGGCCGTTGCAAACGTTTTGACAAAGTGAATACACCCCAACCAGACAGATTGAAAGACAGGCTTTAGGAATACAATCCTTCGGTGATGGGATATTTAATGGTCGACCATGGAAGACCACAATATTTTTATTTGCGGAAAGCGATTTTCATTAGCATTTCCCCCAAAATTTATTTGAAATACAAAATAAAGGCTTTTCACTCTATGACTTCTTCCAGTAAACTCTTTCCAACTTCAAAAAGCTCAGCATAACAAGTAATTGATGCACTTTTCATTAGCAATTGCACCATGAAAAGCAATGAAAAGCAATGAAAAAAACTATCTACACTCACGAAAAAAACATTTTTTTCTTGCAAAAATGTAAAAGAATTGACGCAATGATTGTTAGTCTTCTTTCAATATTTCACTTCTTTACTGAAATCCTAGAGAGTGACAAGCAACTAAGTAAAATAAAAGTAGATCCGTGACGGAGAATAGAACACAAAACATGTAAACTGTGTACCACATTTTCAACAAGAAAAGAAAATAAAACCGTAACTCGTTGCAGTTAATTTAGGAATCTCGTTAAATGCATCTTTTATGCTCGAGCAAGCGTGGAAAGAATACGTTTACTGTTATTTCCATCACGTCTATTGTATCAATATTGTAGGTTATATGCATAAAAGAGAAGAATTGCTGGCGCATTACCGAATTGTGTTTAACTTATATGTGATTTGAATTTGTTTCTTTCCATATTCTTCAGGTTCTTCCGTTGCACAAAAATCCAGTATTCGTAAAGGTGCTGGTTATCCCACTGCTCAACGACATTTGCCGAAACGTCCCACTGAACCTCCGGAGCATGAAGATTACATACCAAATGAGAAATGCCCTCTATCGGATGGTTTCTTCCCCGATGAAGAACAATGTGATAAATATTATCATTGCGTGTAAGTAATTTTGCATATAGATGTATAACTGTAAACACATAAATAAAGCTGTATATGTGATATATGGCTGACAACACATAAATGAAGCCCACTAGCTAATAGGGCAAGTTAAAACGGTTCAACCGGGGGTAAGAATGCCCATTAAATGCCCCATGCTATTTTTATTAAGAAAATTCTTTACCTATATTACGTTAACTTGTTCCTACGTAAATGCTTACCATGCGAGAAAACTCTTGTATTTGATCGTCGGGTGTCAATTCGCTTTTCTCGATCGGCATAAAATTAGGGAGTATTGCCAATTAGAGAGTATACCCAAAGAAAGACAAGAATAAATTATGCCATGCCATCCAAGTTCACTTCATAAGTTAACGTACTAGTTGTACAGGCTCTTGTCAAGAAATTTGAAAAATGTAAAGTTTTTTTTACAATATTTTTTACAGCCACCACTGTAAGATGGGGGTTTACTCATTTTGTTTTTCTCCATAATGTATGTAACACCCGCAAAAAAGGCTTCAGAGACCCTATAAAGTATATATAGTCTTGAAATCCTGAGTTGATTTGGCCATGTCTGTCCGTCTGTGCGTCTGTGTGATTTGTGCTGTTGGCACTCTCCTCATTGCAAAAATGAAGATATCGGCTTCATATTTGGTAGAGAGACTGGAAGTTTCTGCATGCAGGTTGGTTTGGGCCAAACTGATCGAAGGCCACGCCCGCACTATGTAAACTGAAAATATCTTAATTTTTCAAAAAGCATAAGAATTGATACCAATTAGCGTGAAATTGTTTCAAACGTAAAAGTAAATATCTAAAGAATACGTGTCTACGCATAATGTGCAAGAAATATTCAATGAGTTTTAGAGGCAAAAGGTTTGAATAGTTGACGAGATTGGCCGCTTTCATCAAGTTCCGTCTAGGATCAACTAAAGCCTTGACTCTTTCGTAGACAACTCTTAATGTCAATTTTCGTAGTTTCTTTGCCTTATGACGCATAGTACATCTTTTTAAGAGTTAGGCATACGTTTCGATCATTAACAAAGAAGAAGAAGAAATTCATCGAAACGAACAATTTTTTTCTTCTAATACGTCACAAATGTACATTTGGACATCGATACAAATTTCAATTTTGAATCAATAATGCTTGATAATCGCATGTGTTCGATACGAATGTGAGCTGAAAACCAATTGTAAGCCATTTGTCAGAGTTTCGCTACATGCAAACAAATTAACATATGCCACAATTTAAAAGCAAAATCCCCAAGGCAATGTCTAGCGTAGTATATTTATAAGCATGTTTTCAAATGCAAAAATAAAAATGGAAAGCATTTAACACAATTTCCTGGGAGATGCTAAGTGCAAAGTAAAATCTCCCCGGGGAGTTCAATAATAAAGCATATATTACATAGGGTGTGAAATGATAATTTACGATTGAATTATTTTCTCGCCAACCTAACTAACTAAACGTTAAATGCATCTTCAAAACAATTTATAGCTTTGGTGTTTGTTGCTAATTACAGTGATGGCGTCCATACGGAAAAGTTATGTGCCGACGGTATGGTATTCAATGATTATGACTCGAACGAGGAAAAATGTGATTTACCCTACAATATTGATTGCACAAAGAGACACAAATTGCGTAAGTATACGCGGTAGTATGACAAACTGTTAAACGCACTCTGCGTGTATGTACATACATTTCGCTTTTCTTACTATTATTAAATAAGCTTTTCCTCCTTGGAATGTTAGATACACTTGCAAGTCCTGTTGGTAATGAGGCTAAGATAAGAAAGGATGCAATAAAAGTTGGAGAAAATATGAAAAACTTACATCCCTTGTAGTAAATGCATTTGGATTTTGACGCTTTTGGACATTTTCAAACTCTCGTAAAGAAGCAAGCAGCGTTAGGGATCTAACATCTCCTACTAATAACGCATTTTTTTAAAGCACAAAAACAATGGCTATCCTAGAGTTATTTCTTGTTTTTACTTTACTGGGAAACTTTTTCTCTGATAACTACCAAGCTACAGTTTTATATATACATATGTATTTGCAGTGATTTTAGAAATGTTTTCCATAGGAGCTGTTGCGAGTTATTGGTGCCAAAACATTAAAAACCAGATAGCCGAGCACATCGCTACTCTATTTATCCTTCTTTTCCTTCGGTTATACAATTTATAAGCACCTTATCTGCAAGCTCGGTTGATGTCACAAAATGTGTGAAGTGAAACACGTCGGCAGACCGCCGTCATCCTGATTAATCGTATGAGAATATCTTTTATCTTCTGGTTCCCCTTGCTAGCTTGAATTCTTTGGAAATTTCTATTCGAACCTGTGTGAAAATGGTTAGAGCGAAACAGGGGGAGAGAGAGCATTGATAGACAGTAAGGCAATGCTTCAATTATCGCAGTAACGAAAGAGATCTGTGAGATTTTTTAACACTGTTCCAAAAAATTCGCGCATCCCTTCATCAACAAAATATTGTTAATGAATTTCATGGGAAGCCTCTTCTATAGTTTTATTCATAACGTGAGAGTAAGCCGCTTCAATCGCTTTCTCAATTAGGTTGATTTAGAATCTTGGTTATGGTCCCTAACTTTTCTTGTCATCTTATACTATATTCATTTACCTTTTGTGGAAAACACTAAATTAGATTTAGGTACAACTTGCGAATATTCGGTCAATCCGAGTGCCAGATTTTTAGTAAGCGAAAATAACTTTAAGATATCACGCTTTCCATTTATTATAGTTTGCTTAACTCTTCGCGCTGCATAGCGAAAAAAACAAGTGAGAAATTTATATTCTATTATGACCGAATCTTTTATACTCATCACCATTATCCTGAAGAAGGCAAAAAAAAAATAAAAGAACTGAATTGGCATGCTCTAGAATATGGCGACTGACTTTTTCTATTTTCAAAATAAAAATTTGTGTCAAAGGGTGTCCTTTGAAAAATATAGGTCACTGACGAATCCTTTTGACAAATTTGTAGACGGTATCTTCATTTTCATTAACGGGAAATCCTTACCACAAATAGGGCATAGTCGGACAGACTGACTAGTGAACGGACGAACGGACGGTCATGTTTAGGTGCATTGAAAATTTGAAACTGGTCAAGAATTTGTATACTTTATGGGATTACACAAACGGACAGACACGTAGGCGGCCAGATGGACATGTTTAAGTCGATTTAGAATTTAATGCTGATCAAGAATATATATATATATATATATATATATGTATATAATTTATGAAGTCTCTGATGCTTTTTCCTGGGCGTTGCAAACGTTTTGACAAAACAAATACGCTGCTCATCCTTCGGTAATTAGTATAAATTAGTATAAAAATTCCTTCGGAGCTCAATTATTGAAACTGAAATTCTTTATATACAATTACTCCACAACGTTCTTGTGGGCGATTTGTTCTAACCTTTTTGTGTCTCTACGGCAATGTAGCCTTCTTTTTTACCTTTCTTGTTTTGCTGGTGCCTTTATTAAATTTTTTGTTAAATTTTTGGAGCCGAGTTTTATAATAAAAAAATTATTAAAACTGGTATTGAACTCTTTCTATAATTGTTTTGGTCGCTTACTTATCGAACTGGTCGCTAGGACCAAACTCGATATGGAATTTTGCATGTGTGTGCACTTGAATGATAGATGATAGAAAACATTTCTGTGAATATAACGAAAAATAGCTCTGACCCATTTTTCGCTTTACAATGAAATGGTTTGTTTTCTGCATACTAATTGAGTTGTGTGGTCAACCGGCAACCAAACCCATGCCAACATACACATATAGGCTTAAAAGGGTGTCATCGTTTACCACAGCACTCTCTTATGATGACGTCAGTGGTTTTATATTCAACTCTATTATCGTACGTATTAAGGCAAGAAACAAGTAACGCTTACGATATGTCGATAGTGGTTTGAGTGATATAGAAAAAAAAAGGCCAAACGGAAAATGGGAGGAAAATTTTAGGAAATATATAGAAAATATATATCTATTTCATCGAGTTAATTCGTACTTATATTCTTTGGCATTCGGGATAAGTAAAGCTAACTTTATCGATCATCTAATCATAACAAAGGATTGATATATCTCTTGAGTGACTACAATGAAGATAGAAAATTTTGTCTAGAAGAAACAGTAGATCTTGTTTATAAATTTATAATATATTATACATTATAATATATATATAACATACATATATGTGGTTTGAGCGTTAAACACTCTGTTTGCTGTAATTACTTTAAATCGTCTTTTCAAAAAAACTATCGAAACTTTCAGATTTCGATATCTTTATACGCGAAGTAAAATGACATAGTCTTTCCTTCTCTTTGCAGAACCTCCACAACCTAGCGAACACTGCCCGCGTAAAAATGGATACTTTGGTCATGAGAAAGCTGGCACTTGTGATAAATTCTATTATTGCGTTGATGGGCAATTCAATATGATCACCTGTCCAGTTGGCTTAGTTTTCAATCCTAAAACTGGAATTTGTACATGGCCCGATGAAGTGGGTGTTACCGGTTGCAAGTCTGAGGATATATTTGAATTTGAATGCCCTAAAGTGAACGAGACTGTGGCGGTCACTCATCCGCGCTATGCTGATCCGGAAGACTGCCAATTCTTCTACGTATGCGTTAATGGAGACATACCCCGCAGGAATGGCTGCAAATTGGGTCAAGTCTTTGATGATGAGAAAAAGCTATGTGAATGGGCTCGTAATGTGCCAGATTGGTAAAAACCCTTTAAAATATAGATATATAATAAAAAAGTGATAAAATAATTTATTTTTTAGTGCGGATTGGTATAAGGACCGTCTGACTGATGCTCAATTAGAGGAATTGGAAAATCCGAAGCCGAAGCAAGAAAAAAAACCTCAACGTATTCGTGGGGCATCAAAACGTAAACATGTTCGTGTAAATACTCAAGAAGAGGAGGAATAGGGGAAAAAGTAGCTTTAATTAGGTGAAAAATTAAAAGAGAAGACTGTATCTGTAAGTTTTGGTGGAGTATCAAGAAAATTTTAGAAATATTTTACTTACAATCACTGCAATGTTACGGCATTAAAATTTTTATAAATCAATTATCAAATTTTTTTCTGATCCATGATTGTTCTCAAATATAATATTATTATACATTTTCTAAAGACAAGATTACATAAACCTATAAGCGGTATTTATTATTTTGTTGAAATAAGTGAAAGGAATGGAAATAATACTTTCCAGGTGCACTGAGTATAGGAAAGAAGTTGTTAAGGACACCTACGCTTTCTTATGTTTTGCAAAACTTCGACGTGATCCAAAGTTTTCTTCAATCATACGAGATGGGTTTGGAGGCAGACAAAAGTTAGTGTGGAGAGTTGTTTCTATATTTTCCCCCTTTATAACAGCCGATTTCAAAAAAGTCACCAATATTGCGACTTGTACTGGTTGTTAATCTTGTAGCCAGTTGCATGATGCTGGTAATGCGACATGAACGTATAGTTGTTTTTGCTCTTCTTTAGAGTTTAGTTTCTTAGAAAACCGACAAATTTTCATGAAAACCCAAATCATGAAAAATGGCATTTTCGTAAAAATACAAAAAAATAGACTAGAATAGAAATCCTTGATATGCGAATATAAGGTAATATTTCTCTCAAACCCACCTACAGCACAAGATGCAGAGTAATTAAAATATGCCAATTGAGTCATTCGCAGGATTAACAATAACCAAACCAAAGAAGGAGAAAAGAAAACAAAATTAATTTGCACTTCGAACGCTTTTTTACTATGTTCATTTCATACAGATGGAAATTTATTTAATTAACGACACCAAATTATTGCTAATTGCTTTGAAATTTTGAATTAGCAAACGGGAATCTGTGATCTTTGTTGCAATATGGACATTTGCATAAAGCGCTTATCGATCAAATGTCAAAATACAGTGTCAATGCATGCGTTTGTATGTACATATGTGAGCATTTAGCTCGAATTGCTTTGCTGTAGTAAGCCATATAAAAAAATATTTTGAATGTTGAACGATGTAACCCATTCATTGTGTTGGGACTTAAAACAATTTACATTCCATTATTACATCACACGATGCTTAAGGAATTTGTAAAATAACTAGGTTTTGTTAAGTACATTAATGCAAGCGATGACTGCTGCAGATTTTCCATATACATATAAATTACGATATTTGACAGCATTGCCAAGCACAGCTGAAAAGCCATCTGTGTTTAGATAAAAATAAATTTCCTCAAGCTCAAGGTTGCATTAGTATTTTTTATACGCTAGTAATAACGTAAAGTACAAGACAATAAAAGTGTAAAAATCGTAATGTTAATTGTTGTGTTGTCAATTGTGACGTGATGCATTATTCATCCAACTCGTTAACAGCATCAAATTTCCTAACATATATAATAAAAATATCTAAAATTTCTGGATTACCGTAATAAAAACTTTTATGTATTTATTGGTGTTTTAGAATAAATGCTACGAATCTTCTATAAATTGCTTTTTTATTTTTTCCACTTTTCAATGGTTTCCGTTGTACATCAACGCTTTAAATAGACGCAAAAGAAAGAATTAATATAATGGTTATATAAACCTACTTTGAAATGTTGCAAATCGAAGATTAAAACGCAGACGTATAAAGTTTCTTCCTGAAATTGATTTGTAAAAATTGCAGAAAATAACAATTTATGCATTCTCTTGTATTTTAGGATAATAGCGCCGCTTTATTATTTTTTTGATAACAAGATAAAAGCTAAACTGTAAAGCTTTTACAGGAGCAATACTAACACGAATTAAAATTTTTTCGCAAATATTCTTTATCGTGATATATTTGGCTAAATAATCTTGATTACGTTCTGACTGAAGAGTGCCTTATTCGAATAGAATTTATTCACAATAATGAAATACAACTTCGCTTATATAGGCGCCATTTCTTTTGCGTATGATTGTAGTATCTTTGTTGTCAAATTAGCGGCATTTAAGTTTTGTTTGAACGGAAATTAATACTAAGGCATGCAAGTCTTCGCTCTTCAAGGGTAAAGAAAGAAAAGAGTAGAGTTTGTGAAAGTTCATAATAATTTGGAAAAATTAAATCGAGAGCATAAAATAATATAGAAAAATACGGTACGGCGGTTTTTTGTGATATTTTACATTCACAGAAGAAAAATAGGTACGAATATTTAACAAAGAAGAGGGGTTTCTCGATCTTTTTGTATCCTTGAGCTTTGTTAGTTGAGGTTATGCATTGTCTCGTTTTGTGTTATATATAATTCTGTTTGCGCGTTTCAGATTTTTTTCGATAGTAAAATGAACGCTGGACGACAAGGTTCTTACAAAAGTAACACCATCAACACGGACGTAAGTATTCCTAACAATTGAATTTCAATAATTTACATTCTTGCTAAAAATAATTATTAAGCAATTAATCATGGCTATCAAATTTTTTGTTAGGAATCTCGGTTGAGACGACATGAAATTACCGTGGAATTGCGGAAGTCTAAAAAGGAAGATCACTTGTTTAAACGGCGCAATATAAAGGAAGATGATTTAGTTTCACCGCTTAAGGAGCCTAATAGTCAATCGGCTACATCAATGTCTCTAGACGAAATTATTGTGGCTATGCGCAGTGAGGATCCTGGGAAGCAATTTGTTGGTATGCAAGGAGCTCGCAAGCTGTTGTCACGCGAGCGGAATCCCCCAATTGATTTAATGATTGGACAGGGGATTGTTCCAATTTGTATTCAGTTTTTGCAAAAAATGGACAAGTAAGCCTTTTGTTTGCGAATTATTTTAATAATTTCTCATTATATATCCAATTTTATTTACTCAGTCCTCTTTTACAATTCGAAGCCGCTTGGGCATTAACTAATATAGCATCCGGTAACAGCGACCAGACACGTTGTGTTATAGAAAACAATGCTGTTCCCCACTTTGTGACATTGTTGCAATCTGATAATATAAATTTGGCCGAACAATGCGTTTGGGCCTTGGGTAACATAGCTGGTGATGGCTCCGCTCCCCGCGACATTGTCTTACAAAACAATGTTGTTGCTGGTGTTTTGAAATTGATTGATAAGGACACGTCTTTGTCTCTGCTACGTAACATCGTATGGTTGATGTCTAATTTGTGCCGCAATAAGAATCCTACGCCTCCTTTTGAGGAAATTAAACGATTACTGCCCGTATTATCACAACTACTGTGCGGTACTGATGTACAAGTTTTAGCAGATGCTTGCTGGGCTTTGTCTTATGTGACCGATGATAATAATACCAAAATACAAGCAGTAGTAGATGTAGAGGCTGTGCCCCGTTTGGTGAACTTGTTGGGTGCCGAAGATCCTAGCATTATTATTCCTGCTTTACGCAGTGTTGGTAATATTGTTACTGGCACCGATCCGCAAGTAAGTGTAAATTTTAACTATTTTCTTCTTTTTATATAAGAATTGCCCTCTCCGAATGTTTATGGGAGAAACTTTGTCTGAACCGCAACTTAAGCGACGCTTTACGTCGTTTTATCATTTTAAAATGAAGGTAATGCACTTCGAACTGCATTGAATGCAAAAATGAGCGCTAAGATCTTTTAACTAAGGAAAATGGTTTAAATATAGTTCATTAAAACATTGCCTCGTAGGCCTGCGCAATTTCGAGCAAGGATTTTTCCTTTTGAGCATTATGCGCTCGCAAATAACTTTCATTTTCTCGATTAAACTCTATGAACATTGTCGTTTCATTTCATTTTATAATTTATTTAGACTGATGCTGTAATATCAGCAGGAGGATTAGCAAAATTAATGAATTTGCTTAAGCATCCAAAGCATAATATCGTTAAAGAAGCTGCATGGACCGTGTCCAACATTACTGCTGGAAATCAAGCACAAATACAAGCTGTTATTGAGTCAGGTAAGGAAATTTTCGTATCGCTTGGTAAAATTTTATGTAGATCTTTGAAAATTACTTTAAGCAGTCGCATGGATTTAGAACTACAGCAAATTTATTTCTTTTTTTTTTTTTGCTTCTATATAATAAGGAATTAGTAAGAATAATTAACGATGCAATATTTCAAGTACGTTTTGCAAAATTTTTAAATGCGTAACATTGTGTTTGGCAAGGATGTATAAAATAAAGTACGATTTTCAATGAAATTTGCATTATGTACTACGCTACAAAATATGTTTGTCATCAAATAAGAAATCCTGTCTTCAAGGATTATTTTAGAAGATGCGTACAAATTTCAATAAGATCGATGCATTTGTTCATGGGAAATTGTGTTTACCTTACCTAGCTACATTCGACATTTCAATATATTTCTCCACTCTGAAAGGTTGACATCTTGCCTTAGTATTGATATCATTTCAGAAAACTATTCGTTGCGAACTAATTAAATAAATATTTATTTATGGTCTTTAGAATGTTTTCAATAGAACATAACTTTATATTAATATTTTCAGGTATATTTGTGGAACTACGCAATGTCCTAGAACATGGCGACTTCAAGTCCCAGAAGGAAGCGGCTTACGCTGTAACTAATACAACCACAAGTGGTACACCTGAACAAGTTATAGATTTAATTGAAAAATATCAGATATTCAAACCGTTCTGTGATTTACTCGAAGCTAAAGACCCTCGCACTGTTGTTGTTGTCCTGTCCGGCTTAACAAATCTCTTCGCTTTGGCCAGCAAATTAGGTGGAACCGAAAACTTGTGCCTGATGCTTGAAGAAATGGGCGGTTTGGATAAATTGGAGAATCTTCAACAGCATGAAAATGAAGATATTTACAAAAAGGCTTTTGCCATTATTGATACATACTTCAGTGACGGTGACGAAGCCGAAGCCAAACTGGCACCGCAAGAAGTCAATGGATCTTTGGAGTTTAACGCTAATCAGTCGAAAGCTCCAGAGGGTGGCTTCACTTTCTAAGCAAAGTATGTTTTTTTTTTTTTTTATTTAGCAATTATGTGGCAAAAGTATGACACAACTAATTTGGTTGTCCAAGGCCGCAGAAATTTTTCGATCAAGCACTGTCAGCCGAATAATTTTGTCTTGAAATCTTAATTTTGCAGGAAATTTTCATAATTCTCACTCCCATTTATTATTTAATCTTTTCGTGTATTTTTTTTTTTTTAATATAAATTCATGCTTGGTTTTTAAATGCCCATATAATATATTAAAGGAGCACTTTTTAATCGGTGTCCATCTAATGCATTTTATATAGAATTTAAAACATAATGAAAATAAAAATTAATTAAAATAGTTGCAGCTTTTTCAATTTTTATATTTATTCCTTAATAAAAGATAAAGTGAAATATGTTGATTTATACACTTTGATTTTAGTTTGGTTTAGCCGGGTGCGGCGGGTTCATTTCGTCTAAACAGGCACCTCTGGTCGGGCCCGCCGAAAATTGATATTCGCTTAGCATTCTCTCGTTGAACCAATTTTTAATGTCTGCTATTTGAACATTCAGTTCGTCATTTTGTGTTTTTGTTGCCACTAGAAGCATTAATTCATTCTGTTTCGCTTGAACCAAAGGGAGGTTTTTTAGTTTAAAAGCCCGCAATAAATCGGAAATAACCTCTGGCTTTATATTCGCGACAAAGGTTATAAACGTTTCAAAGCCTAACATCAAGCAACTCCCTAGATACTCGCTCATACCCATTATGATGATACGTTGTGGTGTCTTACACTTTTGCGCCATATCTAAGTCGGCGCTGTTGTAGCAGAGGCCGTAGAAATTTGTTATACATTCTTCAGCTTGATTGCAAAATTGTACCATGTTTACTAAAAAAAAAGTAGAGTGAGAAACCGTTGTGTGCGATTTTTTATTTTTTTTATTTAAAGTTTAAACAGTTAAACACTAATTGTGACAAACGAACAACGGAAGGCAACGTTTGAACAGAAACTGCAGCAGAAGGAAAACATAATTGTGTCCTAGCATTTTACTCTTCTAATCCTTCCTCCTTCCTGCTTCTAGTTTTACTGTAGAGATTCGTGCTGGTCCTACATAAATTCTCAATTTCTGTCCGTTCAATTCAGAAAACCATGACTTCTCCCCGGATATATGTGGAAAACCATCGACCTTCGGAAGTTTGCGATTGACGATCGCATTTAGAGCAATTTGTTTATCTTGTGCTCGTTCTACTTCATTGTTCGACATGGCCGCGTAAATGTCACAAAATAACTCCGGATATATATTTAAAATTGATGATTCGAAAGCTCCAAAACCTAATAACATGCCAGCGGCTAATAGTGAAGATATGCCCAAGAGCACCCAAGTTTCACTTAGACACTTACAGGCCGCACTTAAATCCGTATGAGTAAAATGTATACCGGCGAAATTCGGTATATTTTTTTTAGCTGCTTTGCAGAACATCGGCATATCCACTGCCCCGGAGTGGAATTGAATGAAAAGAAACGAGAGACATAAAAACAAATGCATGATTTGTTCTTGTGAGTGCAATGAGATATTGCTCAGTCGTTTTGTTTGTTTGTGCGTGTTTTTAGTCGTGACAAAGTCTAATAGATGCTTTTCGCTTAGAAGGGGAATTACGGTAAATGCCCAAATCATCTGCCCATTATCAAAGGCTTCCCTTATAACAATATGATCTCTTATATAATCTATTATGAGGATTTCATCTATGTCTGCAGGAAGTTCTTTTTACTTACAATTAACATTTGTAATCCTTGGTATGTGGTAATAGAAAAATGGGCGTGAGGGGCATGTTTTTGCCACTACTTTACAATAGGCTATAAGCTGATCTATGTTGCGTGGCTTATAGAAAATTTCCGGTAAACAGCAAACGGAATCAATTCCCAATTCTTCGGCAAAGCAGCCCATTTCAAGAACATCTGGCAAAGCCCCGCCTCCAATTTGCAACATCATCATTAGACTGTTTTCTGAAGCCGCGCGCCACCAGCACTCGGCATTAAGTTTACGTTCAAGCAGACCTAAACTAGGACCTTCACCGGTAATGCCGTTGACTGTAAATTCATAGCAAATAGTCAAATAAATTTTCAGCATTTCTTTAAACACACTAACCTAAAACGCCATCAATATTTTTCGACTTTAACCATTTAGCATAACGATCGACATATGATATATTTATAGTTTTTCTTCTGCAAGAATGGGTAAATGAACCTTTTCGAATGTTATGGTTTTGCGTTACAGGTGCAACTTACTCATCATCATTGAAACATGTAAAAACAGGCGCCATCAGCCCTTTGAAATCAAAAAATGTAACCGATTTTTTCCCTACGTCCTTTGTTATTTCCATTACTTTCTTTATGTGCTTTACATCATTGGTAGGATAGTTCGAATTAGTATTCCAATCACTCTGACCACCGCTGGCCGTTTGTTCTACGCTTGCCGACAATTCAGTTTGGGGATTTTCACGTTTGCGTCGAAATTCTTCGTAATAATTAACGGCAGATAACGAATTTTGTGGCTCTAGATATGTCTGACGTGAAAGTCCCCTTTTTTCTTTAGATATTAGCTTTCCTATGGTTTCCTACGTCAATAAATACAAAACTTTTTTTTTTTTTTTTTTTTTTTTTTTTTTTGAACGCATAAAAGAAAAAGAAATAAATTAATTGAAAATTGTGTGAACACGTTGTGTACGTTGTCAATTTCTATAGTTCGAAGGATTTCCGCATTTATGAATACTTTTGTAAATTCTACAGCTGTTCTCGTCTTAAGGTAAGATATTAGGATCAATTATTACTTAGAAAGCCAAACGTTATATCGACAGCCAAAGCTTTTGCAAACGATATTATTAATATTTCTTTTTCGTAAGTATTGTTTCTCAATTTTTGATTACTTGCATTCTCATAAGAAGAAGAGAGAGATCAATTAAATTTTCTTAAGCGTTAATGTCTCCTTTAGGTTAAAGGCCTTCACCGGCAACTATAAAAAGTAATAATAATTAAAATTGATTTTTATTGCTGCGGACCGTTCCGAATTCTAATTGAATCGGTTTGGAATTTGATTTTGACAAAAATTTGCTTTAAATTGAAATCATGTGCAATTTACATTGAGCTCGGGCTGATTCTGCGATGAATTTGGCTTGAAGTTAAATTGAATTATTTGTGCTACGTTTGCGGTACACATGAAATGGTACCTTCTAATAATTTCGTCTATCAAAAGTAAACACGAGCGTATGCATTGCAAACTATCTAGAATGTTGCTGCAACGCTACGACGAGCGGTGCTTATTGGTGAGACAATTGCAACTATGTTTACTCTTTGCTTACAGTTTTCTATATGGTACAATACGCGGTATAATGAACTCAAGTAAGTATTTTATTGGTGTGTTTTGTCAACTTAGTCTTCTTTTTCCATGTAGGGAAAAACATTGTGAAAGTTGTGTAAATTGTGTTAACACCCAATATAGTATAGTATAGTGATCACTGTACTGCAAATCCGTTTTTCTCTTAAATTGTTAGTTAGCGGCCAATTGTAGTGTCTGGTGAGCGAAGGAAGCTTAGTCGTTGATAAGACGGCATCTTCAGCTTGACAATACTTTACAGATTAATTCAGTCTTTTTAATGAGCGAGACCTTGCCAGTGGACAGACAACATCTCTTAATCTTTTCATTTATAAATCTTGAATTATAAAATGCATTTAAGAAAATTTTTCCTGCGGTGGAAATGATAATTTTGGTCTTCGCCTATTGGACTCTTGCACATGTTTCTATAATGTAAGAACTCGAACCTTCCATCATTTCGAAATTTTCCAATTTTTACAATCCTTTGATTGTGTCAGATTATACTCCAGTTCCAAATTATTAAACCTTTTAAAACCATCAACCATTTTAAACGATATATAAATTCATCACTTGCGTCCCTTATCACTTATATGATTAATAATAATACTTCATTTAAAGGAGACCCAAAAGTCTTGCACCTACATATTATCTTACCTCTTTTTTTATCTTATAATTTTAATTGTAAGTCAATTATTAAAATTATTATTTTATTATATATAACTTAAAGTACATTAAAAAAATTTTAAAGATTTTTAAATAATTTACACAAAATCTAACTCAGGCTGAATTTTCCAATAGGATAATCTTCAGTTGTTGCCGCGGATGGATTAACGCAATTGGTAATTTTATTAACACTTTCCTGCGAGTAGAGAATTTCGCGGCTCTCCTGAGAAAGGGAAAATTATTCTTAATTATCATATACTGTAATTAAATGACGAAAATCGAATTGCACAGAAACTTATTTACACATCTAATAATTTACTTTTAGATACTAGACTAGTTAAGGCTGCCACGTTTTAAAAAAGCGGATGATCTGTGAACTGCTGAAATTATGCGATAAATAATTATCTCAGCGATATCGGAAGAGTAGGTTGTCGAAGCACGTATAACAGAGCTAGAGAAGCTAATACATGCTACATGTTAGAAGCTGGACCATATTCTTATATTGCGAGCTCCAGATTGTCTAAATCACAGCGCACGCGAAAGTGAAGGCTTCGCATGTTTTTTAGCGGGGTGTTTCGGAAATACCTATATCATTAATTAATATTCATTTTTTCTAATAAAATTCTTTTACATTCATTCCATTAAAAATTTTGAAAAAATTATTCAATTTTTGTAATTTTACGATGTGATATTATCTGCTAATAGTGAACCATCTTTTTTATATATTAAACATTGTGATAGCTTAAATAAAAAAAAGCCATAAAGAAAAAGAATGGACTCGAAGTAGATCTTTCAAATGCAAGTTCCGAACGGTAAGATGGGCAGCCCTTTTAAAAAAAATAAGAAAGAAAGATTGGGAAATATTGATATGAATTGTAGCTGGATATAATCGCAGTAATGATTAAAATAAAAGCGGAGGGTGCCGAAGAAGAGAAACCGATGATGCCTTGATTACAGAGCTAGATAATTTACACAAAGAGGGAGAAGCAAAGACCAGGCTGGACGGATCAAATAGACGTCGTGGATAGACTTTGCCGTTCTAATGAATTTTTACGCTAGTGATTCCCGCAAGCTGCACGCTTCTGCTCGCCACGTGAGCGTGAACGGGTAAACTTTTACTATATAGTGTCAAGAAGTATATTTACCGGTTTACCGGTACAAAATTCGCGTAACTTTCTATTTTTTTGAGTAAAGTTTCTAATATAGAATAATGATTTAGAATACAGTAATTAGTGTTTGTGTACATATATAATTAATTTTAAATTATTTGTTGACATCTATACCTTTGTATGCCATAGTCACTTCTATTTACTATTTAATTTAATTAAATTTAAATGTGTATTATTAACACGTACATCCTGAACTTTGCTGAAAACCGACCGGAAGGCGGTAAGTGCCTCTTTTGGTATAGTAAAAAATATCAATTAGTAATTATGGAATATAGTAATTAGTACGCATTTTTATGGATAATTGATTGTTATTGTCATAACATTAACTTGCTATTAATATTATTTTTATTATTAAGCTAATGCGGCAATAATAATAGTCAATGGGACGTACGCTTGGAAAATTTTGGGAAAGTAAATGCTAATGTGTCTGTTGCGATGCACTCAATGGTGACGCGGAAAATTGTAGATTTCGTTGCAGTTCACGCTAGGACTCTTTTCGTAACAAAAAGAGGTATGTTATCCAAAAAAAAAAAAAAAAAAAAAAAACAACAAAAATCGCAAGGAATGCTTTTAAAAATAAACTAATTATCCAAATTTAAAATTATAATTTTAGTTTATAGTTTATACCATAGGCGAAAGATGGATTCATCTCAAGTTGGTCCATTCATCCTCACCATGTTCACGTATCCACATCGCGAATGAGAGTCTAAATAATATCGTGATAAGATTTGATGCACTTCTGAGCGAAATTCTGGCACGAATGGAAACAGAGATGAAATACAGAGCAGCAATTTGAAGTTCTTAGAGAGTTCTTGTTAAACAAAAACTTAAGTCTATAAAGGAACATTCACACAGATATACAAGCGGCAAAAGCAGTTGGATGAAATCCATGACGTTGTGTACTCCTGCTAGACTTTGATAGTTGTTTATCGTTACACTCATTGCGCTTACTTGATTGTTTCGTGTTCGGCATAACCATGAATACTTAAGTGTAGATACAATGGGTTTTATCAGAGACAACTAAACGACAAGATATCCCAAGATTTTGCTTAAAAATCAAACTAGTGAGATCTCTCTCTGTTGTCAATAACGGTAGCGACTTTCTACCCTTTCTTTTTCATTATTTACATGGGAGAAAAGTACATTTGTAAATTTTTTTTTTTGTGATGATCGTCTTAAGATCGCATAAAAGAGCAAGTTCGCTGCTTGAGTGTCACATAAATTAACAGTGAAAGTATATAATGGACTTAATTTTCATCTCCGAATCGAATCGACGTCAACGTACGTCGTTAGCATCTTTGAAAAAATAGAGAGAGTTTGGTTGAGAAGTTTTGTTACATCTACCGTATAGTTTAGACTTTGCATCGTCCGGCTATCCTTTGGTTAGTTCTCTACAGAATGCTTTTAATAGGTGATAAGCAACAGAAGTGTGAAAAAATGACCTCAACTTTTCTCGTTGACTCAATATTACATCAGTGATCTCCTTGGCAAGCCACTAACGTAAGGACACAATATCGGAATCACTTTTAATTCATTTGTTTATTCGTAAACCCGTTGACTATTACGATGTCAATATTCTGTTCTGAGTTCGAACACTTTTTTTTAGTAAAATCTCGTAATCAGTCGAAATGGACTACCACATAAGCAACAGTTACGAACATACATAATTACATACGAGGGTGGCTTTCAATTTAAATCATCATTTACGAAGTGAACCTAAAAAATTCAGCTTTCGTCGAGTAGAACTTGTTTCTTGTATTATGCGTTTGTGTGTTCCAATTGTAAAATATTTATTATAAAAATATTTTGTTTCCTGAAAACGAATTTAAAAAAATTCTTCTTTGTTTCTACTTCTTTTGCATATCTTCGAAAAAGGAAAACTTCCTCCTATTGTACCTTGATGAGTATTATTCCTCGTAGAAACAAATGCATTTTTGTAGGGCATAGGTATATTGACGCATTTCAAAGAGAATAAAAAGATGTAGACATGTCAATGGATGTTTTTAATCGCTGGGAGCGCACAAAACGAATAGCGTAGTTCACCGGATGACAGGCGGACACCATTGTCCCCGTACAGTTTCCATAAAATAAGAGTTTGACTTTTGCTTCACTTTTTCCAGAAAATGCAAGTTTCTCGTGCCGAATGCTCTCAGCAATTATGACGTACAGCAACGTAAGGAAGAAAAATATATTCGACATAAGTCGAAACTGTTTGTGCTCTACGTTTTTCGGCAGCCTTCGGCAATATTTGTAACAAGTTTGCGATCAATATTTTCTAAAAAGTGTACGTTATAGTTCTTTCCTTGTCTCGGACATATTCGTGGACTGAACACATTTATTTCTGGACGCAAGTTTGAAAATGATGCTAGCGAACGTTCGCATAAGTTACTGTTTATGGCTTAAATTGGCGTTGCTGCCTGTGTATTCAGTTCACGTTTGAAGCCTAGAAAATAGGAATATGATCAGCAAGTCTTAACTTCCTGTCTCGATTATGCCACTGCAAGGATTACAATGTAATAGCTTCATTTATGGCGTTACGTTCATCGAGAATGAATATATTTTACAATGTCGCTAATGGATATTTAGGAGTGTTACAAAGAAAAGGACAAATGCAACACATCTGGTCTCAAGCACGTGTACAACACGCAGACAAATGCAGATGTACATTTCCATCGTGCAGTTTAATATTATTTTTTATGTTAATACTTGAATTAAAATATGAAAGGCTATATATATATGTATGTATATGTATATATATATATGTATGTATAGGATTTTTTCAACAAGAGATGTCATTTTAAATTTTGCGACATTTCAGAACTATCGGCGCAGAAGTGTTCTTGTGATGACATTCGACAAATGAAAGTGTGGTCTATACGCATTCGTTGAATGTGTGGTAGAAATGTGTAATGAATGTAAACGACCGCCTTTAAGCAAAATTATTCTATCTTTCACCTGTCTATCTGCATCATTGGCTCATTCTCCTGGAAAATTGTTCACAACTACAGTGAATGGATTGCTTTGTCGGAATATACTCACTGTTTTCTTCCGCCTGAAACTAATGCTATGGGTACTTATGGATACAGGCACTTGTTCCCTAATTGGTTACCCAGTGGCTCTTTTGCTTGTTGGTTGATGTAAAATTACATCCTTTAGTGAAAGATTTTCTACGCGCGATCTATCTGAATTTCCTGACAGAAATTCTTCCATGTTATTAAAGAAGTTACTGTCAGACGCAAAAATTCGGATAAAGCTAAAAAGATTTTGTTTGTTTTTTTACCTCAGGGATATTTTCTTTCGATTTGCGTTAGTATTCAACCATCCATCCTTTTGGTGTAATATGAAGTCATGTCTTACAAAATTAGATTTTGCCATCTGTCTACACACATAGAAGTGAATGTTTGTTTGTAAAATTGTATACAGACGCGAACGTATAAATGAAGTATATATGAAGTGAAATTTGTTATGCTAATAATGAGTGCTCGAAACTGCTGTATGTATACCGTCCATACATCCATAGGTATAGAAAATGTTTTCATTCGTGAATATTCATAAATAGCAAAAGATTCGGAACAATTTCAACCATTCCTTTGATCCTAATCTCTTATGCTAATTTCTAACCGAAAAAGTATTACAAAAAAAAAAAAAAACTGGTAGAAGCAAAACAAGTTTTTTTCATTTACCTGATGATGTAATTTGACTCCATATATAAATGAAAATACATTTTATTTTATTCTGTACAGCAAAGTTGATGATGCAAGGTTCTCATTTTCATTATTATTTCAGTTGTTTTAAATTTTTTATACCCATTACTGACAGCGTACTCGACTTGTTGGTCCCCTTTGCAATACACAGAAACAGTCAAGCGAGCTCTCTCTTCAATCTGATTCTGTCATGTCCGCCTGCTTCCTATTTATGTGACAGTTGATTGCTGGGATCCCAATGGATAAATAATGCTGAGTTTGTCTTTGAATTTTCAGTAAATTAGGGTGTGTCTCGGTCGAAGTCACCTTGCCGACATGTAAAATTAATACCTAACTAGCTACAAATCCACAATTATGATAGTACTTTGCACTTTTTTTTACGCATTGCTTCGCGATGACGAATACGAAATGTTCGCTTCAAAGGCGAATATAAACTTTACAGTTTTTATATCCACCATAGACAGGCTTGGGATATGTTCATTTTATCGAAAGGTTTGCAGTACCTAGAAGAAAGACATTGAAGTCTCTGTGAAGTCGAGTACATTCCTTACTGTCTGTCCCTCCATCTATCCATTAATTTGCTTGCGGGTCACAAAACTTGAGATGTCGACTTCAATTTGGATAAAAACATTGCACGGTTTTGCAGCCAGATTGGTCTTGAAAATTATCTAGAACTGGTCAAAGCATACTCTAGCACTGCCATATAAGTTGAGAAGCAAAAAAAAAAAAAAAACCAAAAAAAACAGGTTAAATTTTCCCCGTTTAATCTATGACTTTACAACAGCGTGGACTCAATATTACTTTAGATAGGATGGTGGGTATATAAAAGGTTCAACCACAGCCGAGTATAACTTTCTCACTTGTTTCGTTTCATTTTATTTGATGTTTTAATAATTAAAAATGCTTACAAAAAGTTACAAATAAAGTTTGAATGAATGGAAATAAATTTACATGGTGAACAGTGTGTTATACGTTTGATTATCGATTTCTTTGATGTTTTCTGTTACACTTTATGAATATTGATTGATTATTTTTGTGTTTATCAAAAGTGCTCAAGTTATTTATTGGAAAGTTTGCATAGTGTTTATGTTATTTGATATTTATGAGATTCAAAAAGAGCCCTAGACATCAAAATGCCACGGTATGTATACTCCTCGAATTATTGCAAAAATATAAAGTGCATCTGCCAAACCTATAAAAAACCGAGAAAAAATATTGGGGCTTTCCTAACAAATGCATTTATTTAGATGAAAAATTAACGAAGCATTTGGGTTACTTTCGTGTTCATTTATTTATTAAATATTCTCACAAATGTTTTGCAAACGTATGTTGCATTACCGACCGCGCAAGAATGCCGCGACAGACGTCCAAATGTGTCTTCAGGTATACAGTTTTCCTATTTCTTTTTAGTTTTTAGCTAACCCGGAAAATATTATTTACCATCTCCATGATTGCGCATATGTTGGTCGTGTGTAAGCGGTTTCCTTATTGCTAACGAAATGAATTTAAATATATTTACAAACAGACAAAAAAAAAAACAAAGTGTTCCTAATATTCGTTCATATGATTTTGCAAAGCCATTCGTATACACAACATTTTCTCTTCCATTCTTTCAATGCGTAAATTATTAAAAACTTTGGAAAAGTTTTTTATTTGCCTTAAAACTCGAATATTATCATTTGCTGCTGATGCGTATACGAACATGAAGAGAAGAAATTAAAGAAAAATTTTACAAAACTTTTACAGATTGGACAAGAGACAGAGAGAGAGAGATAATGCATATCTCGAAGATATCCAAGGAAGTTTCATTGGCGATAAGAACTTCTTTTACATGTTTTTGCATACATTTCAGTTTACATTTTATCTACTTCTAGCGTAGTTTGCGGCGGAAGGTGTGGTGCTATATGTACATCATTGCTGCCATTTAAGAGATAATTGAGGTCATATGTTATCCGATCCAGGACACCATTCTTGCTATCATTCTTATCGCTTTCCGTGGCAGTATTCACTTCATGCACATTGTTTATCAGGGACAGAGGTTCTTGGCTGCTATGGCTATTCAGAATGGCCATCTTTGTTGGTAATAACGGATCGAATGTGTGCGTAGTCGGTTCCATTATCGTTACACTTTTTGATGCTTTTGGCGTTTGCTTTTGCGCTATTGCGGGCGTTGTCGCTACGCCGGATTCCGCTGCCTTTTCATATTGTAAATCGGCTATCAATGGTGCCATTGTCGCAGATACATTTGTTAAATCGCATATGGATACCAACATTCCAGCGTGCATTTTTTGTGTAGCGTATTGTTTTTGCATGGCTTCCAACTGTAATTGCGGTGAATTTCTATTGCTCTGCGGAGCTCTTGCTGGCGATTGAACTTCGGGATGTCTTCTTCCAGTTGAAGGGCACATGCTCGTCATACTGGCAGTCCTGTGCATACTATATACAGAATCTATAAGCAATTAGAAATGAACAATCTTACACACCCATCTCTTCTTCGTTTTTTATTATAGACAAATTACATTATAATGCCGGTTAAGAAGTAACTTCCCTCTCTTACGTTAAAGAAGTCACCTTCTTTTTCCCTCTCTCTCTCTCTCTCTCTCTACTTTCTAGTACTTTCTAATAATCATTTTGCTTCCACCGTCCGACGCCAGGTGCCATATATAAGTTGTTTAGACATTTTACATTTCATTCAAGCCCCGCGTACCAAAAATTCAGCTGATTGTAAAACTTTTACAAAATTGAACTCGGTATACTTTTCCATTGCTTGCTCCTAAATTTTGGAAGAATGAAAATGCAAAATCGGAAACTCGTAACAGGCACTAAGCGAGAGAATCATTAACTCTGTTACAGGCTACAAATGGACTCTAAACAGTAACTGTACTTGGGAGAAGTCAAATCTGTCGAGTTCCTTGTTATTGCCGACTAATTTCGTGGAAGGTATCATCAAGAACAGTTCACATTGCTGGCCTTCGTTGGGAAAAACGGTTTCGAAAAGTTTTTAAAGATGGTATGTCAGACAGAGCAGTCAAAGAATAGGACTTAAGAGCTTTTTGTGATTTTGTGTTCAAATGCCAAAGAGAAAAAAAAAGCACTATGGGTTTCCCGTGACTTAAATTCGTTAGTTGGTTAGTTAGTTAACATCTACCGTCGGCTGTAATCTAGATTGGTACTCCCCGGCTGCTGCTCATAAAGATCTCTGCAGTATAAATTGGCTGCAAGTTCAGTTGGTTCGAGGAGTTAAGTTTAAAGCAATTATTTATTATATAATATTATATAACATTACAAAGATTTGAGCAAATAGAGAAAATTCGGACCGAAATTTTGGACCCATAAGAAAGATTTTTTTCGTTAACCCTAGAACTACCTGTGCTTTGCACAGGTATTAATATTAGGCGATGTGATCCACGATCGTTGGAGAACAGCACTGTAAAAAGTAGATACGATCTACTAACATGCAAGTCCACTATATATAAGAGACTGAAAACACATTGCCAAATTTTGCCATGTTTTGCGATATAACTTTCGATCTCGTGAAGATAACCCTGAAAAGCTTGTACCCAGACATTTACCACAATTAACTTGACGTTTGTGCCAAAGAAATAGAGCATCCTAAACTTTAGCTACTTTAGTGGCACAGCACTGTTGCCATATATGTGATAGATCGGAGAGTTCTCGGCAGACGCTATAAAAGCGTTAAAAGTTTTGGTCAGTATACATAAAACGGGGTGTACAGGCAAGGTCAACGGTTTGACCGTTAACTGTGCGTTTGTTAACGAACCGATCGAGACCACTTTTCGATTGCACATTAAAGACAGTCTTGACGAATATCTAGGTAGAACTTTTTCGGAAATGTTTTCACAATCTTGAAATAGCGAAAAGAAAAATCGTTTTAAATCGTTTCAATTTCTAATCTGTTGTTGGCGTCCAAGTGAGTAGTGAGAGGTTATCACCATTTCCTAATCTTGGATTTTGCATTGAACTTCGCTTTCCTTTCTTCATTGTTACAATTGTGCTGATTTCTTAAAAATTGTGGGTAGAACAGATCCATATAGGTAGAGCTAGATATATGACTTTGTCATTTCAAAATCAGATCACGTAACAAACAACAAATTTTTGAATTTTAAATGACTTGAAATTAAAAGAATTAAAAAAGCAAGCTTAAACATAAGAGAGGGGTAAAGGCCTCTGAGAAGCGAAGGATATCAACATAACATTGAAATGGATTTTTATTTTTAAAATGTACCTATTCCAGCACCTTGCAGTATATCCAAAGCCTCGACACCTGCAAAACGATTAGTTTGTGAGGCAGGCGGTTCTCGTCTACTTAAACTAGATTCTGATGGTGGGTCACATATGGGGCGATCGTTGCTCTCGTTCATTATATTACAGCATTTGGCGGCTGAAGATGTTATAAAAGTTGTTGTTTTACTTTGCATCGATTTTTTTTGCTGCAAACACTTTCGATGAGGTAAAGTTTTACCTCCAAATCCAGGAACACTATAGGGATGCTTATGATTGGTTGTTGTTGTTGTTGTTGTTGTTTTTGAACACATAGGCAGTATTTGACAATGCGGCGTGGTCGTGATGAGCGTCAGACCCGTTAATCGACAACCGGCTCCCTCAATTTCAATTTGTTGGTTTGTGAGTCTAGCCATAGGTTGCGGTAATGGAGGATGCGGTCCTATTTTATACAAAGACATCGTCGGTGCTCCGCTTTCGACTTGTGCTTCTTTTTCCTGTTGTCCGTAGACTGTCAAATATTCATTTAATTAAAAAAGATTTTCCAAGCATCGTATACAAGAATGGGGGGGACGGTAACTTACAATTTAGTGGTGTGTTAATCAAGCCCATACAATAATTGCCTTCTAAACTTGTTTTACTTGAATTTAATTTCGTTCTTAACGTCCCACTTACTGTTGTTTGCTTGTTATGCATACTGCAGGCAGAGAACGAGTTGCGTAGTTGACATTCCGGTTTTATTATAAAACAACACAAAACCGTAAATCCCTAATGAAATGAAAGGAAACGAGGGAAAGCAAAAACAAAAAAAAAAAACAAATAAGAAACTTATGTTCGGTTATTATCGAATCTTTTATACCCATCACCACTATTCGGAAAAACAGTAAAGAAGAAAAGGAAAAACTGAATCTTCATACTCTATAACATTGCATGGGCGTGGTCAAATTTTTTTTCATTTTATAGAATAAAAGTGGAGCGGAGATTATATCGCGTATCTGTCGGGGTTTAAGGAGCAACAAGCCAAAAACACGGAAAGCACAGATGTTATCAGTTTTTATTGCATTGTGGGCGTGTGCTTTGATAGATTTGCATATTTATAGGCGATATCTTCATTTTTATGAACAAGAAAATGCCGCAAGCACTTTGCAGTTAGGCAGAAGGGCAGATGGGTAGTCGAAGTGGACTATATGTTTAAATTTTTACAGGCTCGTCCGCCGTCGCTTTTGAGTAATGAGAGCAAAAAAACAATTTTTTACTTTTTGGAAAAGAGAAGTGTTCTGAGATGGCGTAGTACTGTAAGCTTGTCACTCGATTGATTTTCGGACATATTCTTATAGCAACCTGCGTACAACGGTTTGCAATGTCTTTGCCAATTCAGAGTTGCGATATAGACGGATTGATTCAGATTTCGATGTTGATCAAGAAAATATATACTTTGTGGGGTGAAGCTGCCTTCTGGGCGTTACAAGCGTTTTGACAAAACGAATACACCCCTCGTATTGCGGCGATGGGTATAAAAAAGGCATACATTTGTTTAATGGAAATTCCTTTTTTTTTTTTTTTAATTTTCAAAATTACTATTAAAACGCGAAAGAGATTTATACGAAAGATATTAATACAGAGAATATTCATTTTATTTGTCACTAGTTTAAATATGCAGAAGTTACGATTTTCAATGCCTACAAAGCGTTACCTCTGATGGCTAAAGCTCGCGCCATGGCGACTAACGTTCGGGGCCGTGCATATCTTATTAGAAGGAAAATGCAATTGCTCTGGGGCAACAAAGTGAAACGTACAGACGATTGAAACATTTAATGTAACTTAATATTCAGGGTTTTTTTTTGATAAAGACTCGTTTTCAACCATTTTTTCGCTTTCTTGTAACTTGCAACTGAACCGAGCTTTGCTGGATACAAAGACTTTGTCAAGAATATCTACTAATTTTATTACTAATTCGTCTTTCATGTCACCGCATGGCACTGATGTCGTATACTAATGCAACATCATAATTTCGGCAAAGAGAACTTTATTTGACTATTGGACCCCTTGCTTTTTTCATTTGTGACCTTATTCGAGAATCGTTTTGATAATCTATACATACAGTTTTTTTGTCAAGTAATATTCAAGCTCTGCTTACCAGAGGAGGGTACATCTTACCGTCGACCGCCGTCAATTATTGATTGAATTGTTCCCAGATAAATCGAAAAGCCAAAACCCCCGATCGCTATTTATGTTACATAATAAATAGGTTTGAAAGCCGGTTATATAAGAGTACCGTATCGCACGCATGGGACATTCAGGTTACGCGTCGTAATGTGTAGCGCTGACTTTTCTTACATATTGTTTGTCTCTGTCTTATTGCCAATGCGTCAGTGCGTCTGATCGAGTTTTTCTTTAAGCAGAACCAGTAATGTTTCAGGATTGCTTATGCCCATGTACTCAAATCCGTATCTTCTAGATTTTTATTATTCTCAAGTGCTGTAGCATTTTTTCCCAGTTCTGAGTTCGCGCAAAACTAAATGTATATGAAACAAATAATAAGATCGACGTATATCCTGATTTAAGTTTTAATCATACACCGCGAACCTATCTACAATAATATGCGACAGATTCTGTTATATTAGAGCAGCTGCCAGATGCGTGTATCAGGTAATGCCTACATAGTTAATTAAGATATTTATATGAGGCAATATCTAAAGAGTAAATTAACCAGAAATAATACACAGTCTATATTAAAGTCTATTCTCGATGCTACAAGAAGTGAACATGTGTGGAGCACAATAGTCTCGATTCGTTCGATTTCTCATTTGGTACACTATATCTAATAAGATATATATTTTATGTCCCAACCGGAGGAGGGGGTAAATTGATTTTGTCAAAACGTTTGCTATGCCTAGAAGGAATCTCCAGGGACACTGCGGGCATATCTGCCTGTTTAATGTTCATGGTAAAGATTATCTTGATTGCGCACACGTTAAGATGATGGCCTTAAATTTGGCAAAAATATTGGAAATTCTTGCAGGCAAGTTGACACTGGATTAACACGGTCAGAAGACAAGCCTAAAGCGCAATGTACTCTGAGAACGCATCTGCTTTTACAGTTTTTGCTTATTGCTCATGCGCTACAACAGATACATATTCTATGGACGATTCTACAGTAGTAACTGTAAAAGAGCTGAAAAGTTCGGTTACGCGAAGTCAATTTTGTAAATTATTGAAGTTTTTCTTCTTCTTCTTTTACATGATGAATACGATGAATAAAAAGGATTTGGTTACAGTCGCATATAATTTTCTCGTTTGTTTTAATTATTTATTGACAGTCACTTTTCACATCAACTCTAGTAAGGATTCATACGGTTAGTGTTAGAGTCAACACGCCGCAGATATCCCGCTATTAATAATTAAATATGGGCTAATGATCAATTTGAATATTATGCTTGTATTAATTTTCTTGTCGTTTGAAAAAAGTTGTCTATAAACGGCCTTTTTTTGTAAGTCATCAAAGTGGTATTATTCGTTAATATGGGATCAGGTGCACTGATCCTGATAAATAAGTACAAGCATTGCATGGAATTTAAGCCGTTAAATGTACTATCTAAGTAGCATAAGCCGTCGATGGGTTTTCTTGCAATAATTGCATGAAATCTGAAGAATTTCGTATAGGGGGCGTGTATTCAAGCGGATATAATATTTTTCTTATGCGTTACTACGTTCTTTTGTCGGATGATAGGAAGCATTGAGTTGACTTTAATTTTTAAAGCTTAATAACTTACCAATAGTATGCAGGATACACCGAAAGGATAACACCACCAGGAATCTGTGCTTGCGTTGCTGTACACAATAAACAACGCGTCCACTGTTAATTTCGTTAGCAATAAATAACCTAAACGATATAAAAGCCCGATCCTGCACAAGTAAACAAAAAAAAAAAAAAAAACAAAACATAATAATGATAATAATAATAATAAATTATTGATTCAAAAAAATTCATGGAATACTTTAAACATATTTTATTACTACTAAAGTGTTTTTATCCACCAAAGGTTTCGTATTAAATTTGTTATATTTTAGTAATGCCGAGAAATACGTGCGAGGGTCCTCCTATTCCGTTTCTTGCATACACGCAGACAAAGGTCAAAATTCAGTAATCAAATCTCTGCGTTGTTCGTGTAATAATCATCCTATTTGCCTCTATGTGTTTGCGTTTGTATATATATGTACATTTTTCGGTATTTTAAGTGTATGCGTATATGTTATTCCTTTGTTATTTATATAAGACATGACAGTCGCAACTAGCAAACAGTAAGGAGCAGAGCTGTCCGCCATCTCTGTTATGCAATGACATTTTTACGCCTACAGCGCGTACTTGAAAATAAATAGAAGACAAGTACATGATGGGCATTAAAGGATTCGTCCTAAGCTGACTTTGATTCCATTTTTTATTGGTTTTTCTTTCAATGATGGGCATATTAATTTTGTCAAAACGTTTGCAACGCTCAGAAGAAAGCTTCAGTATATATATTCCTGTTTAGCATCACATTCCATGCCGATTTAAGTATTTCCGTCTCACCGCCCGTTTGTCTGTGTAACGTCTATTGTAAACACTCTTTTGACCCTAAGGGTCATTTACTGACTTCAAATTTGGCAGAAACATTGCAAGTCCTTGCGTGCAAGTTGCCAGCGCGGATGGGACAAATCGGTCAAATCACATGCCAACATTAAACCGCAAAGTGAATGCAACTCTGTTTCTCTAAGAAAAAATTTTGCTGGGCTTTGTTCATTGCTCGTAAAATACGTAAGGTAGAAGGCTGAATTAAGGACCCTACCGTTAATGTACAAAAATGAAAAAAATTGTTTACATTCACACAAAGTTGTAAGTGATCGAATTTTTATTTTTCAAAATTATTCATGCAGTCCTTGCATTAAGATATATTATCTGTCTGTGCTGGACCCGACAATGTGGAATATTCGTTCTTTTTTAGCAGTATAATCAAATGGGTATCAAATAAGAGGACTCGTGGGTTAATTCTAGAATAAGTATCGCAGACATCACGACGTGATAGATTAACTTTGTCTTCACAATGCAATATGCGGATGTGGGTATCAAATATAAGCATTTGGAAAGTGGATGTGCATAAAAGACGGGATGTTTGTCCATAAACTATAATAGACACACGATATAATTTCCCTTTACTTTTATTTTACAAAAATTTTATAGAAACAGTCAACGATGCCAACACAGTGGTTTTTTTTTTTTTTGTTTTTGTTTTTAAGCTAACTAACCTTTGATGCATGCTTTGATTATATTTGCCAGAAGAATATGCCGATGAATTGCTTTTTTTAGGACTACATCCTAAAAGGCGCTGTTTTTTATGCCAAAGTCGGACGAGTTTCTTGATTAAAATTGCGAATAAAGCGAAAAACAATAAAATGAACAAAATATCAACGAATAAAAAAATGATAAAATTTAAAGTCGGCATTGAGGTTCGTATCGCGTCTGTAGAATCATAAGAAACATCTTCAAGATTGTTCGGCGAATGATAGCTGCCAAGCTTTTCGTTATGATGCAATGAAGGTGAGGACAATAGTGAAGTTTTCAGCGCTGTTATATTGCTTGTATCTAAGCCATTGTTATCGTTATTGTTGTTGTTATCCCCCAATTGCATCATATTGTCCCCGTTGTTTATGAGGGAGGATGCGGTTGTAGTTTGCATTGGTATTAAATGTGAACGCAAATAGCGTTCATTCGTTGTTGTCAATGGTTTTGAGGCAGTATACAGTTTACCATTACCACCAGCCGTGTCAGTGTCTGAATGAGCGGTAATTTCTAGCCACCAATTTCGTGGCCATTTGTCGTTAATTGAGCAAATTAGAGGCGCTGTTATCGCATACAATATAGGCAACAACCAGCTAATGCCAATCGCGCCGCATATACCCGATGTAGAAGAAAACATTATGGATTCTTCGAGTTCATTAGTGTGACGGCTTAAGTGTTTTAACCTTTTTGCGTTGCCCTCAAAACCGCAAACTGCAACTGCTGCTGCACTATTATTGATCATTTCGCTCGTAATTGTTTCTGTATTAATTTGTATTTTATTTGCCATTGTTATGTTACTGTTTAACACCGCTCTTCCGGCTGTTACCGTTGTGGTTTTCCCAAATTTTTGTGGTAAATGATGTTTACACTGCAGCTTTGTTTGGTCTTTTTCAGTTAATGCTTCATAAGTGGATGCGACGGTCGTGTTTACGTGGGCAGGAGTTGTAGTTACGGTATTTGCAACCGTCCTTGTAATAGGTATTCGATGGTGCAGCATTTTCTTAGATACTAGTTCGCTATGTATCACTAATGCAATAGCAATTAGTGTGGAAATGCCCAAGAGGAGCAAAGAGCCCAACGAGGAACTGACAATGGGTTGCCAATGCTGTGTAGAAAAGAAGAAAAAAGATTCCATATATATTTTATTCATGAATATGAAACCTAACCTATTCAAACTTAATCGAAAATTTCGTATATGTTCGTATATATATTCGTATAATTATGAGTAAGTAACTAACTTTGCAAATACTTTTAAGATGTAATCAACACTAGTGTGGCCACTTTACACCAAAGTACAATCTCTAGGTCTTAAGTAAAGCGGTATGGCCAAGCAAACGATTTGGCCAAGTGCGGGGAATATGGCTTGTTTAAGCTTTGAGCCGTAGAAAGCCATTTATATAAGAAGTTATTTCTTTCTTCTCGATTAGAACGAAAGCTCTGCCGAAAATCATTGATTGTTTTCGTCGATTGATAAAAACACTTGAGTGCTAACATCTACATCATTTTGACACTAAAGTCAAAAGATATACAAGGTATTCCGAAAAAGTATAAAAATGAAGATATTTTTCATTACACCGTACTGATGATAATCGATCATTGGCCATTTGGTGAAGAACCTTTCAGAGCTGTCATAAACTGAAGCCGAGACATTTTGAAATTCGATATTTTACTACTGTTCAATAATAACTAGTAAAAACATTAAATTCGGTCGTGACCGACCTATTTGGTCCATTCGTTATACCAACTTTCGCGAGAATTTCCACTGCTTTTGCTAAATTTGAAGTCGTTAGCTTAATTTTTTGTGGCCAGGAAAATGTTTAATACAGACATTATACAGACGGACAGGTGGAGTTGCTCAAACCGATTTAGGATTTGATGCCGATCAAGAATATATATACTTTGTTTGAGCTCTGATGCTCTCTTCTACAATCTGTAGTAAGCATTTTCCCGTGCGAAAAAGTTAAGAGTTTCGTTTAAAAATTCTTCTATGCATAAAAACCGTGAAGACCTTTGCTTTCCGTGTCAATCGCCCTATAAATTTCCACATTTATTCTGAAAAAAAAAAAATCGGGCATGTCCATCCAATATTATAAAGTATGAAAGCTTAGATGCGTTTTTTTTTTTTTAGTCTTCTTTAGGATAACGGTGATGGATATAAAAGATTTGGTCACAACCGAATTAAGTTTTCTTGCTTGTTTTAATTCGCTTCATGACTTTCTTTCGCGGACCAATTTTCTTTTTAAGTGAAGAGTTTTCTTTTTGTTCGTACCAGAGTTTTGCGTAAGCAATACATCTTCACAGCATATAAAGTAGTTGGAGGATAAGAAGCTTTCTTGGACTACAAAAGTCAATTTGTTAAAATTGATGTGTAGATGCAATAGGTCCTAAAGAAACCCGATATAATCCGGATAAATATTCTCTCCACTCTAGAGCAATAACTGCGATCTGCATATCCCTTTGTGGTCTGAATTTCTTACTTAAGTAAAGGAATCGTTTTTTCGCTTTCTTTGCAAAAACTATTCTAAATTAATTCCAGGATAAATGATTTTTGCGGAATGCGTGTTAACAACGAATATTATTTATAAAGTCATCGTAAGAACTAATTTCTCCGTGTTCCTTCAACCGAATTTTTCCTTATATCCTAAAAATTTTTATCTTTTATCTTTCATTCTTTGTTATGCAGAGTTAGTTATTTACTTTACTACTTTCTACTTTCTATTATTGATTTTTTGTATTTTACATTCCGATTTGATTACCAAAAAACTTAACAACATATTTAAAGGCGAAGATAATTCCTTTGAAAAACTTACCAAAGGCAATATTTTCAAGAATCCAAGTAAAAATACAATCATGATGCTGGATGTCGACAAGCAGAATTGCATTTTCAAAAATGTTGAGGCGCAGTGTCGATTGTACCAAACGGGCAGTAGTATAATGAATGCTGTGCATGATAGCAATAAACAACACACGCAACTAATAATGACGAATAGCGGTCGAGGGGGTGGCGAGAAATTATACGGCTAAAGGGTAAAACAAAAAAAAAAAAAAAAACAGAAAAATAAATACGCTTAAGAAAACTTTTTGGGGTAAATATTATAAAAGAGAAGTAGTTTATTAGCATTATATTGCACATCACAGCTATTAGGCCTAATAGTAGGGCATAAGCTTGCTTTGTTCCTTTTTTTTATACGCTGTCAAGATGCACTCAGTCTTGCGAGCATATTAAAGATAAATTAATATATTCATTAAAGAGTTGTTTTAAAACATATATATATATACTCTGTTTGGAAAAGTGTGTAAGAATTCGACAAAATATGTAAATGAGAGCCGTGCGTTCTTCTCGATACAGTGATGCTCTTTGGCAAAAAAAAAAAAAAAAAACTGCCTAAAAAATGTCTATAGTTTACTACGTACATAGAATAATTATGGGGGAGGGCAAGGTAGACGCTAAAATGTCCTACAACACTTTGCCTAGCACAGCTCTTTACCTATTTTCGTCATAAATTTCAAAATTTGTACTTTGTTGCCGTACAAAGATTTCGTTTTGAGGCCAAGTATGGCAAACTACGTCTACGCCCTCTAAACTAACCACAGTATCGCACAGTGCCACACTGTTCTTTTGCACAATTATGATTAACTAATTAGTTAAGTGCGTATGCCGCGAACACGCATCAATCTAAATATTCATTCTCGAATGCTTGACGTGTGCGGTGAGTCCCATTAATATTGGGTTTTTTCGCTCGCTTGTTAAACCTAATCTATTGTCTAAACATAAAAATTTATTTTACTATTTTGTACTGTATTAGGGAATGCATATTAAAATATTAACAAAACATTACTTTAGTGGACAAGAAAATTAAAGAACTTCAACAACTCAAAAAACATAGCGTCATTAATCTTTGGCTTTTCTGATATAAGGAAGGATACGAAGAAAAAGACGGCATATTATTAAAAATTGATATTTGGTGTGATATCCTTTCTGTTTAATAAAGTCGTTTAAACGCTTTGACATATAATTGGCATAATTTTTCTTGTGTAGGAAATAGTGATATGACTCCATTCTTTTTCTTATATAACTCATTTCACATGTTTTTGATGAGTTTCATGCCTGGTTATTGCGAGAATGAATGAATGAATCAATGAACGAATGAATTATTGAATGAATGAGTGAATATATGAATAAATGAATAAATCAATGAATGATTAAATGAATGAATAAATCAATGAATGATTAACTGAATGAATGATTGAATGAATGAATTGAATGAATTGAATGAATGAATTGAATGAATGAATTGAATGAATTGAATGAATGAACGCATGATTGATTGGTGCAGTTATATAACATTCATTTGGGCGGGACCATCCAAGCGAGGCTTTTGCTTGAGCTCGTTATGTTGGTAGAATATGAGTGTTTCCAAAATACCAAGTTTATCCCCGTTTTTTTTCAAATTTTTTTGAATGTCCTTACATAACTCTCCTTGTTTAAAATGCCAGCCATAAACACAAATCTTCCGACTCCGTTGGTTCCAATGCATACCCGGACTATAACATGATCATTGCCATGCCGTTGGTACAAGAACGTAATAGGAAGCTAAGACTAGAGCTTTTGATTCATAGATTGGTTTTCTCGACCATCAATCGATATGGCAGACAATAAAATTGCACTCTGGTGTGCAATATATTTAACTACTTATACTTACGCTGGTAGAAGGTTTCGTTAGCATGACCACATAAGTACCAGAAAGCGGGCAAATGCAACGCGTAATATTCTGCCTCAAGTTTTTAGTTATGCATAAATCGCTGCGCCAAGTAGATTCGAAGGTGGCCTCGTAGTCATAGCTACATGAATTCATTTTTGTTTAATAAAGTATTCAAATTCATTTTATAAAGAAAGATATTTTGATAAAATTAATATTATTTTATCAAGTAATGAAACTCACCCGCATACGGCTGTCCAATCACTGTCCTTTAGTGTGCGTTCATGTTGAAATACCAGTTCCACATGACCAGCCTCAGAAGGTAATGGTAAGCGCACATTATCATTGGAGCGGTTAGATTGGAAAAGCCACGTTTGTATGATGCGTGAGGCTAATATATAGTCAGTGAATTTGGTATCACTTTGAATGGAAGAAGAGAGAAGCAATCAACAAAAAAATACCAGTTGTGTGGTTTAAAGTGCAAAGTTTGCCAAGAGCACACACACATATATATATACATGTATATATGTATACATGTATATGTTTTGGGCATAATGTTTTCATTTTTCCCCCGTTTGATGAGATTTCAAAAAAAAAATTATTAAAAGCTAATAAAACACACATGACCAACTTCCCCTTTTCACTGTGAGAGTGTTCACAATGACTTGATGCATGATGTCATTGTTGTTAAATCCACATGCAAAGAAGCATTTATAACCGTAGCCCGTTCAATAAATTCTTTCTTATTGATATATCGGTTGCTTACTCAACTCAACTCAAAAAAAATTGTTAGTTAATAGTTTACAAATTTAAATTTCCGTTACTGCGCTTATAACATATGTCGTTCAATCCCTCTCGAAACTGTCATTTATAAAAGTCCACGACTTTCTTTTTGGTGAACATCTTAACATAAATTCTCCTCGATGTTAGAATAAGAGATTATCTCATAGTGATGGCTATAAATTAAAAATTCCTTTTTAACTTTGTTAATAAAAAAGAAATGCATTTTCGCCCTCTGTTTTGTTTGGCTCTCTGCTCAACAGGTATTTTCATTCTATTGACGCAAACACATCGTCCTCGACAGATTTGACAGTGTCGCTCATCATAAATTGTTCTCCAGTTTCAACATTCTCCTAAGTTTAGAAATACCGTTTGCTGTATTTTCAACCACTAAAAGACGACATCTCGTTGAAGTTTCATTTTAATAGCTTTTCAATTATGTACAATTCACTTCCATTGTTTATTCTCGAAAGGACACAGTTTGACGCATAAGACGCACAGCCAGAATAGCACTTGTTCTGTTTTACACATTACGAAAGGCAAGAAAGTTTATAATATTGTGGACTAAACTTTTAATTTCCTCGCAGAAGCGTTGAAAGTTTCGAATCGCTGTGAGCGTCACCCCAAAGGTAAACGCATAGTGACATATTTATGTTTGACAATGTTTTTGAATGAATGTAAATGCTTTCCAAAAATGTCTGTTAGTGTATTAGATCATATAAAACGTTAAGGTGTAATTTTGCAGCAGGCTCTCACTTGACAAAGACACTCTTTTCGGTGCCCTTTAGGAAGTCTCCGATATATCAGCGGATATTTTGCAGGAAGGAATTATCCAAGATTGTTTAAAAAAAAAAAAAAAAACAAACTTATCGTGTTCTCGTGAGTGGGCTAAAAGCGTAAATTACTATTTAGTATCGATGACGTACTTAGCACATATCTGGAAACAGAAAGTGTGAATAGACCCAGTAAATATCTTCTGCTTAAGTTGGATGGAGTTAAAGGAGGGAATTCCCTATTAAGTTACCCAATAAGATTACTACCACTACAAAACTATGCTAAGCATGTGTGAGAAACTGCAAGAATGGTAGAGTAATTGGTAAGAGATATCTACGAAAATCGGGATTTGATCGAAATATGATATAATAAATGTAATGTTTTTTATTTTGATGGCAACTTTGCGAACTAACATCTTCGACTTTATATGCCCGCAAGTGTTAATATGGATCACATATTGGCCGCGGCCTTTTTCGCTGTTCGCATACCAACCGACACGTAACAATGTATAATGTAAGAGAAGATGAGAAAAGTTTGATGAAGTGCACCGTATTACATGCCCAAAGCAAACGAATATTTAATCTTAAGGGCATCATCTGGTAACACGCTGCCCACTTAGTTTATGGAAAAAAACAGTATATAGATGTAAAATATGTAAGTAATTGCTCACCTTCCTCTTATGTAGTAGGTTTTTGGTAAGAAGTTCTTTAAATTTTTATACGAAATCACTGCAGCAAAAATTGTGTTATTTGTCATGATGTTTGTCAGACGTTTCGACGGACCAATGTCCACATATAACTGGTCTGAATATAAATCGTCCCTGTAAAGAAAATTTTTTTGAAAATTAACTCTTTTCATATATGTTTGTATGTACAGCCAAGGATCAAATTTCTTGAACTTAACGCGAAATTTTTATTTGAAAAATCAAATATATTCAATAATAAGGGAACGCATTTAAAAAATAAATTTAAAATGGTATTTGCAAAATTTACATATTTTTAAATAAACTGACTAAAAAAAAAAGGATAATAAATATTCTTGCGATTGAAAATTTTCCCGTTAAACGACTTGTTTATAGTTTTATTAATTAAAGTTTTCTCAAACTTTCTTTGTTTATGTTATGTTAGAAAGTTGTGAAGAGGAACTTCAAATTCGAAACGAGTTGTTGATAAATTTTCAAATTTTCTGCTCAGTATCGTATTCCATTTATATTTATTTGCATATAGCACTTACTTACCCGTATATGTGTAAATGAAAGGGTAAAGTTTTTACAGATGTCATAAATATGCGCAATGAATTTAAAGGATGCAAGGCTGAGTAGTCTGAATTCATAGTTAAAATGCTATGGTGGGATGAGTCAGGCTGAGATAAGTCAGTTTTCATCCGAGTTTCTGGTTTATTTTCGTTGGCATTTGTTGAGACAATGTGGCTGTTGATGGGAACTTTATCGTGACGGTCAGTGTTGATGCTGCCAGCAATTTCAGTTAAAGATGTTGCATTTGAAACATCGAAGTCACTCGACTGAGCAAATAATGTTGCCATGGACGTTGTTGTTGACAAGTGCAAGGCTGATAACGACGACGACGACGACGACGACGATGATGATGACGAGGATGAAGAAGACAATGGTTGAGTTTGTGTCATAATTCCGCCTAAGGTTGATATAGCCAATTGAGAAGCAGCTATGGTTTCGCGGTTCAGTGCGGCTGATTGTGTTAAAAATTGCAATTTTTTTATTTGCTATAAGAAAATGGAAAAAAATACGAAGAATAGAAAAAACATCGAAGACATGATGATATGATGATATGAGTTCTTTAAAGGGAAGGGAGGGTCATAAAATTTGATAAGATCCGAGTTGTGATTTAATTTCAGCAAAGCATGTGTGTCATAAAATTACTTCAGTACAAATATATATGTAGATAACCTGATGTCATATCCTAAGCATAATTGTTCGCTTGGCAACTGCGAGAAACACTTTGAGAGAAAAGTTTTGAGGAATCTACTTATCTGCAAGCTACGTTACCATTCACAAGATCTTAAAGGATCTCTTCCAGCATATTACTGATGGTAATAAATGTTTCCTAATGTATCGCAATAAATAAAAATTAATATTAAAATTTTCTCTTATTTCAAGCGTGTGTGTGTGTCTATTACTATAAACTTTGAAAATTGCATATAAAATATGGAATACATTTTCAATTTAATACTTCATTCTCCATTTGTCTTCATAAATAACTTTAAGAATACTCTGCATTTCATGGAGAATTAAACACTGAACAAAATGGAATAAAGAACGAAATAAGCTTACAATGGATATGAATATCTTTAGAAACAATAACGTCAACTACCTTACTAATGTTTTCGTAAATTTAAAGCATAAAGGTCTGGGAGGAATACGAATTATTGTAGAGTTAGAACAGTAACGTATTTATGGGTATGAAAATCACGTATCTACATAAGGAGAGGTAATCATTGTCTAAGTAACACATAACAAAAAAAGACAAGAATATCCTACAAAGTCCTTTGATGCTTGGTTTTGTAATTTTTTAAAATTTTTAAGTTTTTGGAGGTAAAGAAAATATGTTTCACCAAAAATAGCCGGCGCAGTACTCTGAATGTAAAGCACTAAGCAAGCACATGAGCAACCTAAAGTTTAAGCATAAAATGACACATACGCCAGTTCTGCTGATAAACAAATATGTATGCAATGGTCCATGTGTGACGTCTGGTCTGTTTAACATGGTATGTGTAACACAGCTTAACCAATCATATTCAAAGGAGCATAACTACTACAATAACAGTAGGCATTACGTAAACCAGGTTGAGGAATTGATGTCTAAGCTCTAGGATTTCTTTCACTGTGAGTAAAACTGGGCGACACGACAGTTTACGCATACGATATAAGAACAAGACGAAATGAATTAATGTTGAAATGTAAATGTTGAGTCTTAAATGTGAGCAGGGAAGACATGAACGCACAATAAGGAAAACAAATTCCGACACTTTTTGTAACTTTTCTCTTTTTCCCGCGACCAGGCACTCAAGTGATGAGGAAAGGAGGGAGTAGTGTTTGTATACGCTCGACCTGAAAGTGAAGATATCTGATATGTTGACAGAAATCGCTGCTGCTCGTAGGTTATGCCAAGGATAGACAGTGCACTTGATGAACGGCAAGTCGTGCTATACATGGGCGTCTCCAGGTTGAGTGAGCGAGAACGTTGAGAAAGCTTGGTAGTCTTGTTGAAGAACTTCATTGGTGGATAAGTCTCCTTTATCTTTATGGAACTTGCGTGAGAACGCTGGGAAAATCTGGTAGTCCTGTTGAAAATAATACGTGTGGACAGATTTCTTTTATCTCTTTAGAATCCTTGCAGTGCATATACCTATAAATGAGCACAGCATAGCTAACATTACGCCGTTGCTCAAGAGCATTGATAATGATTTGCTCACATCTTAGCGCTTGCTGCACACGGTCGAGGGCCTCCACGCAAGAACTAGACGCCAACGCCAGCACATTCGGCTTGGGCAGTAATTTTAGCCGGACGTTGGCGGTGTAAATAGTGTGGACAATGGTTGCAGTGAAGCATTTTTTACATCGTTTTAAAACACCTAAACTCTTGGTGGCATGAAGGATGGCCAATTGACATTGCCACCACGAAAGGAGAAGGTTTGTTCATCACATTTCGTTTGCAGTTTACGTGGATACCTGGATACATGGGTATCTGTGAAGGCCTTATTCCCAGTGCACTATGTGTGTGTAATGGCCGGGCAACCATCATATTCTGCTCAAAGCAGGGTCTCCTGAAAACTTCTGATTATGTTTGCATCAAACAACTGCTTGCACTGCTCACTCGCAATCATCCTTGCGGTTTGAATGCACTGAGTGCATGTCCATGTTTTTAAAGTTAATCTGATTCAATTCGTTAGACTGATTTTTAAATTGATTAATGATTAACATAAGAGCAACTTTAACTATAACGTTCGGATTTATTAAAATTTCTTTTATGCAATTAAGCATTGAAATTGGATATCATTGCTGATTATACTCGACACAAGTTTTGGTCTAACGGCATAGTAAGTTTTTGCAGGTATATACGTTACATGTCTACCCATATACTTTTAACTTCGATCTTTTCAGATAAATGTGTTTTAATGAAATTTTGTACATTAGCACGGTTTGATTCAAAGAACTACTCTAGTGGTATTGGGCCATTTTCGTCACAAGGAAGTGAATTGGTATTTTTAATATTTCTCGACAAAAATTTGGTGAGAAGCGGTAGATTGTAGGTGAACTGACGCTTTTATGAAATCTTCATAAGTCTAAATCTTATTAATTTATGATGAAAATAACGTAATTAGTTGTTTTCGAGAAAGTAGTATTAAAAAGTAGGTCTTGCTCGAAAAGAACATTCTTAGTTGCTTTGACATGAGTTAAGTACTGCAGAACGGATCTATACTCATTTTATCAAAACGTTTGCAACGCTCAGGGGCAAATTTCACAGATCCCATAGAGTATACGTATTCTTGGTTAACATGCGTCTCTGCCCGTCCGCCTTGTCTGGCCGCAAATATGAAGATATTGATTTCATATCAGAAATATTTGATATTTTTGTACACAGGTTGATATTGAAAATGAGACAAACGACACGCCTACAGTTCCACGCAAATTTGAAAATCCTCTGTTTTCAAAAGCAATAAAAAAAAAAAATTGTTTTTTTGCTCATTCCTTATAAACTACAATAGATGAAACAAAAAATATTTGTACATATATTCTGTAGATGATCCTCACTGATGTATCTGTATCTGTACAACAATGGAAATAATTGATCACGTCCACACCATTTCTTAGAATACCTACATTTTTTTTTTTTTTACGTTTTTTAGAGAACAGTGGTTGTTAAATATGATTCGACCACAACCGAATATAATTTTCTCACTAGTTTAATTTAATTCTATTAAGTAAAATCGGATTTAAAAGTATTCAGTTAAAATCATTTTTGTGAATTCTTGTTTTTATAGAATTGAATTAAATCCATTGTAAACCTGGCCAAAACAAAAAACAATAGGATAAATAAAATTTTCCCTTTGTAAATATTATTGCATTTTTTGACATAAAAAGGAGACACGTACGAAAAGAATACATGCTTCATATGGGTGGGTAAACGGATCTTTTTCATCGTTTAATTGATGGAGAGGGGAGACAGGAACATGTTTTTATATTATAGTTTCATTTATATCTTAACAGAAAACTCCATTTTTCTTCGAACAGACCCCCTTTTGTCCCTTTTTGAAGAAATCAACCCAAACCCCCAAGAACAAATATGGAAAATATACAAAGACCATCTGGGGCCGATTTTTAAAAGTCACTGGTACATAACGACTTAATATTTAACATTTTTATATTGTTTAAGGTAAATGTTTCTATAGATTTGCGCGAATGCAATTTTTTGATAGCAGTTCCTTCAAAAAGCTCATATGATGCATATATTCCAAATCAGCAAACATTCATTTTATTATCTGATCATGAATTTGATTGAATACTGAAGTAATCTACAAATTTTCAATTGAACGACATTTAAGCAGAATATGGATGGAAGACTGCTAACAGTCAAAAATCTGACGTAAATGAAAAACGAATATAGTGAAAATGGATGTGGTAAGTCCTTCGATGCATGCAAAATGAATGAAGGCTGTTATTACGTCTTAAGAGATTAGCAAGAAACGACGTAGCATTTTGACTAGCACTGCAGCCTGCCCATGTCAAAGGGTAGTGCTTAATGCCTGTAAATTGCATAGATTTTGAAGCATGAGCTCATGCGTTATGCGTTACCTCTCGTGTTTGGTTCGAATGAAAGAGCCGCTGAAAGTCTTTGGTTTTTGTCGGTGATAAGAAATAGTTTCTATTTCTAAGCTATAAGGCAAACCGTAAAAGATCGTACTTCAAATTGCATCGACTCTCAATATTGATTTTGCAGCTGAATGTTCGTGACTTCAATCTCACTACTGAGAAAGAGCAACGACATTAGCCGCTGTACTTGAGCTATGCATTATGGAAAAAGAAGTCGTAATAAGCTGGTCTGCAAACAACACTCGCTTACATATGTTGCTATGCTGTGCAGACCGCGTTATTCACTGAACGTTGTGCCTTTGATAGCTATTTGTTTCAATTTTTCAATGTTTTAAACCTTAATTATTTTTCGCATTTTTATTCATTTTATTGAAAATGTGCCGCCAGATTCAACTATGTATCCATTAGACAAAATAAGGCTGCAGTAAAGTACCAGTTAAGCCTTTTAAGATATATGTCACAATTTAAAGTGAATGGTTAACTAGTACAATAAACAATAATGTCCCATTTTTTTTTTTCTTTTTATATAAATGTTCAATTTTATAAAAAAGTTTTTCAAAACGTAAGTGCAGGTCTAAAAAGTGAGCGATAGCAAAACGAGTGTGAGAAGTGAAGAACTTTGTGGACGTTAACGAAAGTTTAATTTCACATAGGCATTTACATAAAACGGAAAAGATATCTGTTTGGCTGTGCAACTAAAGTGTAGCTTTGCTCGGAGTTCAGTGACTTTGTTTAAATGTTTATTTGGTTCACTGCTTTAATGTAGGTTATGTTAAATGATGATTGTGCTGAAGCTAAACAATGAATAGGAAACATGGAAAAGTATGGAAACTCCGAGGAGCGATGATGAAGCTCAATTTAAGTTGAAAACAAAGTAAATTAACCCTTTGCATGCCTACGTTGAGTATTTTTGCTGTTATTGTATTTCTTACACCTATTCTTATGACCACATATACTCGACATTATGTTATTTAAAATCATTAATTAAAGACGTTAGTGGCAGAAGTTATTTACTCCACAATACTTTTCTAGGGTGGAAAATGATCGATTCAAAGCGAAAAAAAGTCCGATCTGTAGCTTAGATAAAATGCATGAACAAATATCCTATTGATGGTTAGTGAAATGTGTCAATTGATTCAGAAAACAGTCTCGCATCGACTTATGATAACACGCAGAGGATAGATGCAGGATATAATGCAAGTCAACGAGTGATTTGGAACTTTTGTCGTATTTTATTATTATTGTAAGTCGGCATAAGAGCATACTTTCGATTCGGTTTTTTTCACAAATTTAAGTATCGTAAGCGTTATAGATAGATTTGAGAAGATTACGTGGAACCAATTTCATATGTACAGACACTGAGGTGATCAAAATAGACACATTTGCAAGTAAATGTATTCGACTGAGCAGTTCATGTATACACAGACATGTGTATCATGCTTCACAACAAGGACACCTGGCGTTCATTTGTTGTGACTACGTTTTTTCCGCCTCATGATGAATACAACTTTTTCATATAGAATTTTGATTATGAATTTACCTGTTGATTGTTCAATGATTTTGTGTTTTGCAAAACTTTGTCTAGAATGTGCAAAACAATTTCTGCTGCCATTTCACGTTCCAGTTGAGTGCCTTTCAATTGTAAATAATTGTTAAGCTATTGTTGGTCAGAGAGATGCGAATAGAAGAGAAGAATTCATAATTAATGAAATCGAGGTAAACTAAAAATATGAAGTAATTATGTTCTCGTCAATAAAGCTTGTAACAGTATAACAGAGGTGTTCTGTAGATGGAGTTATTCTTCTCATATTTCTTCACTTACCTCATGTAGCATATCGATTAGAAATCCCCCTTCGCCGGGCAAAAAAAGTTTATAACGATTTGTCGTGTAATGTAGGCAAGATTTTAGTAGTTGTGATGTGTTTGTATGTTGAAAGCCCAAAGTTAACGATTTAAATTTAGTGTATATACTTAGCAGTTGGTCATGCACGCAGTTGGTAAAGTCTGGCATTAACCAGGAAAAATTACCAGCATCACGTTTCTCGCAGATGCGTTTGGAAAACCCCTCAAATCCCTGAGGACAATTTGAAATGACTGGTGCGCCGCTTGGAGCGCTAGTAGGCCAGTGAACCCCGTATTTCGAGGTAGCTTGACACACGTGCGCAGCATTACGATCAATAACGGTTATATAAACGCTTTTGGTAACCGGTTTAACACTATTTGAGACGCTGCATGAATATTCGCCGGATTTCTGGATATTATTAATTTTTAAAATACTCCCATCCGGATAGAGGTCTTCCCACATGACAGTTTTCGGGTCCGATTGAAATAACAGAGCATTACGCGTCCAACTGTATCCCAGTTGAGCATAACGTTTTAAGTCGTCGTTGCCGGGTGATAGACAACGTACGCGCAGTGAATCGCCCTTGTGAAGCGTAACGCTAACCGGATCTACACGTAATCGGGGAGGAGATTTAATGTGTACATGTAGCGATCGACATTGTTCACCACCCCAATCGGTCACCTGTCAAATAAACAAGACAAAAAGTTATGTCCTTAACAGCAATTTCTTACTTCCAGCGGAGAGTGTGCTTTTGTTAACAAGTGCTTGCTTTCATTGGTTTTCTTTAATAAGAAAAAAAAAAAAAATGTTCTTTAATGCGTCCCGCAACAAGCGACCACGCGTTGTCATATTCCAAAAAATTGTTTCTCTTGGCATAGTGCGATTATTTTTTCTTTAAGGTTTGTAGCAAAAAGTAGGCGGACAGGGACATACGATAATCGACGTACATCGGGGAAGTGGGCTTCTTCGTGATATCTCTCTGCCAGCAAATATCGTATATAAATTGGTGGGTGAAAAAAAAAAAAAAAATTCTACGCAAGTCCCTTATAAAATCTCTCTTATCGCGTTTTCACCGCTTACTCTTCCCCAGTCAGCGTTTATTGCTTAAGTTATATGCTCCCTCACTTTAAAAGAACTGCAACGTAAACGAGGCAGCACGAAATGCTTGCCATTTAGTTTTGCTACATTCTCTGATTTTTGTTTTTAAATTTTGTCCCAGTAAGATGAATCGAACTACATTGAGGTCATTTGAAGAAAAAAACATACGTGCACTTGCATGCGTGTGCAACAGAAGGAGGGAAGTTAGGCAAAGTATTTGCAGACTATGAGCTTTAAAAACCCAAAACTAAATTCTCATTGATTATGTTTTGTTCGCAATGTGGGCTATGGTCGAAGAGGAAATCGAAAGTACTCGATTTCAATGAAGCAAATGTTGATCTGGAAAAATATTTTTCTATTTCTCTATGCTTTTAATAATTTTTTATATGCAGCTAATTTACTCTCTAGTATCACACAATATTATCTTTTGTTAGTTAGTTACCTTGCAAGTGTAGATACCCTTATCCAAAGCGTTTGCTTTTGTTACGCCTAAAATGGCTGTGAATACGTCTTTCGTTTCTGGTGGTAAAACTGTAGACCATATTTCTCTGAAAAACAGATGTTTATTTTTATGGCGTTTTTCATTAAAAATTCTTTTCTATAAAAAATTTTCTATCTTGATTAAAAAATATTTATATTAAAATTTAAAAAATGTTTCCATTGTTTTGTTGTTGTTTCTCTTTTCTTCTTTTTTTTTTAATTCTAAATAATACGTTGTTTGCCACCTGGGTGTTAACCTTGTGTATATTATCTTTAGAAACACACATTTATACGCTTCCTATAATTATTATAATTTAGCTAAATGTAGCACATAGATGACTACACACGATACACATACATACTATTATCTAATTTCACCCTGTTGCACTGAGAACTGATTTACAAAGCGACTTAACTGTTCGCTATACTAGGCTTGGGAAGAGCGCTACGATATTTATACCGAATTTCTTTACATATCTAGTAGAAATTTTTCCAAAAATGGAAAATGCTATCAAAGTATTGGTAAATATTAATGCATCTCGTCTATGTGATGCTTATCTCATTTGCTCTATTTTTGATTTTTCGTTATTTTCTTTAGATCGTTACTTCTTTCTGTAGAGTTTATATGCTTCGTTTTGTTTATTTCTCATTTACGCGGAAGACGTATCTGACTTGAAAGCGATGGAAAGGAAGCATTTATTATATGAGTTATCTAAATTTCACATTTTTCATTAGAAAGTTTGAAAATATAACTTTAAAGAAATCGAAAAGTTTTTTCATAAAATATCTTTGAAAATTTTTGTCGTTTATTTTTATAACTAATTTTTCTTCTTTTCGATAACGAAAGTTAAGCTCAGAGTTATCCAAATATCGTAAACTTATTTAATGCATTGAAAAAGAACGACTTTCACGAAATGAAAAACAATTAAAAGAAAATGTTGCATAGCAAGCGAATCATTGACAAACAAAATTCATTCCTCTTAAACTTGTTCAATATGTCCTACATTACAACACACATTTTTGGGGATATAGGGCACGTTCGCAATGCTTGATGAGATAGCTACGTAGTATTATTTCGATAGATTAAGAATAATTTTTTTTTTTTGAATTGACTTAAGCATCGTCGCCTGTCTAAGGATAGAGAAATTCAATATGGGATTTGGAATGAACGAATGACCGCTCGCTTTGAAAAGATCCTTATATGAAAAAAATTGTCCACTTTTTGAAGGTTTGATGAGACCATTTTCTGCACACCCTCCCTCATGAACGGTTTCTGCAAACGCAAGCCGTTATATAGCATTAAGTTGTAATTTTTACTACTTTATCGCGAAAACGGGCAAAAAATGCATTAGTACTGACCGCCTATATCGAACGAAGGAGGAAAACGTTTGCAACGCTTCGAAGGGTGCGTGAGAGGCCCCACAAAGTATATATATTCTTGATCAGTATTAAACGATAAATCGATTTCAACATGTCCGTCTGACCGTCTATCCATGTTTTTAATGTCTATTGTAAACATTGTTCCGGCCACAAAAATGAAGCTATCGACTTCAAATTTGGCAGATACATTGGAATCTCTTGCGTGCAAATTAGTACTGAAAATGGGCCACATCGATCGAAGGATACGCTCACAGCGCAACGTACACTGAGATCACCTCTTACTTACGACACCAAATAAATAAACAAAAATTTGAAAGCATATTCTATAGGCGATGCTGTAGCATTTATGTACTAAAATGGGAAAAATTGTCGATGCCTATCCAATATTATAGTGTATCAAAATTTAATTGTTTCCTCAACACATTTATGAGGCGCAGAAACAAGCTGCAAAAACCTTATAAAGTATACAAGTTCTTTGTCAGCTTCAAATTTGCAATGCATCTGAACCTGTCCGCCTGTTCGTCTGTCCATCTGTCTATTTGCGCAACTTTGTTGTATTTGCCGCAAACATTGCTTCGTTGGCGAAAATAAAGATATCGTCTAAAAGTTTGCAAAAGCGTTTTGAATTGATCTAAATTACCTATCCTTGCCTGCTTGCAGCGCCCACATGCCTAAATGATAAGAACTTTTATTTTCAAAATAGAAAAAATCAGCTGCCCCCGATCCATATTATGGAGCATGAAAATTTTGTTCTTTTATTTCTTTCGTCTTTTTTTACGATAAGGTTGATGGGTATCAAAGATTCGGTCCCGATCGAATTTAATTTTCATACAAATTTAAATTATAATTTCATTTATTTGGAATGTCCACGCAGAAGGAGGAACAATAGAAGGGAAAGTTAAGTGCCTGCAATCGATTTCAATTCGAGAGTACATGAGTAAACTAGTGCACCTGTATAAAATATTCCTTCATCCACCAAGCTCTAGAGATTGATATGAAAATCATAGTGCATTAGAGGCCTTTAACATGAATGTGTTAAATATTGGGGGAATTAGAGCAGAATGCTTTGTTTGAAAATGCTTTGTTACGCTTTCAACTAAGCGTGTACATTAATAAAAAAATGTTTTAAATAAATAACAAGTATGTTCAGGTTTCGCTACAATAAGACAAAAAATAAACTATAAAAATTCTTAACAGGAAAGCCAACTATCACTTCGAGTACGCTGCTTTTTTTTTCAAAACAAATGAGTACAATGTGCATAACTAGCTAATTAAGCATCTATGTCTCACAGTCGAAAAAGAGACCCAGTTAGGAGCCTTTAGACTTAAAGACAATTTCTACTTTTATACTTTTAAAAACAATTTTTAAGTTTAAAAACATGAATTAAATTTACATGTATTACATATATATGTACGTAAGTGTTATAAGCTTTCGATATATTATCCCTTTCTTCCAATACATATCCGCAGACATCTGATACATGTTCAATTAGCGGAAGATTCTGCGCAATTTAATCATGCCTCTCTGTACGTTCATTCTGGGATCAGAGAGGATCCTATTGGGATGCATACCTTTAACGAATGATCGGAAGTTAGATTCACGTGCAAGATTTTGTCTACATAATATTAATGGAAATATTTTCAATTTTTTTTTTCAACCAAGTCGCAAACAAAGTTCAAATACATTTTCAAAGCAAAATATCTCAAAATAGTTAGAAGCTTGATCCCAATGGAAAGAATGTATACTTTTTAAAATACGGTTTTAGATCCAATGTTTGTTGCAACACTTGACGTGAATGTGGCAGTCGATTCCATCAAGCCAAATGCTCTTGGATACGACATTATTAGTATAACGTGTTAAAAATTATCACTGCATAATGTACTTCTATTTATCACGGATGTAACATATTTGCTTCCCACATTTATCCTGATAGCTGCAAAAAAAAGATATTCGACTTATAAGCACTTTGCCAGCCTTGTCCAGATAGTGCAGACGGGGCTGCATTTACAAATGAAATAAAAACCTTGTAATGGACCACCGCCCACCGTTAAATATCCTACTGCACTTCGCTTCATAACTGTGCATACAGATAACGATATTTCAAAACGAGGCGTTTCTGCCGGCAGTGGTCCGATCCAATCCATTTTTAATAGGATTCATCCTGGCGGCAAAACAAGTCTGTGTAACCATAGATTGAATCCATGTATATAAGACGGACAAATAGGCAGACAAGCTTAGATCGATTAAAAAAGTGATTCTGAATCGGAATAAGTAAAGGTCTCTAGCAAGTCTTTCTAAGTATTGTATATAACCGCAAAAATTTAATATGTCCTTGCAGCATAAGGAGCGTAGGTTATAATGAAAATCTGTTTTTGCAAATTTAAAAAAATCAAAGGGTTATTTAATTATAAGTTTACGGAAATCGTATCTGAAGCAAAGTTATTGGTCTGTTGCAAGATGCACGGTGCACTTGACTTTACTTCCCTGCATAAAGCAGTAATGGCAAATACTGTAGTTGTCCTTATTTGAACAAAAATTCCAAATTAAATACCTGTGACCACATCGACTGTACAACTGGGAGGATATATAACATTTGAAGAAAAAATTTGCTGTCGTTTTTCTATATATCTAGGAAAAGTACATTGAAACTAATTCAATGCCTTGTTGTCCCTTTCATAACTTAAAGCGTTAATTAAAGTTACGCCTCGGCTTAAGTAAGGAGACAAGGTATGCTTTTATCAGAAGGAAATATGATACCTATCTCAATTATCGCTGAGATCTCGACTAGCTTGAGATTCATACCAAAATATGCGGGTGAGTTACGTCCACCATTGCCAGCGTTTGTCGTTTTAAAGGGGAAATAATTACTCGTTGTTGTTATTTGTTTACCATAGTCATATTTTAAGTTGCATTCTTATGATATGCTCGGGTATTCGTAATCAGTAGGATGGTTAAAATCCTTTTGAAGTCTTGTATACTTTATATCATACGTAATGATTTTAATTAACTAAATTGTAGGGGCCTTAAAGTTTTATATCTATATCTTATCAAAATCACAAAATAGTCGATTGGATCAATAACGAGGAAACGTCTCGATCTTATATATATAGTCATCAAATATCGGTCTTATTCGATAAATATTAGTAACTACCAAGCGGCGGCAAACGTCAAAATCTGAGAACATTCTTTTATAATGTTCTCTTTAGCGAGAGTGAATGTTTTTCTGTGTATTTTCGACATTTTCTTTTTTGCGTTGTCGTTGAAATAAGAAAAAAAATATGTGGAAACTGCACGTTTTTTTCTTCCGTTTCTCATCTAACTTAAAATGTAATTATCGCATACGCAGCAAAAGAACATTAAATATTGAATGAACCTTTTATGCTGTCTGCAGTCAACTGCATGTTATGGTAAATATTTTTCTGAAATGCAACATGAATAATTAAACGGATTACATAAAAAAGGGAATCGGATAGCGAACTGTTTTTGGACAAAAAATACTCTCTGTCCCAGAAATATTTTCGAGAACTGAAGGCTGCAAGCTTTACTAACATAACAGACGCGTTAATTTTTTTAATTAATTATGGGTACGGCATAGGCGAATCGGTATCGCTGCCTATGTGCATACGCCTATATGTTGTCTAGGTTTGGTTTTTATATATGGAACGAAAGCTTACTTGCGTGTCTGCAGGTTGTTCGAGAATAAATGTATATTTTATAAAATATTGCATTATATTGACACATTGCTACGATTATAATCGCTACCAGGAACAGCAACATCACGGAAAGTAGATCAATGGCAAAAAGTCTCGCATTCCTTACCTTAGTTCATTTTAACGGTATCAGGTTGCACATCATTATAATAAATATGTATAAAATAAATTTAAACCACCTGGAACGTTACTATCGGTCGAGACCAACCACTGAATGCTCTACAACAATTCAATTCATATTTGCGTGAGGTCCGAGAAAAGATACACTTTTGTAACCCATACCTAGCACGGAAAAATTGTTTATTGCTTCGTTTCACCGATGCTTGTCATAGAAGATTTCTACATTATTTCCATATAAAGACTTCGTATGGGAGAAGGTACACAAATTTTGGTTTTCCCGAAATAATTTTTTTCTTTCATTTCTGCTAAGGATTGTTAAAAGAGAAATGGGCTCGTACATGAAGAATGGTCGTAAAAAAATTATATATATATATATATATGTATGTATATTCAAAAATTGCGACGTCTGGACTGAACATGGACGCATAGACACACATGAAAAAACATGTTTCAATTGCCTTAGAAACGATTCTGAGTGAATTGCTTTAATAAAAAATCGGTCCATTTCAAGACTTTCTGAATGTATCGTACATAAGCACAAACTGTATTGGGTACCACAATTGGTATAGGGTATAAAAAATTTTTTCAATTTTAACAAATTCTACTCTATTAGAATATCGCGACACATCGCGTTAACTTTATAGTTCGTAGTAACCAAGAAGGTTTTATGTCGCATCTTCGATACCCTACACTTCAAACCAATGGATGTACGAAATGTTTCTCGGTTGTGTCTCGTTTGGTCAACGAGGATCATTTTCGGATAGAACTTTCAGATATCCGCATAAAGTGTACAAAGTTTTGGCTCAACATCTGCTATAGGTTGGCGGTAGTCTTCCTTTCCTGAAGAGGTTACGCTCATTAAGATCACATTTCAATTTTGGCAACAACAGATAGCAAATATTCAAAATGGTGAACTTGGTCAAGCATTTACTTATTTCATGTTATTTCCGACGCGTTTTGATTGTTATTACAAACAGAAAGACAAACCTATATATGCCAGAGTGTAGTGACGATTATGAAAACGTAGCGAAAAACTGTCGACAAAGAAAACGATGACTGTTCCGTTTCTCACCCCGTGCAAAGTTGAGAAAACTATGTGGTGTCAAAATAAATTTAAGTATTGATCAAACAAATCGTAGAATTCGTGCATACATATGAAACGAAAACGTATAATAGAAGGACTTGAAATAAAGTAATTCATAAAAGTTGCCGCTACTCCATATTGGCCGGCATGTAATGAAAACAAGTGAAGTGTAAATAGAGAAACGGACGTAACTCTTCACTGACCGTAATAGGATATTTACTCGTAATATACAGTCATGTAGATACACCTTATGTATATGCACAACTGCTCAACTGGTTGCAACACTACTTATACGTGAAAATCATGTTGAAAAAAAAACAAGCTTCATTCAAAATTTCTCGTTATTATTTTCATAGGATGAAGTTCAGAGATTAACCAAATGAGACCTAAAGTTGTTTCCTGAACAAAATATTCTTTGCAAGTTCGTTGCTTTGCTATCAAATGATTTACCCTAAGCTAGGTAACATTGAAATATTCGGCTCAAGCCTATTCTCTATTTATACCGTACATCGCATGTGGCACAAGGTATATTAATTTAGTGCGGTCGTATGTAACACGCAGAACGGCTTAAGATGGACGCACTTTTTATTATACCGATCGATCCGGAATCATAATCTGAATTGATGTAAGCCTGTCTGTCCGTCTGTCCGTCCGTCTGTCCGTCTGTCCATCTTTCCCTCTGATGTCTGTCCATGTAAATATGTGCAGTAGCGTGTTTTGGACCCAAACACGAACGCCATTGAAAATGGTTCGGATAGGTCCAGTTTTTCGACCACGCCCCATATAAGGTCCTATTCTTAAAGGTCGTGATATGGAAAAATATTGTAATTTTCAAAATTTCTCGGCAAAACTGGCTAAATAGTAGTATTTCAATTTGGTTTGAAAACTTTGAACGGGCAGGAGCAATTTTTTAACATCCTCTCATATAAAGAAAACTGAAGTTCATACGACAAAAAGGTATAATTTTCAATGCTTCACGATGAAAACGATATCATTATAGTTAGTTAACATAAAAAAATTAACTGTGCCAAATTTGGACCATCTCGTCCTATTTTTTGGATTCTACCCTAATAACGATTTTCACGCAAATTGAAACTTTGTAGAGCAGAAAAGTCAGAAAAGCTTTAATATTTGGTGATGAAAATTGACCCCATAATAGTAATTTCATACAAAAATGAACTCTACAAAGTTTAGACTATAAACCCTATGTGAGGATTAAACTTGTATTACATTGGGTTGTCTTGTGGGCTCGCTTCCCCATAAGTACGCACTTGAAAAATATGCCTTTATATAGAAACGAGATATAATTTTTGTGTTCTATAGTAAAAGTAAGAATTGTGTTAAATAATGTGGTGAAGGGTATTTAAAGGTCGGCCTTGCTCGACCATAATGTTCTTACTTGTTGTCTTTCCAATTCGGCAAATTTTTTACTTCAAATAAAATCCAAAAAAAAAAAACAATTTTTTTTAGCTAAGAAAAATATTAATTTAATTTGTTTGTTTATCTGTTACTTCGCCTGAATTTTAACAAAGCTATGCATGAAACCCGATAGAAAAACGAAGCAAATATAAAAAATTCAGTGGTAACGTTCGTTGCTAGGTTTGAGTTGCCAAGGCTAACAAGAATCTATTGAAGTGTCTTGTAGGCTTTGCTGACAATGGCAGTACGATTTTAGCTAGAATCGCGTAAAGTGACAACAGTTTTTTTTGGCTTCTGGAACAAAAAAAATTTCGTTTGTCAATAGCTCACGAATTGGACCAAAAAAAAGTTACAATTTTTTGTTTTTATTTTTTTAACTGAGTTGAATCATATCAAAATGCACTGGGATAGGGATTGGCGGATTAATCGTCATTTTTGTGTTTCGGATCCATTCTGTCACTACAAATATCCACGACGAATATATGAGCATTTTCATCCTTTCATTGATTTCGATTGGGATTTTTCATCGTCATGCTATGTGGAATGCCATCGTTGCGACTATGAATCTATTTGGTGTCATCGTTCCTGTCTTACGGGGACAATTTATATAGAGACCGGAGATGAAAAGGATTCATGCGGCAAGGGTACATACAAAATCGTTTTCGATGCTCATCATTTTCGTGGCAATGAATTGCAACTAAAAGCGAAAAATAATGATTTCCTTATTCTTGAGGGTCAGCAGAAAGATGATAGAGTCAATAAAATTCCAAATGCTTGCATAACCAGATCATTTGCTCGTAAATTTAAACTTCCACGAAATTACGATGCGGCCCTGGCAAGAGCCACCTTTTCCAAAGATGGCATATTAACAATAATAGTGCCAGCACCGCCGCCCCTAGACGATGTTGAACGTGAGATCGAAATAATGGAAACCGACAGGTATTATGGAGCTACGGGCAATGTAGACAACGACATTGCCGAGATGAAGGCAATTGAAAATGAGAAAGAACAAGACAAGCAAGATGAGCAAGAAGAGCAAGATGATAAGTGAAATTAATTGAAGCGAATAGATGAACATGAATATGTCTGCCACCAATACCGCGTAAATTAACATTTTTCCTCCTCATTAAAATTGTTATAATTGAAGAGTTATGAAGAAAAGGAACAAAGCTGCTTTTGTATATTTCCTCACAACTCCGCACGGCTAGTTATAAGTACAAGTTGTTATTTTAGTTCGTTTTAAGGAAAAGCAAGTAAGTCTTCATTAGTGACGACTTTTTAAAACATTTAAATTATTTAAAAATGAAAAAGTAAAGAACGTATATTAATGTAATAAAGACGAACGTTAAAATGAAAAATATTTTAAAGATGTTTAACATGTTTGTTTTCTAAGAGTTGAAAGTCATATCATAACTTGCTACAGCAAGAAAAGGACACAGATAAATAATTGTATAAATAAGTTTTTGCTGGTTTTTCTAACGGATGGGATTTCCTTTTGCTCTGCTCTCTGGATGCTATTCATGCTTGTAATTATATCTAAACAATTAGGATTAACTCGAAGCACCGGATGTCTCTTCGGCACAGAATTTTATGCGAAATAATCGCTTGTGTTCATTAACAAAAACCGGTAGGTAAGAACATGTCTATATACTTATTTAACGTTGGCACGGGTTCATTGGCTTGAAAGAAACTCTGAGCTGCAAACATTCTCGGACATTAAACGTTTTGTGGGAAATTTGCCTTAATTATAAGCTTTCTTATGGTATTTTGTGCATTAAAAATCGTAATTGCATCTTGCGGTATGCCATCTGCAACCAAATATTTGCGGAGAGTAAGTCAAAACAACTTTCTTTTAAAAAGGCTATAAAATTGATAAATAATAGGGCATATTACTAACCACAGACAAATAAATAAATTAATTCATCTCAGACACATGCACAAGCTTAGAAGCGTGAACAAATTTCTCATCATCATTTAACAACATTTTATTGATTTTTTCGTTTCTATTTGCATATTTTATTGAAAATCTTTGCATTCTTGATTGTATCGATTTGTACATTTTCGAACCTTTTCAATTGAATATGCTTCAAGTCAATCATAAAATTTAGTCAAGTGCAAGAAATTCACTTATTTCCGTTTATTTAAACATGTTACGAAATTTTGTACATGTCTTTGAAATGACTTCATTGCATTCTAATTAATGTTTGCTTAGGTTTTTATTCTTTATGTGCAATCAAAACCAAACGTTAAGCGATCCAAAGACTTATGCATACATTTATTGATACACGAACACTTATTTTATTTATAAAGCAGTCAGAGTAAATACTTTAGATATTAAAGACAATGCCAGCAATTTTTGGCTAAATATAATTTATTTGTTAAAATTCGGATCATTATGTCAGCAGTCACCCTTAAACCATTTGATTAAGGAAAATAAAATTTTGTAGTGAAAATTTGCGCTTTTTTAAACTTCTTCTGCTTAAGCAATTTCAAGTCTCATGTCGATTTTTATTGATGCGGACGGGACCCGAAATAGTTTCTTGTCAAATATAATTTTTGTTAGTCTGCGATGGAAAAAAACTACACATCTTTACGTTTGTATGTATTCTGTATAAGTTCGCAATTAATTTAATTTGCGATACACAGCTCAAACATCGGGTTTAAACAAAATTTCCTATAAAAAAAATTGAATTATTAAACGATAGCTAAAGGTATTAATATTATTATTATTGCAATTTATTTAGACCAAAGAAATAGGATGAGCACTAGCAGCTAAGACTATCTTTTTTTTCTTAAGTGCTTAGTTTACTTACAGAGAGAATTATTGTATATATGGTTCTTAACTGAAGGCAGTAACTGCTTTTGAGGCAGAAGTGTAATCAAATATCATTTACTTAGATTAATACTTTCTCAACAGTTGTTCATTCTTGCATGAAATTGCTATTATAGGTGAATTTTCATCACCACATTTAAAACTTAGACTTTTCTGCTCTCGTTTTCCTTATTAGGTTACGATCCAAAAACTAGGCCGAGATAGGCCAAATTTGGTAGAGTTGTATATAAAATTATGTCTCTTTGTTGTGTGAACTTAGTTTTCTTTATCTGAGGGGGATTCCAAAATTGTCCCAGCCGGTCCAATATTTCCATACCATTTTATAATGCCGAAATATTACTACTTAGCCACATTTGCCGAGAAATTTTAATAATGACAAATTTTCAGAATAGGGCGTTATATGCGGAGTAGTCAAAAAATTGGACCGGACGATCCGAACTCATTTTCAATAGAGTTCGTCCTTGGGTGAAAACACGTGCTGCAGCTTGAACACAAATTTACGTGGACATATGCCAGACGGACAGATAGTTCTAAATTAATTCAAATTATTTTTCTGAACCGATCAGTATAATAAAAGGCAGGTATATCTTAAACTCTTCTGCCTCTTACATACGACCGCATTAAGTTAACACACCCTGTACCACAAGTGGTGTAGTTTGTCATTTTTATGTTCTTTGGCAAAAATAAGAATTGTATTAAACAATGTAATTTGGGGTATTTGATAGTCAACCCAGTCCGACTATTTTACTTAATCTTTTCACTTCTTTTCGTAGAACGCTTTGTCAACATTCTCCATATACGCTTCAGTTTCTATTGTAACCCCATTCTTTAACACCAATCTTTTCTCTTGTTGCGGCCGTTTGAGATTTGCGAACAGATAATAATAAAGTGAAAAAAAATCGAGTGCGGCAGTAATTCGAATTCAAATTAGAGAATAGACAGTCTTCTGACAGAATTAGGATATCAGTCATCTTTTTTATTTCGCTTTACAAGGTATCCAACATGATTTTTTATGTGTAAACATTCCCTTTGGGCGTTCACTGCCATCCGCGTGATTGACGCCCGTTCGATCTTAGTCGAAGTCAGCAAATCACCTACAAATCGTTAGTTTCAATGGAGAAGAGTTTTTGCAACGTTTTTCCAGCTAAACCTAATGCTGAATGGAACTTTTTTCTATCAAGAACAATGTTTGATCAATGCACGGAATTCGGACTTTTCTATCGTATTGGAAATGACAAAAATACCATCATTTTAACTGCTGTCACTCGTACAGGAATAATCAGGATGACATGAAATTTTCACGGGCGTCGATCGAGATTTCTCTAGAGGCTGCAGGGTGGTCCCAGGCTATGTTGACCAATGTACTGTATGAAGAGGTAATGAGAATAGCGAATAATTCCACTTTTCTTATATCAATTTCGCTCGTCCATGTATTCCTTTCCTTATCGTATTCACCATTTTAGCTTACTACATTGAACGTTAAACACAAATAAGTCGCAATCGGGTTTAATTCAAAAGCAGAATTAGTTACGTGAGAAGACTGGATCCTTTTAAGATGCAAATATGAATTTTGTTCATGATGCACGTGTAACGGATATGTATACTAAAATAGTTTTTAATAATTTTATGGACATACCTTGTAGCCCTTGAGACGTTTACTATAACACCGTCTTTATACCATTGAAATGACATGCGTGGCGAACCTTGAGCCGTGCATGACAAAACAAATTCATTCCCTTCACGTATCGGCTGCTTAGGGCTAACAATCAAGTCCTATAAAAAGAATAAGAGGAAGAAAGAAGATATGAAATCTTGTCCCGTAAACAAACAAGTTTTAACTCACCATTTCATACGTACCGTTAAATTCAAGGGCGGGTTTTCATCAAATAAATGATAATTGGAAACAAGAGTAATATTGCCAATGCGACCACGCTCCACCATGCGAGTGATTGCTTCGCGGATACGCTGCGAATCATCTTTATTGCCAAACATATGAAAAGTGATCTCCAAAGTATCCCGACTTTTCGAAATCAATTCGAAATCGCTGATTTTTGAAACATTAAAATTACGTACCACACGGGTTATCTGCAAAGAAACAAAAATTTTCACTTTTGTAAAACCATATTTGTTTGCCACTTTCTCCAAAGGATCTACCACTTGCTCTATAGTGCTAGCAATTATCCGTCATTTTCCGAAAACCACAAACAAGGATTTATATCTAAACGAATACGACCTTGGATGTGTTGTTTCAAAATTAAGACACGAGCCCTTCTGTGCAGTATTATAATAGCGCTACAGGCACTGTCAGTAGGTAATTGGTAGAGGAGAACAACAGGTTTACCATTTTAACATTTTAAACATAATAAAAGCAATGAAGATTAACGATCACAACGCCTAGTCACGGTTGGTCATGAACCATTCTTACTTCCGCAAATAATGCTGCAATGGATGCAAGACTTATAAGCTTATTATTAAACGTCTCTTGCCAACATTGCGTTATCATGAAATCGACGAAATTCTCGATTTTATAATTTTCAGCTAAAAATTCATTCATCATAATGAACAAAATTGCAATCTATGACATATCAAGAAAATGTCCAAACTGCTACTTTCACAATCCACACTGCTCTAAATTTTAAGCTTACCAACAATATCTATTGATTTTGTAAATAAATTTACAAAGCCTGGAAAGTCTGGTAGCGGAAAATTTAGATCATATGCTCCCTTGTAATGAAAACGCTACCGCACTTAAGATTTGAACTCGCGACCATTGAGTTGTTAGTCGCAATCTTCTGCCTATTGGGGTACTCATGCGGCTAGTATCAAGAACATAAAAAAAAGGCGCAAAAATTAAGCTGTCAACTGTTAAGTTAGACCCATTTTTTACCATAAACTGAATTGATCTAAGCCTGTCTGTCCCTCTATTGTCTGTCCATGTAAATTTGTGTTCAAGCTACGGGTCGCAATTCTTGCGATATTTTGATGAAATTTGCTACAGTGTCTTGAGCCAAGGACGAGTGCTATTAAAAATGGTTTGGATCGGTCCACTTCTTTAATCCCTCCCCCTAAAGTGCCCTATTCTGAAAAGCCGTATATGGAAAACAATTGTAATTTTCAAAATTGGCTAAGTAGTGACTAAGTAGTAGTATTTCGGAATTGGTATGAAAATTTTGGATCGGCTGACGGAATTTTTTGAAGTCATCTCTTAAATAATAAAAACTGTAGTTCCCACGACAAAAACGTCTAATTTTCAATTATATCATAATAGTAAATTAACATATAAAATTAACTGTCTCAAATTTGGACCATCTCGGCTTATTTTTTGTATCCTATGAAGATGAATATTGACCCATTATAGTAATTTCATACAGAAATGAATTCTACGAAATTGGGTCTATCCACGCCTGAATTTGGAACCTGCTTTATGTAAGCATTAAACTTGTACTACATTAGGTCGCGTTTTGGACCCGCTTCCGCAAAAAGACGCACTTGAAAAATATGCCTTTATATAGAAACGAGATATAATTTTTGTGTTCCATAATAAAAATAAGAACTGTCGTAGACAATGTGGTGGAGGGTATTTAACGATCGGTCTTCCCCGACTATAATGTTCTTACTTGTTTTTTAAAGGCTTATGTCTAGAGAGAATAGTAAAAAATATTTTACACGAACTATAACCCATCACACGCTATGTACTCTTTTCATTTTTGAAAGAGTATGGTATACACAGCTCTTTGATTTTTACCATAAAGTCAAAGCGTTGCTCATAGAGCAAGGAATGTTTGATGAATGCAGCAACATATCCGCGGGACAATTTGCACATATCTTGAAATTGACACTCTTGCAAAGAAAAGTCAGAGGTTTCAATATTAAGAAGGAAAGGAATAAATCGGTCACAATTTATTAAAATATCTGTTAGTCTAATCCTTTCATCCTGCGGAAGACGGTAAGAAGAGATATAATACTATCGGCTTAAATTGAAGTAGTTATGGTTTATCAGGCTTGCACAAAGTCTTTAAATGCTTTAACCAAATCTTACATGTATTCATACAAAATAAAAATTTTAACTCCTTAGCATAACAATTGTCACAACATTAACACCAATGTATAGAAAAAAAAAAACAAAAAAAACGAAAACCAATCGGGAGCTCTTCTATATCACGTTTGATGAGATTATTTTTAATAAAGCGTTTTCTATACCCAGAATTTGGAAGTTCTGTCTCACGGCCTTTATCATTCTCTACACTGTACATTTTCATAAAATCCATCAACAAACAAACGTTTCGAAGGAAGAGAGAGATGAACAAGTAAGAAAATTGCATTGGGCGGGGTACGAATCTCGCATGCCCTCCACTATGTTTTTCGCATTCTACTCTTCAAGTTCTTTTATTAGATATCCATATCGCTGGTGTTCTTAAAAAAAAAAAATTAATCCCGGTGTCTTCCATGTTCACTTCAAAATTAACCCATTTTTGGCAGATGATATATCTTCATTTAAGGAGTGTACAGAATAGTTTTAAACTTGTTAAGTCTTATTTGCCTTAAGATAAATAAGCATTAAACCTCAAAAAAGTGGAAGAAATTAAATTTAAATACTCGTCACTTTGTGTGGATACAGTTGATAGGTCTCATTTTTGAGTCTACAGAGAAAAGTGTCCCGTAAAGCATATGCCGAAAGTTTCAGCCTTCTAGCTTTAATAATTTCCGAATAACTAGCAAAAATCCAAAAATTTTTTGGTAGAAGAAATGGAGTTGTGTTCAATTTTCGCCCTATTTCGCACTACTGCTCCGACTAATGGGGCCCTCTTTCAGTACCAACCTGCGTGCACAAATTTCCACTGTTTCTACGAAACTTGACGTTGATGTCTTCAATTTTGTGATTAAGAGAGTGTTAACAACACACTGCAACGACACACAGATATGGCTAAATCCACTAAGAATTTCACAATGATCAAGAATATACATATTTAAGAGGGTCTCTGAAGCTTCCTTTTGAATGTTACGTATATTTTGGAAAACAACAAAATGAGTAAAGCCCCGTCTTACAGTTGTGGGCATAAAAACGTTACATATTTTGTTATTATATTGTCTTTGCATGCACTGATTATTACATTCGTCTATTTTCAAAAATACTTCCGTTGATCTGTCAGACTTTATGCATTAGGTAAGGGAAAAAAATCGTGTTGGTTTCTCCAACAGATAGCCTTAGAATCGCCTAAATGCGCTATGGTGCTTTTGAAAATTCATGATCCATGATGATATATGTTAATTAAAATAGAATGTTATAACATTTCCTAATTCTCCACGAACTTCACGAACTTTTATCCTTGTCTTACATAAATAAAAAAAGCATAAATTGAAATCGTACCTAGAGGGAAGTTGTTTATTTTATTTTATCTGCACACAAGAGAGTGCGGTAGTAGTAATAAATATTTACACAGGTGCTCTTTTATTGTTGACGTAATATCGCTGCTGACGAATATGTTACAAATTATTTTCATCTTGTGATTTTCTACATTATTATTACAAATAGTTCTAATTAGCATGTTGTCAGTTCTGTAGAGCAATGAACACAAACGTGCTGGTTACATTTATTGTTACAATTAGAAAGGCTCGAAAGTGAAAAAAACTCATTAGAATTCTGAGCCTTACTTTGCTACCAACTAATACGGAATAATTTAGTTTTATTTCTCAATTGTGTTAACTGTGTAGCAAAGTGATATAAAATGTAAGAATTAGACAAAGCAAAGCTTTCAAAAAATATTTTCGAAAATAGGCGGCCTAAAAATAAATTTAAATTAAACAGTGTTTTCCAAAAGCCAAAGAGAAAAAAGTGAAATGATCAAAAGGCTTTCTATAAAGATCTTATGATATTATTCGGTTGAAAGTTGCTTTAAAGAAGTGTAACTTAAATGCCTCCAATACGGCGTACGAATTTCTAAAAACTTTCGATATTTAAAGTTTCAGGCTCTTAGCTCAAATTATATGTATTTTGTATATATTATAAAATCGCATAATTCTTTTATATTTCCCAACAAAAATATTTATAATCGAGAGTTAAAGGGAAATTACTTTTAATTTTCAAGCGACTTTCTTTCATCAACCTTATCATCCCATTATTTTAATATTTATAAAATTATATCAAAAACCCATTCCAAACACTATGGTCATGCAAAGAGCACTATTAAATACTCTACCCTACTTCGCCTAATACAATTCTTCGCCTTTTTCTGTGAGAAGATTGACATTTTATTATTGCGTCTTGCTACAGAATCGGTTCTTAAGTCCGCCCTTTCTATATGTCAGATATTTTCATCACTTCGGTTAACAACAATACATTTTTTGCTCGTAAGCAGTTATTACTTAAAAGGATCACATCTACTTATGTATTGATGTACAAAAAACTTTAAACTCAACTAACTTTAATATCCGTTAGTGATTAGTTTTTTGATTTTCAAACGATTTCTGCACTGTTGGTCACAACGTCGTGGAGAAATAAAGCAATCTAAACTCAGCGTTTGGTATGAGAAAGTTTGGCTAGATTTACCCGCATGGCAGAAATGAAGGCACGAATATTATGAAAGAGAGAAGAAAGCGATAAAAGATTACAAGGATTTGACGGCGATTGACATTCTACAAGTAAATGAAGAGAGTTTAGTCGGATAAAAAGAGGCTGACGGTTAAAGAGGCGAACTGATTTGTATATTTAACGAACTTTCCGATACACACAAAGATGTTCAGAACAATTAAAGAACCGACATATTCTTAGAAAAAAGTGTATTTGAAGATGTTTACACTTATTGATCCTAAAGTGTAGTAGACGATGATTTGAAATGTCCTATCAATCAGAAAGCCACGGCTTGTTTATGTTGAGATGACGGGGGCCAGAGTTCTTCGCCATGTATACATTTCTCAACTGTGCTAAGTATGAATATGAAGTAACTGTAATGACGTTAAGATAAGACAGAATGCGGTAATGATTGCAAAGAGGCAGAAGGAATTTCTTTACTTAAAGCGCTTATGATGTGCGAACATATTTTGCAAAAGTGACTCTGCGACATAATCTTATTATACGTTACGCATTTTATGATTTTTCGTTCAATTTATTTGTTATCAACTTACTTTTCTTTGCTTGGCACTTGAAAGGTCTTTCAGTCAATCAAAGAATCATGGGATCAACGGCAGAGAATTAAAACGTTCTCCCATCCTTTGTGTGGCTAATGAATGTGCATGCCAAGCTTTATAAAGTGTATAGTGTACACCACCATAAGTAGGGTCTCAAGAATGTGGTTATATCGAACTTGTGACTTACGCTTTTACCTAGTTTTTATATACCATGAGGAAGTGAAATAATTTGCCAAAAAAAATGGAAACTTTAAAGATATGTGTGTAAGACTGATATGAAACTTAATTTTTTTCCGTAATCCGTGCGTGAATGTAAAAATAGTCCAGATAGGCTTACCCTACCTACCTGATTTACTTACAAAATAATTTTCATACATTTGACAGAGAAGCTTCACTCTGAGCGTCGTTTTGTCGTATGCTTACGTCGAACACCTCATGTGGTAAGTAGGTATAATTAGATTTGTGGGGATGGAGAGTGACTTAGGACTAACACTAACACTAATCGACAAAGAGTTCGGACATCACTGTAAAAGTAAGCCTTTATATAGCGACTTAAATAAATGTTGAAACTTCATGACAAAAATGAGTGCTGCACTGCATTAAGAGAAATGATAGAACGGTCGCGACCTCGCTTAAATTTTGTGTATAATTTATTCCTATTTCCATTAGTAGAGCTTAAGTGACCTCAAGCTTTCCACGCCAATCTGAAAATGCTTTCTTTTTTTTCAACCTCCAAAATTATTCAAAATATGTTACATATTACGGACCAATTATTGTTCGCATTACAAGTAATTTTTCATAATTTTTACAAAAAAATTAAAAAAAAAAGCAGTATAAGGTATTCGCAGGAGACGTACGGCTTCACTTCAACAAGTAATCTGAACGCATGACAAGAGCGTCTTTAATAAACAAATCTGGCGTTAAGATGATAACCAAGCGCATCTAGAGCAGGATTGCAGGCAAAGTTAATCATAGGCGCGGGGCCACACATCAACACAAAGGTAGACTCGTTGGCCGGAAAGAGATGCGTCCTAATCATTTCGTCATTGACAAAGCCAATGCTATACGGCCAGCCTTCAACGGCTTTATCAACAGTGTACCAAACTTTAAATTTCTTTGAATGTTTTTGTGCTAAATCATCCAATTCATTACGTAGGAGGATATCCTCCTCACTCTGATTAGCGAATAGTAAAGCCAGTTCAGTGGCATCCTTTTCGCCTCGCTTCAATATATCACGAATTAACTGCAGCATGGGGGTAATACCTGTACCGCCCGCAATCATATTCACTCGTTTGGCTGTTGCTGTTTTCGGAGGACCTTTGCGCAACTTTTTAATCAAGAAATTCCCGTTGCCCGTATATTGTAAACGACCCGATGGCCCACAAACCGAGATTTTATCCCCGATTCTCATTTTTTCTAAATGCTGCGTCAATTTTCCGCCAGCTGGAAATTTAAGATGTGTATCTTTGAAGTAAATCTTTATTACAAGGTCCACATAACCGACATCGTCGTCTGACGAAATTGGGGTGTAGGGACGTGTGACTAAATCATTGTCGATAGTAGCTATCAGGTGAATATGATGACCAACTGGCACACCTAGTATATGCTGGTGAGATGGCAAACCAAAGCGGAAGCGACGGGTATCATGACTGATGATTTCCTTTTCAATCAAAGGCAATTGATACTTATCGTTAGCGTCGACTAAAGTGCGCAAGCGCACGGTTCTATTTGGTTCTGGCCGGGGCTTCTTTGCCGCCTTCTTATTAATCAAATAGTGAATTATGGCTGCACCAACCACTACAGCAATAACGCTGGCAGCAACAGGAATAATATGATTTTCATATGATGAACCGGCCATTGCGGTTGGTGGTGATAGCAATAAAATTATGACAACAACAATAATGAAAATTTTACCAAAAATATAAGTATTTGCACTTTGGAAATTCGACAATTAACACCGACCGATTTATGTTCTATTGCATGAGCGACGCGATTCCACAATCAAAATACACGATTCATATAAATTTTATTTGTTCGTATTTTTTTTTTTTTGTTTTGTTTATTTTCTTGAACGGATTATGTCGTTTTTCTCAATTATGTCAACACTTTTGATATAAGAACCGATGACAGTTGTCTGTCTTATTCGAAAAATTTTCTAAAGACGTTTCCCCGTTTACTTCTTTTGAATTCGCTGGACTTTATTAGAAGTTTGAAAATTTCTTGGCCTCCTGACGGTTTATTGCTGTTTTTCTTCTCATAAAATATGAGTGAAACAGCAATTTAAATACATCTCCACTTATGGAAAATGATGTCAAAAGACGAAAGACACATGACATAACAATAATCCGTCTGTGTTGGGGGAAAGGAAATATGCAGAGTTGTAAACCTAATGCATAATAATTGTAAAGGAAGCGTAGCAAAAAAAGCTGTAAACCGAATAAAGTTACTTTCCAGTTGAACTGACTGTGACTGTAATACTTCTTTCAATGGTATGAATAATAATTGTTTTCATCCCGAGTAAAATCGAAAATTGTGGGCCGGATATATAGCGAAAAATTCCGCAAAGTTTTCGAATAGGAAAATAAGTCTTAACAAAAAACAAATGTGAATGTACGCAACCACAAGAAGGGCTCGAGATAGACTCATCTAATATCGATATTTACAAATTTGTCTGTCTGTTTTGTATTCTTGTTCGCAATTTTGAAATTTTTTATGAGATTTGTTATACTGACGTGTTTTCGCCAAAGGAAGAATGCTCTTGAAAATGATTGGGAATGGACCACATTTTAGACTAGTTTCCATGTAATGCCTTTTTCATCGTTTTATCATTAGCTGTAGTGTGGTGTAGGGTAGTTTACGGTCAGCTGTGTCCAATTATAATGCTTGAAAAATAAGCCGATAACTCCAATATCTTAACTAAACTGTGTCTCATATATGTATGGTAATCTAGAATATACTTTTTTAAAGCTTCTAAAGCGTACAAATTTTATTCGCGAAAGAAGTTAAACTTAAAGTCAAGGTACAAAACATTTGAGAGCTTAATACATAATTAATAAGCAGTACGTTTATGGTCCCTTAAAAAGAAAAGACATCCTATCAATAATGCCAGGTGTAGTGTTTCTAGTTGTTGTGCCAACAGCTAATTTTGAACGCGAGCTGATCTTTGGTAAGTGTTTCCGAATAAATTATAAAATACAAAACAAAATTAAGTAAAATATATAAAGTCCTTTTCCATGTAAGTTATCCTCATCTATCCCACTATCTCACGCGGCATGAGTTCGATATTTGTTTCGAGGCAGCTAAGACTGGCTTTTGACTGTATTCAAAAAATTCTGAATTGAAGTATCCTTAATATTTGCACGCTAATAACCATCACAGGCTTCGTTAGCGTAAGATTGGCGTACACCAGTCTGCCCTATCGTCCATCCGTGCTTTTGGGCGAAATCATCGAAGAGTCCAACACGAGTTAGATTGATATACAAGTTGACAAAAATATATCTTAGGGCCGTAAGCGTGATGTTAGATATGGACCTGATCGTTCCATAATTAAAAAAACTTTGATGTATTAATTGAAAGACTCTCCACAATTAATTCGGTTTTAGCATTTGAGTTTTTCGTTTACGTCGGTTTCTATTAAAATTTAGGCAAATTTTTATGTATTTCTGTTTTTATCTCTGATTTTTCTGTCAGGTAGCAATCACGAGTTGCTACCACCTGCAGGCAAAACACCAAGTACATGTGGCACACCTGCGGCAAGGAGTGGAAACAACTTAAATATCAATCTTCCGGAAAATAACAAAGCCATACTGCGATTAGAAGTCGAACTACGTGACAAACATGCACCTAAATATCGAAGAGGAGGTGGCATTGGACGAGTTGGAGGTCGCGGCATTGTCGGTGGTGCAGGTGCTCGCAATCTTCCACAGCAAATTTTCGATAAGAAGGATTTTGCTGTGGTGCCTTTGGAAAAGGTACACTGCATTCAATTGAATTCATAAAAGTCACGAGATTAAGCCGAACACGCCGAAGCACACATCTATGCATAATAAAGCAAGCTGATGTATATTGTCAGAAATTGGAGGGATACTTCCGTGGCGAGTGTTCACCGCCTAAAGCTTAATTTTCTTTTTAGGGTTATGAATTTATTATTTTTGCCCGTTTTTTTTATTGGAGGCTTGATGTCGCTTAATTTTCCAGGTTCTCGAAGAACTTCTCTCCAAGCTTGAAATTGAACATGTTACATGGACGACGAGCAAAAAGGGTTACTTTCATCATGTTGTATTTCCCTTACAATCAGGTGATCCTTGTGAGACAACTTTACATTGCTTGACCGAACTTGGTATTGGCACCAAATTGCATTCCAGTGTTAGGTAAGTGTTAAACAGCATCGCACGATTTGCATTTACTGCAAAACGCGAATTACACTCAATTTGTGCTGAATCTTATCCACGATATTTCAGAGCAAGTTCAGGAGAAAAAGAAAATCTATTCATATATCGTGTTGATATCGTACATCGCATATAATTTAAACCATACTTTCATGTTATTTGGCAGCACTTTGTGAGCAGTTTGACATAATAACGACGATATTTATGTGCTCCACCTTATGTGTATATATTAGTCGGATAATTATTAACTCTTCTTTTGGCCCGATGTCTATAAAACGTATTCGAGTTTAAAAAAAAAGATCAGTCTTTTGTTCAGTCGGTCTATTTGTTTTGAGTGATAAGAATGTATTAACACAACATTTGTGGCCAAAGTTTCCAATGGAAGGCAAGCACGACAAATAAAGTTATTTAAATAGATCTCAGAATTGAGCATGTATACTGCTAGAGTCCCAGCAGTATGCATTAAATATATTTATTATTTGGTACTCGAAGTCTAGCTTGCAATTTTACCTTGAAACTGTACACAACTGATTTTTACCCTTACCATCACTTGTCCTTGTTAAGAAAACAAAAAAGAAATGTTTGAGGCAATGAAGAGCATCGAACTGGGGGAATTTTCAAGGTGCATAGTTTTGTTCTCTAATTAATGAAAATGTCATTAAATTTATTTGCAGTGTTCTCCCTTGCAGCGTTAGCTATGATTCGTTAACAATCAATGTTGCCGATGAAGTTAGGTAAGCAATTTAATAATAATTATTTTTCATTTTCTTTATAAAATGCATAAGCTGTCAAAACTTTGAAATGACTTGTGATTAAAATAAAAAGGACGTTTCTAATGAACGATTGCGTGTTGTTGTTACGAATTCATTTACTATTCGTAGGAATCAAGGTAATAACAAAGTATGTACACGTCCTTGTGTCGCAAAATAATTACTATGTCAATGTGAAGAAATTTGTTGAGTATGCCAACATCAAAGCGATAAAGATGGATTAGATGTTTGATCAGAGTAGTTTCATTTCCATGCACACCATAGCTTATCGTATTACTTAATTCCTAGTACTAATAAGGTTTTTCTTATTTTATGGGTTTAATGGTGAAAACAAAGAGTATTCTTTTATCTCTTTTATAGTGAATCGCTAGATCGGGAAGAAGAACTTTCTAGATGGAATAGCTTTGTGGATTCAATAAAATCAAAGTTAACCGTTAAACAAGTGGTCGATGGTGTGCGGGCTGGCGGCTCATTATCTTTCGACTATATTTTGCTTATTGTAACGGCAGAGTAAGTATGTCAAAAAAAAAAAAAAAACAATACTTAGTCTCTCAATGAAAAGAAACCGTTCACTTCTCTGATAGTAAATGAAGTAAATGTCCGCGAGTGATTTTGCTTGTACCTACGATTCTTAACATTGTAATACCAATTAATGTTTGCAGTTCTTTGGCAGCCTTGGGTTTAGTAGAAAATAATGCGCCAAATATAACTGCAGCCATGTTAGTGTCCCCGCTAATGGGTCCGGTGATGTCTATTACGTTCGGCACCATCATATCTGATCGCGAGTTAATGGTAAGTAAGTTTGGAAATTTTCATAGAAATACTTACTAAACGCTTTACACAATCTTAAGGAAATTTCATTCACCTTTCTTTGAATTTTTGAATATTCGCGTCTTTTATGCGTGCACCAGTTCTAAGATCAATGTCTTCAATAATATGAGTTTGATCAAAGAGCGTGCATTGGTACATTGATTTCAAAGTTTTGAAGCTTTAAAGTTTGTGATCACTATCAAATTCTGAATCAAATCCGTCCGTCCGTCCTTAATCAGTTTGGTCGTCTGTTCCTCTGCCCGTCTGTATAATATAAAGGAGGTTTTCGTTTTCGGTTAATTGGACACACGACAAGAATTTCCATGCATATTCTACAAGAATTAAAAAATCACTTTATCTTCCGGAAAAGGCGGATTTGAAGGTAAGTGCAATAAATTAAGAGCATTGTTTAAAACGTCTGTCGAAAAATGGACAACAATAATAAAAGCCAACTGTCGAACTTACCTATCTCCCAAACCAAATCGAAATATTCCTTATAAGGCATTTAAAAGGCCAGTGTACAACTGTTTACTTGGAATATGTAAATCGCTACTAATGGATACCACAAATTTAGCCCAAAATTAATACAATTTTCTTTAGATATTAAACGGACAACAATTCTTCTTCAAAATTGATATCGCTTGTATAAAAATTGAATTTAATGTTGCCATCATGAGAATCTAACACACGCACTATAACATAACATTCAATACTCAGGATATTATTATAATAGCCCCCCCTCCTAGTTAAGTGAACAGTTTCGAAATTTTTGAAATATTATTGCCAGTGGTATGGACATGTTTGGTGAGAATCGATCGATGATTCGCACTTAAGTTGTAATTGAAGCACAAAAGTTATTAAAAAATCAAGACATGTTTCTGTTGTTAAGTGATGTTCAAATTATGTTACATAAGGTTTACAACTTTGTGTGGCAATAGAATGAACGAGAACTTCTTAAAGTGCATAAAATGTTGAAACTTTATTACATATCTGTGCAGCAATCCGTTGGCATTTACGTAAATATAACGTGTATAAATAAAAATTAAGTTTCCTGTGCTTTTATTAAAACTCGTAAAAACAAAAACAAAAAAAAAAAGTAGGGAATGAAAACCCGAGTTCAATAAACTTTTAACTACATGAGCAGACATAAATTATGCACACATCTGTGCGTTATGAGTTATGAATTATGTTTTTAGAAGGGCTCTTTAAAGCGTTTTATAAGGTTTGATTCATGCATACGCATACATATACATGTATGTAAAAATTGTCATTAATAAATGTGGATTTTTCTAAAGTCTATCTGCATCCATACGTTTTTATTCGACTAAGTGATATATATGTTAAATAATTTTCTTCTTTTTTTTTTTTTTTTTTGATGACTAAATCATTTTCAGCTGAAATTCAGGGATCGTTTACTATAATTCGGAAAACACAAGTACATCAGATTTTGTTGTGCTGCCGAATAAAGTCCTCTGCATGCTGTTACGCTTTCGAAACGAAAGCTCTTATGTATAAAATTTCGTTTTATAAAAACGTGTCAACATTTTGCTTTATTTTCTTCTTTTTTTTTTTTTTTTTTCTTTATATTTTAATTGAATATTGCCGTAACAACTTGTTCTTAAAAAGAAAGCTTCGAAATAAATGTTAGATCGTCTTAAAAACTTAAGTGTAAATGAATAGTCGCTTAGAAATTTATGAAAAGAATTTGAAACAAAGGGTAAGCTACACTCGGCTAAGGCAGCATTTTCTAATATATATGCAATGAACTTTTGTAATTACAAAAGTGTAAACGAGTATCCGTATTCGAATTCGTCACGTCTTATATAGGTTTGTCATATTTTTAGAAAATTCAAGAGCATATCATATTTCACGGAGTGGGCATAAGTTAGATGAACGAGAGCCAAATTCAAGTTTTAAACCGCGAGTCGACATTTTTCTCTATCAATCAAAACTGAAAAATTCTTTTTTTACGCGAAACCGCGTTTGGAACTTGCTGCCGTAGATAAAGGACAAATTGTATGCATATACTTTTAGTTTTCACAAGCCAGCTTTTGTATTCATTTATCTCACTTGCAATATGGGAAAAAGCTGTAAAGAGTATTGTGAGGGCTTTATTGGCAAAAAAGTCCAATGTTTTATATTAGTTTGGGGAAAAAGAAATCCATTATTTTTTCGGTAGATGGCTGCACTGATAGATTTCTCGTAAAATATCGATCAAACAATTTCGGATTTATGCTCGTTGGAAAGGTGGCATTTCGCAGTAAAAAAAATTCTTTTGCTGTTTTTGAATGGTGTTTATGGTTCCGATACTGTAACAGCCTATTATGTGCAATTTTGGTTTCGTAGATTCCGTTTAGGAATTTTTGATGTTAAAGATGCACCTCGCACAGGTAGGCCGGTCGTCGAAAATGTCGATAAAATCGGAGAAATGATCGAAGTTGACCGGCATGTTAGCAGTCGTAACATCGACCAGGAGCTAAAAATCGACCATAAAACAGTTTTAAACCATTTACACAAAGCTGGATTCGAAAAGAAGCTCGATGTTTGGGTGCCACACCAATTAACAGAAAAAAACATGATGGATTGAATTTCCATCTGCGAAGCGTTGGCCAAACAGAATGAGATAGACCCATTTCTTAAACGGATGGTGACTGGAGATGAGAAATGGATCACATACGATAACCCTGTGCGAAAACGATCGTGGTCAAAGAGCGGTGAAGCACCTCAAACGGCCAGGAAGGTTTTGCTATGCATTTGGTGCGACTGGAAGGGGATTATCTATTATGAGTTGCTTCCATATGGCCAAACGCTAAATTCTGATCTCTACTGTCAACAAGCGGACCGTTTGAAGATAGCGATTGACCAGAAACGGCCAGAATTGGCCAACAGGAGAGGTGTCGTGTTCCACCAGGACAACTACAGTGACTCGCCAGAAACTTCGGGAGCTTGGTTGGGAAGTTTTAATGCATCCGCCATACAGTCCGGACTTGGCACCAAGCGATTATCATCTTTTTCTTGCATTGCAAAATTTCTTTAATAATAAAAAATTGGACTCTAGGGAGGATTGTGAAAATCGACTACTAGAGTTTTTTGCAAATAGAGACCAGGACTTCTATGAGAGAGGCATTTCTCACTGGATCGTACACTTTAGCATCGTACGTAAGCTGGTGATAGATGTCAATTTTTATTTATTAATTTTATTTTCTGAAAGGCCTTTCGTTAAATCGAATTTACCCATTGATCGATTGGAAGTTTAAATTATGTTATAGAATTAAAGCTTATATCAAAAAAAAAAAAAAAAATTAAGCAAGCAATTTAGCAAAAACTTACTATCTAAATAAATAAATCAATTTAAAATTTTTATGCTGCTCGCAAATGTAAACATGCGGCGTCAAGCTATTCTGCGGTAAAATGAAATATAGTTAATTGGAAATATTTGAAAAATTTTCCAAAATATAAAAAACGTAAGACAATTATTTTCAAGCTCTGGCCGAATCTTTCACATTGCCTAACTTTGAATAAAAAAAAAAAACAAAAAAAGTGAAAATTGGATACCGCATAATAGCGAGGGAGTGCAGGCGATATTTGCCGTTTCTACATATCATTCATCCCTCATGTTATGCACGTGGAAATTTTTATTTTTGTATCTGATGTAATTTAGAGATGTTCGCAGTTTACCACACATATTACAAAAACGACCAAGTTTAGATCGCATGAGAATTTTATAATTTTTCCAAGATTATATACGTTTCATACAGATTCCGATCGTCTTCCTCGCTGTTGCAAATGTTTTAAAACAACTAATACAACATTTTAGCGAAACAAATGTATATAAATATCTTCACTTTCCGATCATACTCGTATAAAGCGGAGCTATATTACCATTGCAATGTACAGTGGAAAAATCTATCAAAAGTCCTCTTTGCGTTCTATAAGTGATCTTTCAACGATATACGTCATTTTAAAGTTGGCGCCTTTCTGCAGTGATATCCGACAAGTAAAAACACATAGAAACCATTGGTCACTTGCAAAACGCACTCAAGTTTTGAAAAGAAAAATCTTTACATATTCTTTACATATAAAAAATTTTACATTTTCATCTATCCGAATGCGGGAATAAGCAAAAGATACCGAATAAAAATTATGCGCTTTTGAGCTGACAATGTTATTGAATCATACTTTTTCGAGAGTGCTACTGATTGCAATTCGATGTCACAGGCCATGAGGACGTTTGTTTTCAGTAGGACTGTGCCGTTTACTACACATGAGTTCATGAAATAATTTCTCTCTTAGATGAAAAATTTCAGATGACACTATTTGTTTAAAAATCCTAAATAAGGTTTCAAACTTTCAAATCACAATGGATCACAAACATCTTGCAATGTAAATCCTGACCGAATGCAAAACGAAAATAATCATTCGTCTTCAAATGTTACAAAATCAATATTACAAACTAAGAGACTTAAAGGTATAATGGATTCTGAATTTACAAAAGAGTTACTAAATAACTGTCGCGTTTCTCCAATTTATTCGGCCTCTGCAATGCTGGGCGTGTCCAAGCCTCTAATCTAGACTATTACAGTTAACTGTCATCTAAACTGCCAATCTAATATAATTGACCACTTGACTTGGCTCTTCTACTATAAAAACTTTTACTTACCGCAGAATAAAATTCATTCCGGAAATGGGTTGTGAGATATCGTTACGGAAACGGCATTAAAACACCGTCGAAATTGAACGTAAGTTGATCATTGAATAATAAAATGTTGTAAGATATTTTGAAGTGAGAATCTCCCCACGAGTTCACTTGTATATTACATGTAATATCTTGCATGCGAGATAGAGATGATTTCCTCAATATTATTACATGATATTAACTTTTCATTAAAACTTACTTTTCAATTAACTTTCATTTTCATTCATTTAATTTACTTTCCCCCCTAGTCGCGGTTTTAAACCGTATAATATTTGGAAGTTTGTAATTATAAATTAATTATTCAACAACTAATTTAACTAAGAAATTTTATAAAGGTTTCCAATTTTTCTTTTCTCTTCATATTTTTCATCTTTTTGTTTACTTGGTTTTTTCTTGCAGCGCGTGGGATTTATTTCGTTGGCTGTGGGTATGTTTCTGTCGTGTTTGTTCGGTTTCATTTTTGGCTTGATTTTGGGTACTACAGAAATGCCTTGGGGAGCTGGTGATTGGCCTACCGAAGAAATGCGAGGCAGGTTTGTAAGCAAAAAATGTACTATATTTTCTTCTATGTAACATATGAATATACATGTATCTCAAGATTTGTGATTATATTATACAATTCTTTCTTATTTTTATATAAATTTAATGCGTTCACTTTGTGTGTTTTAAGGTAACGATTGAATCGACTTTCCTTTTGCATAGTGTTTGTATATTTTAAATTATGATATAGGTTAGGCGGATAATGCATTTGTAAAACATCGGCCAAATCATTTACTATCCATTACGTTGCGGTTAATCTTATAACTACTGTTAGAAAGGGTTAGAAATAGAAGATCCTTCGGATGTCATTCCGTAACCGCGAGAGCTGACCAGTAAAAAAGTAGTATTAGGGCCTCCAGGAATGCATCCTTCGTAAGAATTTGGTCAACTTAAGCTATTCGATCGTCCGTTAGTCTATAAATTCACCTTCTTTATATTTGACCGCTCACCGAAAACTCTTCTGCGCCAGTTGAAATAGGAAACAGTCATTTCTCGTTCAACGACACATATATTAAAAGTGTGCGGCATTCACCTACAAACATGTGCTTTGCAAAACAAAAGCCTAAGATGGAGCTTATAAAGTATATTGATATAAAGTTTGTAGGTATATCTTTTGTAGGTAGATCAAGATTGCCCAGATTTCTCAACTGTCACGCCAGCTTTTTGCAAATAATCTATAAGTGAAATTGTGTATTGACTTGAGATAGTTGAGATGTCAAACATTCGTTCTTTCATTTTTGGTATTTCTTAGTACGGCTTGTCCTTGACGACGTTCAGGAAACGAAGGCAAAACTGAAAGGCAAAAGCATAGTTCGTAAAGGAAAGCAACAATTTCCTGCAAGAAAACTTTGATTACCTTATTTTTCAGCAATTCAATATCTACTATTTGATTAAGCATTCCCCAACATAAACATTAAATTTCAGCCGCTTGTATTCATACCAGGTAGACACTAACAGATTGTACTTCTTTGATGTTTCACGCATTATGACATGAAACTTCAGCAATCAGTGCAAAATAAATATTCGGGCTCAGGACGGAAAGACCAAGCATGGGGTAGTTAACATTGATTAAAAATGTAGGGAAACGTAATTTGCTTTTCATATTCATGTTTATACTCTGCGAAACATAGTTATGCGGAAGGCAGGCATCATAAAAGGAAATCCAACTTACATCATATTTTTCGACTATTCTTTGCTTTCTACGCAGCCGAATGCACATAAATATAATTATCGTAAACAGACATTACATCAAACGCACAAAGGAAGTACATTAGCAAAAATTCGATTAAATGCAGGAAAGGAAATAATGAGAAAAATGTATTCATATTGATATCGCTTGTCACTTGTGCTCAAACTATTTATTTATTGACTATCGATTAACTTATATATAAGTTAACCGAAAATTCGCACTTATCAACAAGTAAGCCAAATCAGTCTAAAAGTCTAAAAGTTCACAATTAACAAAAAGTCACTGTGCGTAAAGCAACTGTGACGCGCAAATTAGAAACACCGAAGCTCTATTTATATTTCCAAAGCCCTGCGAGAGCAGTGAAGCAAAGTTTTTGTTCCTCTACGAAAGGTAGTGAATATAATTTGGAGACAAATTCTTCCCGTTCAACCATAGAGTGATCATTGAGCCTCTCCTCAAAAATGTTTTGTTTTAACAATAAATATTATTGCTGAGCCCCATTACCATTCTTGAGGCTGCACCGATGTTCAAGTTAGATGTTGACATTTTCACAAAGTTAGTTAGTTTCTGATTGTACAAACAAAGCTATTAAGCCAACGTCTGAAGTCCTCTTATTTATTAGCAATTGTAATGGAAGTTCTACTACCACCTGGATGAGCCATGTTTTCGACTGTTCCTCTCGCAACGCCTTATTTCTAAACAAACGGCACTTTTAAATGCTTCTTGACCGTCTCACATACAGCCGCTAATATGAAAAGTAAGCCTTTACATCCCAAAAAGTCCCAACTTTGAACGTTTTATCCCAAAAATAGGTCAAGTTTAGCAATTTGACATAAACGTAGGTTCGTTTTTTGAATAATGCCCCATACGAAGTTTCCCACACCCTTATGTCGAAAAGATGTAAAGAGCAATAAGATCTTTGACAAAAAAATTAAATAAGGATGGTATCAGTTCACGTTTTGCGGTCCCTCTAATATGTGGGTGCCTATGGAAACTTTGCTTTTACGCGGTAACGAGGAAAAGTATTAAAATTGGAGAAAAATAAGCGAAGAATCATATTATTAGATGAGTTGGTGTAGGGTATTTAAAGGTGGGCAAAGGTGCCAAGCCTTCTCGGTTGTTTCAATGAAAGAAATTAATATAGAATTAAATTTGAAATATAAGCAGCACCTCTTCTGCCTTTTGGTCAACGATTTGCGCATTCATCATACGTGCTGTAGCATTAAAGCAAATCAAATGAATTAAATTCCGTTGCAGGTGGTAGGGATGGAGCTTTTCTTCGTAAACATTGGTTTGCAAAACGTATATATGCAAATATACATAAATGTTCGTACGTAAACACTAATGGATCTTGATATTATTTCTATATAAACGTACACAAGTGCAAGGTAAATATCAAAAAATTCAATTCAAATTCAAGTCGAATATAAATTCTTTTAAATCTTGTGCTTGAACATGATGTTTTATAATTTCATTCCAGCACTAAACGTCAATCTCACTTGAAGTAAACATCTACAGACAATATAACAATTAGCAGAAAAGTGTAGGAATATAAGTTAAGATATTATAAACGCGCAACATCGATTAATAAATACCTTACATATTAAAAATTGGATGGTGGTGCCATATAAAAGCCAACTTTTCACGAGAATTGTTCGATGTGAAGAGGTGGGAAAAACCGAGAAATGTAGTCTTAATTTACTACCGTAAATTTTCCTATTGAATCGTTATGTTGAACCAGTTTTCTGGTTCAGAAAGTACTAGAAATTAAACGTCGCTGCCTTCATCCAGATTTGTTCAGTATGTCAGACGGTTATTGTTCACCGATTTTGATCGAGAAATATTGTAAAATATCTTAAGATTGAATACAATGACATGAGATCAAGATTCTGAAAAGGTTGTAAGAACAGACAGTCTTGAAACCATACAGGAAGTAATGCTGAATCGATTGTAATCACGACAAACTTAACCACAAGTGCCGTAGGGTATAATAACAAAAGCATATAGAAGTAGCTAGCGCGTACTCTCCGCATTAATGCTCGGCATTATTTGTAAAAAAGAAGACAAACAGAAATAAGAAATAATGATGTACATGTACGCATGCATTCGCTTTTAAGGGATCATTTCTTATTATCCTTGATAAACAATATTTTCCCCTCTATAACACCAGCAGGAATTATCTCGTGTCATATCAAATGAAAACGCATCACCACAACGAATAGATAGATGTTCACACAACTAAGCAACACATTTTTCTTATTCTTCTTTACTTCAGTACAACTTTTCTTTTTTTTTATGCAGGTGCATGGAAATATGAACTTTTCTTACTTTTTGCAAACGTAATCATTTTTTTTTTTACTTGCTGCGTCTCTGCGCTTCCAGCAAAACACTATCGCAACGTTAGGTCTTCTTCTCAAATATATAACATACCGTCTATTTATTCGCCATTTCATCTCTTTTACATAAGCAAACAAGCATCAGAAAGACTTCAGGGAGTTGCAACATATAATGCTAACATCGAGGACAACTGTATCAAAGGGGCGAAATCCCTTGTTTTAGATTTTTAATTTTAAGCTTCTTTCGCATTTTAATAGTAAAATTAAGTAAATGCGTTGTTCTTCTATTTTCGACAAATGGTTAAAAAGTCGTTAAGCGCCATTATTGCCTGTCAAGTTGTCACGTGTTTAGTGAGTTTAGCGAAAATTCATTTTTCGTGTTTTTTTTTTTGTTGCAATTTTCAACCTTCTGGTCGTGAACTTAAGACTAGTTTGCCTTTTACGCGTTTGCTTTTCTTTCCGTTCGTTCGAGCCACTCCATGAGCCCTCTTTAGCAGAAATATTTATGAACTTATAATGGCATGAATGCTTTGCAAAGAAGCGATTTTTCGTTTACAGATTATTATTATGATTGTTTACTTAAAAAGGCACATCAACCTTGAAGCAAAATAAAATACTGAAAATAATAAAAACGCAATAATATTTAACAAAATAATAGTAATTTTTAATGAAATATTTGCTTTTTACAGAGGCAACGTTCGTTCTTTATGGATGGGGGTGCTGTGGGCTTTGACATCAGGTACTGGCGTAGCAGTGGCTTTATTACAAGGTTCAGCTGGCCCTTTGATTGGTGTAGCGATCTCTGCTTCTTTATTGCCTCCAGTAGTAAATTGTGTAAGTATTCCATTTGTTTTTTTCTCTTTTTTGCACTTTTTGAAAGAACGTCTGGTAGAAAAAGTAAAACTTAATTTTTGCGATATCCTTGAAAGTGTATTTAATAAAAAACTACAAAAAAAAAAACTCAACTTTTTCAAATAGACTTTTACTTAAATGAGCTAAAAGGCGACTAAAGATAAAAAAAAGTGGCGATTAAAATTTTAATTAGTACAAAATTGAATATTTTGTATACGCCCCAGGTTTTTATAAAAACGAGTTGACAAAATTTATTCTCCACCTTCTAGTTCATTTAAATGAAAGCTTATTGAAAAAGTATCACCGAAGGATGAGGGGCATATTCCATTTGTCAAAACGTCTGTAACGCCTGAACGGAAGCATCAGAGACCCCATAAAGTACATATATTCTTTGTCCGCATCCAATTCTAAATCGATTTAAGCATGTCCGTTTGTCCGTCTAACCGTCTGCCCGTCTGTGCAATGTCTGTTGTAAACATTTTCCTGGCCGCAAAAGTGAAGTTATCGACTTTAAATTGTGCAGAAACGTTGGGTCCCCTTAGATAGGTCGAAGGACATGCCCACAGCACCACGTAAACTGAAAATAGCTCTGCTTTTCAAACGGAATGAAAAATAGATTTTTTACTCGTTACTCATAAACTATAGCAAATACGTACATAAAAATTTGGAAGCATATTCTGTTGGCGATGCTGTAGCATTTATGCAAAAAATTGCCCGCGCCTACCCAATATCAAAATTCAATTGTTTTTTCAATACGTTTATAGCACGCAGAAACAAGCTTCAAACACCCCATACAGTAAGCAAATTCTTGGTCAGTTTCAAATTTGGGATGGACCTAAACATGTTCGCCCGTTAGTCTCTCCATCTGTCTGTTTGCGCAACTTTGTAGTATTTGTGGTAAACATTCTCCCGTTAGCGAAAAAGCAGATATCGCCTAAAGGTTTGCAAAAGAATTTGCAATTGACCTCAACTTTTCAAAGGATACGCCTACATGTCTCTACGGCAAAAACTTGTACTTTGAAAATAAAAGAAATCAACTTTTTTGTTCTTTTATTTCTTATGTATTTCTTTTTTTTTTTGGGATAAACGGTTGATGAATACAAAAGGTTCGGTCCCGACCAAATTTAATTTTCTCACTTGTTGTTTTTTAATCTACTCTACTATTCACGTTCCTTCTTCCAAGCCCTTTTATTTAACACCCATAGCCAGGAGATCGTTATTTGTAATCATTTTCTTTTTAGTCTTGTATTTATTTATTTGCAACTACAAAGCTATAGGTCTGTGTACAATACGTAGTTAATATAGTTTAAAAAAAAGTGCAGTGCGATTGAACTGAAAGACTACTTAAGTAGTCATCTTGCTCGGTGAGTAACAGTAGTAGTAGACACATATAAGACAAAACTGTTCACTGATTAAAGATTTGTGGACAGAAACAACCTTCAAACGATAATTGTAAAGATTTCCGGATAATCTGGCAATTAGTTTACAAGTCTGCTGTCTGTCCGAATATCGCGTATTGATTAAATGCAACTTTGTAATGAGTTAAAACACGTTCGCAATTAGCATTGGCTTGAAAGATGTTATGGCGACTTTTTGTCTGTCGGAAAAATAAATTTGTGGAAGAAAGTCGTCGGCACACCAATAATGTTGACAACTTTCCTCGCTCGAATTCGGAACTTGTTACAGAAAACAAAAAAGTCCACAAAATAATCTTGGAAAAATGCGTGGTAAAGCTGCTTAAGATAACTGACACCTTAAAGATGCAAAGAATGTACTGAAGGTACTGCAGCATTTGCTCGCCTTGAACAGAAACGTGTTAATGATTCAGAATGCTTTTCGAGTTGTTAACGCAAAACAAAGAGGATTTTTTTATGCGATTTATGACAGTAGATGAAATATGGATTCATCATTATTCCAATCGCCGACGAAAGTCGTTGAAAGCGATCATAAAAGTAGTAACCTGTAAGCGCGTCGTCACGACATTTTGTCACGTATAGTTCTTACCATCCAGATGTCCTGGACGCATATATGCATATATGCGTCAGATCGGAGAGCTACTGAATGATATAATAGCTGCAAACAATTTTTGGTTTAGTGTTCTAAGTATGATATTATTAATTGTAGCTGCCACGCCCCCACATCGTTTTTACATATATGAAAATGTTTTTTTCTTATGCCTTAATGCTCTTAAGGCTTCATTCGTAAGAACGTTACACATTAGCAAACCTTGCTGTCTTTTTTATGTGAGATTTGAAAAATGACCCTACTTTTAGAAAACACAAGTCTGCCTTATTTCTGAAAGGCGGAAAAGAAAAATATGTTGGCCAAGTGCCCGCATACAAGGTTTTTCGTCCATTCTTTAATCTAAAATTTTCCTTTCGTGTTATATAAAATTTCCGTAGTATCATTATCTCAGAAACTATAACTTTGTATTTTATTAATTAATTCATTGATGTTTTGTAACTTAGGGCCTTTTCTGGGCTTTGGCTTGTATTTGGCTAATATATCCAGGCACTCGGATTCCGCACTTGAAAGGCGAACTTCACAATACGACGTCAGCGTATCCGTTTCTCTACACCGATTATTTACCAACCGAATTTCTGATCAATGGGATTGTATCATGTCTGCTGACAGTAGTTAATGTAATTTGCATTTTTATTACGGCAATAATGGTATTGAAAATCAAAGAAGTCTCCGCACCTTATACAGCAAGTCCCGACTTAAAACGGTAAGTGTATATGTAAACGGAGCAAGGAATTTCTTTTTCGGTCCATAACACACATTTGGCAAATAAAATTTGGTGAGAAATAAAATAAGTAATAAAAATATTTTAGTTTATTAAGCTTTCTCCACCCCTAAGGACAGAGTTTTTATTATAATGCACTACGAGAAATAAAAAAATATTTTAAGTAAGAAAATATAAATATTTCAACGTTTCAGACAATCTTCTGTGTATCATAAAAAGTTGAAATTATTCTTTCCCTCCTCTGTCAGACAACAACAAATTGGAAATAATTTGCAATCAAGAGTTAGACTTCTTAACCGATCAATCGGAAGCTTCTGTGTGTTAACTTTATTTTTGCGACTGTCGCGTTTCGACAAAAATTTGCGGTCAAACTGATTGGTAGAAATATGTAAATGTGATCGGCATCTCGAGAACCATGCAAAGTACAGGCAAACCGATTGCAAGCATTTAACGATCTTCTCATATAAATAAAAGTCAAAAATTGAAAAGTATTAGCTCAGCTCACGCGATACTTTGTGACACAATAAGAAATTTTGGAAGATTAATTTTAAATGTTTACAAAAAACTTGGATTTATAAAATACGTAGTCAAAAAATTATTAATTACATTCTGAACTGTTTGTGGTACAGTATATAGCAGCCTTTTACGGATATAATATATAACATGGAAAAAAGGATTTGATATAGACCTATCCGTGTATATTCTACATTACACTAATCGAATTTCAAAATATTAAATTGTCTGGCCGTCTTTCCGCTCGGGTCCGATCTATGTAGTTTCAACATACAGGTCACAGTTTTCGAGACAACTTTCTTCAAAAATGATCAGATCGGACAATTTTGAAGAACGCTCTCCGCAGAAAGTCACATTTCAGGAGAACCGCTCCGAAGTTGTTCGCACTATTTCGAAATTTACTTAATTTTGCTAAACTGTTTTGCATTTCGTATGCAATTCAAATGCAGAAGCAAAGATTTAATCCGTCGACAACTTATGTCAAGTTTTTACATTAATTTATTTATAATTGACCAAAAGTTGCTATTTCCATATCTGCATTCTTAATAGTCTTCATCACTGTGTTCTCAGGACATAGGCCCGAATCTCTTCTCTTCTCTTCATGTTTACCTTAATAAATATAAAGATAAGTTAACAAATTTTTAAGAAATTTCTTACACTGTTTTTATCATTTCTTTATAAAATAGCTTTTGGGAGACCGATTTGCGCACAGTGAGGAAAACCAATCGTTCCACAATACGTCAACGGAAAGGTAACGGCAATGAAAGTACTTTCCGCGACAAATTATTATAGTAAGTGATCAAGATAATGATGATGACATGAAAGAAGATCACATATTCAAAACAGAATATAGTAGCTATGATGAACACGCTTTCACGATGATATCCATCTAAAATGCGAATCATTTTATTATGAACTAATCTTGAGCAGTTAAAATGAACCAAAAAAAAAAAAAAAAAACATTGAGCATAAACATATGACATTCACTTCAAGCAATCATTTCCATAATATTTCTTCTTCGCCGATTTGATTTTCTATGTACATAAGAGTTTGAATGCTTTGCACATGCATGGTAGACGGGGACGCGCTTATAAATAGCACAGATCATATATCTAGTTTTTTAAATGCATTACTGGTTTACATATCTTCAATCATAAGCATATTACAGCTACTTATCTCGTTAATCATATTATAGTATTTAAGCGATTCATTTTTTATTACTCTTGGCCACTATCCATTGCATTCATTGACTCTGTTCCTGTCAAACGAATATTATTCTTCTAGACAGAAAAAAGAAAAAATACATTCAGACTCATAAAGCATGAAATTTTCAATTTTAATTTCTCTTAGGGTATGTATGTATGCATATTTGCATCTAAAAGTTGGCCGGGATCATACATTAGTCAGATGCATGTATTTTGAATGTTAGTTTTAAATTTTGAAAATTGGAAAAGTTTATTTAAAAAAACCAATTAAATATTCACACAATTCTCCATTAACGGTTGCTCTGCTCATCTCATTTTTTTATTTTAACTCAAAAATTTATCAAAACTTATTAGATTGTGTTTATTTTAACTATAAATAGACATTTTTAAGCATAAGCACTGTTGAACTTGCACACTACTCTGCTTGATTAGATTCCGAATCATTTTGCTCTGAAGGCTTCCCGTCATAATCGGTTTTTATTTTGCTTATGTTCTCTAGTGGTTACGAAGGCACAGAAGAACAACGCAATGCTCTAGAACAAGCTCTGAAAGAAGCCGAAGATGACGCTACATTTAAAAAAGTGAAACGAATGAGTTATTCCAGCAACGCGGCAGGAGAGGTAAATAAGATTTACACCTAACATATTAATAGAAAGTAAAAGAAGAAATTAGCGATCGCCCGCAATCCTTTCTATAAACCTATTATTTTATTATACCATTTTCCAGTTAACCCAACGTTTGGCAAAACTGACCGGTCTTAATAAGCAACCGCAGTATGGCATAGGCACCAACACGCCCAGCCGGGTTGGCAGCACCTCACGTCGCATGAGTTCAGTACGTGGTTCTAAATTGAACATTGACTTAAAAGTGCTTGATAAGTTGGTCACAAACCTATTAGAGCAACAAAGCTCACCTAATACAAACATCGCACAAAGTGCAACCGGTGGTCGCAAATCTTCCTTAAAATTAAGCCGTTGGCGACCAACATCACGTTCAGCGCATTGTTCGGAAGGCTCTACGAATTACATAGCTCTCAACGATCAAGGCGAAGCCGGTAATAATAATGGAATCGATATGCAACATATGCCCACTATTATGGAAAGTCCTGTAGGCAACAGTAATAATAATCAACAAAATCAGAAAAATGAATCTTCGACAACAACGGCAGTATCTACAACACCTTCCAATCGAACATCTTGGTCCAACTCATCGGAGCACAGATCCAGTGCTGTGCGGAATGTTTTAAGAAATATCACATCTTCTGGCAGCGGAGCAGGTGATAGTGCTAAGGAGGAGACTCTTAATTTAACACAGAATTTTTTACCATAAACAACATAAACGTTATCAATGAAAACATATATCCACCGTCTTAATGAAGCTAAGAATTTGTTAAAATGTGTTAAGGCCACCATAGAAATAAAGATAATACTATTCTTTGATTTAGGGACACCAGTGTCTAGAATGTAGGTACTTGGATAAGCGTAAGGAAGCGAAAAAATAAAATATGCACAAAAAATACTGAAAGCGTTACATTTAAGCTGTGGCGAGTTTCGAATTTTCATTTTCTAAGGTAAGCAGAAGAAAATACTTGATTACTTTCCCGGTAATCAAGGCTAAGAAAAATATCAATGAGCGACATCTGATGCAATTGCAAATTGTTATTAAAAGTATTATTAATTTTTGCGTTTTCTTGAAGAGTTGCGGACATGCTTACAAACAGATTTGCATCTGCTACCAAATTTGAATAATGAAAATTGACTAAGAACCTTCATTTTTCATTCTCAAAGTCTTTTAGGTTACAAAAAAAAAAAAAAAAAATTGCAGTTTCAAAATTTCATGCACATGAAGACAAAATTTATGAGAATATATTCTCTTGACTTTTTGGACCTGTTTGTTTACGTATTCATAAATTAGAAGAAATTATACCCGGGCGAGAATGAAATCAAGCAAAACAAGATGTCAGTAAAAGCGACATTTTGTCTGGCGAGCCGAATATATGAATGAACGTTGTCTGCATTTAATGCACTTAGTTTTTCTTGTCGAAGAACTTACTATTTTATTTTTTTATTTTTTATTTTATTTTATTTTACCCATTTACACATGAAATTCAACTAAAGAAAATTACAGTCGAATTCCTTGCATCTTCATAGAAAATCTTATAATAATTCTTTTGAAACTGGTATACAATAAAAAGGAAGAAAAAAAAAGAAAGAATAATAATAACAAAGTAAGTTTAAAAATAAATTAAAAAGTTAAAAGTAATAATTCATGTATAAATAAATAAAAAGAGAGAGAGAGAAAAAAAAAAAGAAAAACAAGCATGTACACAGTGAGCGCAGAAACACATCCGCAACAAGAACAGATGTAGATTGCAAGTGAAACCCTCACCATCGTTTAGATTTCTGCAAACAACTCTGAGCGGGTTAAATAGCTCATAATTGTATTTATATTGACTAAGCTTAATCAAGTGCTTATAGCTCAAGGTTAAGTTACCTAGAAAAGCAGTTAGGGACATTAAAGCTTACCTAACCAAGTAATGCGGGCGAGTCAATAGTACCATTTACTACTTTGATTATAAAGGAAATCCCAAGAACAAACCCTATTTTCATAGGGTGGAAGAGAGGCAATCGGGTCCCAACCTTAATTCCTAAGGGCAAACAGCAAGAATTGCTTTTGAACAATTTCAATGTACGTAGCACCTATATGAAGGGGACCACACAACAGAAGCTTACTCAAGTATAGGTCTCACCAAATACATGGACAGCCTTTTCGTAATATGAGGTTCATAAAGCTCCTAGGAGGAACTCCTTCTCACTCATTATGCTAGTGGAGATTGGTGGTAAATTTCGAAGGGACTGCAGACGCACCCTGACATTCCCTTTTCCTTCTTTAGTTTGGTTAACCATTCTAGTGCTCGTTCAATGCACAGACCATTTTGTGGAAAATGACTACAAAATTTTCTTTCGAGTTTGAATTGTACACTGGATCACTTTTACCTTTAGTGCATCTAACTCAGACTGGCTAAGTTCTTTTTTAAATGAATTGTAGAATATTTATCTCAGTTAGCCAAATCTTTTGTATAAATTTTCGTCATGAAGTACTAAAAATTTGACTTTATTGCGATATATAAGCTTTTTATAAGAACGCTTACGGGCTTCAAAAAATCATCCCGTCTATTCCCAATTTTATAATATTCCCCGTTAACTGTCTGAACACACGCCATGGATACATTCTACTAATACTTCACTCTCTGCATTTTATTTTGGATTGGGGAATTTTTTGGTTGAATAATTGCTCTTTCTCATTACGTGTATAGAATTATCACAAGACATCAACATGATAAGTTTTGGGAACCTTTGAGAAAGTAAAGATAGATTCACTTACATATTTCTCTAAAAATTGCGAAAAATGTTGAAATGACTGATTGAACTCTTTCTCGTTGCCGTGATGCTGATAAAAATTGGTTAAATTTGTTCCTGAACGTATTGTTGCTTCATATCGAGTTTTTCCAGCGCGCCCTGCGTATTAATAAAAAAGAAAAACAAATAAACAAAGCAAATAGAAAAGATTATATTAAAATTTTCGTAGATAAAGGAAAAGAATACAGAAAGCTTCAGAAAGCTTAATTACATTCTTCGAATGTATATAAGAAATCGTTAATTACCTATAAACTTGTTGGCTCTTGATATGGATATCTTTTCCTGCAAATTTTCGAAATCGCATTGACGATAGCAAGTGAGAGCCGAAAGATTGGTGGTACAACCTGCAAATAGGAGAAGAGCATTCAAACTTATTAAATTCATTCCGCTTATATTCAGTTTTATACTCTTTTTATACCCACCACTGTAAGATGAGGGTACACTCGTTTTGTTTCTTTTTCCCATAATATTTGTAACACACGAAAAGAAGCTTCAGAGCTCCTAGTAAGTATATATAGATTCTTGATCATAGTGACATTCAAAGTTGATTTAGCCATGTCTGTCCGTCGGTACGGCGTGTGTTGGGACTCTCCTGTTTGGAAAAATGAAGATATCGACTTCAAATTTGGGAGAAACATTGGATGTCTCTACACCCAGATTGCTGTTGAGATTAAGCCAAATCGGTTGGAGCGAAAGCGAGCAGCAGAGTGTAAACTGAACGCAACTCGGTTTTCTTTTTTGCTCGAAAATTAAAAAAGTTAGAAACCTGAAATTTTCCATTGCTACTTTACGAAGTACCCTACTCCTTATATGCAAAAATGGAAAACATCCGCCATGCCCACACAAAGTTACAAGTGATCAATGTCTGTTCTTTTCACTTTTTTGAGGTTTTGTGTTTATTTATCATAAGGCAAACAAAACCGAACGTTTACAACCATTTTGTGCACTTTTTAAATGGATATATATTATCTGCCTAAAAACAGATTACTTTTAAAATGAATTTGGTAGACACCGCGATTGCGTTTTTCGTAACAATACCAGCGATATGGGTAACGAACTTGGAGAGTAGAATGCGGTGAACATAGTGGTGGGTATGCGAGATTCGGCCTCCGCCGAATATAATTTTCTTACTTGCTTTTGTTAATTTAGAGAAAACCCTAGAGCTTTAAATTTAAACGCAATAATGCTGTCCATTTATTTATAACGTCAACAATTGTTCAGAGTGATGTGAAGAAAACGCGGTTACTTTGTTTTCAAACTTAATTCTCCCCAAGCGTCATATGAATCACCTCTCATTTTTATTCGTGCAAGTCTCATATATGAAAATTTGAAAAAATGGTCGGCAGATAAACTCTTTCCTTATTTTCGTTTGTCGCCCCTATACGAGTTCATGTTCTCAGTAATAAAACTAAGTCCTTCGATCACTGCATCCAAAATTATTCCTTGTTCGAAAATGAGTTGAAGACGACGATATAAAAGAAGCAGGTGAAGACTAAACTTGAGCTAGTAAAAAGAATTTACTTACATTAATACAAGGTAAGTAAAAAGGCAGATGTCAAAGAATTGAAAGAAGAAAAATGACAATCCTTAATGGACATCTCAATTTATATTTGAATTTTGTTTGCAATTTAATTTTCGTGCTAAGTGTCAAGAGCCTTGACACTTAGCAAATTTGCAAAACTTCAATGAAGAGTGAGATATCACAATCTACAGGTAGTAGAACGCAAACCATTTATAAAACCAGTGTCCAAACTAAAAAAGAGACAAATAAACCTGACAAGCATTAACTTGCTAAGGAAAAACTAAAGTTCTGTTTGCAATATATATGACGAATCTATAAGCAAATTTTGCCACAACGCAGGTATGCTCTTAGCCAACAAAAGCATTTACCGCAAAGTCATTAACATGCAGAAAAAAAACTTGCCGAGAAGGATACAAAAGAAGAAAACCATACGCCACTCTTTAAACTTGACATGCGGTGAAACCAAGCATGTAGAGTTTGTGTGTTTGTGGGTTTCTGTGTGTGTATGTATGTGTATGCGCGCGTATATGTGATCAGAATATGATAAGAAGTACATGACTTGCAGTGATAGCAACAGCCGAGAAAAATAATCGAGAAATGAAAACATTAGATGAAGAGGTTTGTAAATAGAACCCCACATCGCAAGAGATGAAAATTTAGGGAAAGTAAAGCTGTTTAAAATGACATAAACGACAATCTTAGTAAGACGGAGAAAAGTTTGAGAGGAAAAAGATTTTTAAAAATACACACATAAATTGCATAACTATTTATAAAAATGAAAAGAGGGCAGTGTGTACTGAATTTTTTGAATTCATTCTGCGAACGAAACAACTATCTTTACTAGATCACGTTTCCGTATAAAAATATATAAACATAAATATAAATAAGATGAAATTTTCGTGATGTAAAAAGCAAGGCGCGATTGGAAAAGTATTACTCGAAATGTACTCAGAGTCGAAAAGCATTACCGATCAGATGTTTTTAAATTGCCATCACTAGGCATAAATTACGATTGTCAAATGCTTACAGAGGCTTGAAGTACGCGTTGCAGGCCTTCTATAGTATACATGAATAATTAGAGTTGATGATAGGCCAGCTGGATTACCGACACTTTCCTGCTTGTCTGTTGGAACTATTATCGCACATTAGACTGAAAACTTTCTTTTGGAGTTTTACTTCACTGTCGTCACGTGAAGTTAAAACATTAGTTAGATGGTTGCAAGTCCTCACTTACAATTGCAAACGAATTAGCCACATATATGTATATAGGTATATGCAAGCCGATGTACATAAGTAGCGTTTTATTTCTTTGAAATTTTGCATTATTTCCTAACACATTTCAATGCATAAATATTTCGGTGATGAGTCTGATAAACACTTGTACATGCATTTAGGAGCTGTGTCTATATCTAATAGTACAACAGGGCTTATGTTTGGTGTTTGGCACTCTCTCTCTCTCTCTCTCTCTCTAGGTACAAAAGTGATAAATTGATCTCTTGTGTATTGATATATATTTGCTTCACTTTGTTGCATTGCAAGCGTACATGTGAAAATGTTAGCAAAAATTTATGTGATGTATGATTAAAGCGAAATAACAAATGGGAAGGCATTCGCCTTAAGCTAAATTTTCAAATACCAAATGGTGTTTAAATAATTGCTGGCTAAACTGAAATTGACGCAAGATTCTCAGCACAAAGAATAGAAGAATGCTTAAAGTAAAATTGTATTTAAATTTTCATTTGTTGCAATGCCTAAGGGGCAAAGGAAGGATTAAAGAAGGGAAGTAGGCGTATGGGTTATACAAGTCAATATTGTTGTTTAGAACACAAGCTTATAGACTATAAGTAAGTGAAGAATATTTCCAGCTTGAATGGTAGACACTCAAACTTTCTCTTGCTGTCTCTTTCTCTCTTCTTCTTCTTCTGGCGCTTGGAGTGGGAGCAAAAAAAAAAGATAATAATATGGAAATATTGCATCACAAATTTAAAACAAAATTTATTGGGTGTTCTTAACCAAGTAAGCAGTGCTAACCACATTGTCGAATGCATGTATGCTTTCGTTTCTTTATATATGGCAACAATAAATATATTCCAGTTCATATCTCTCTTGAAATAGTCGCCTTCTGTTGTGTAGAAGATGCCCATGTGTTTCAAATTTATTGGGTTAGAAAAGATGCAAAGATCTTATGGTTTTGTGGGCGCTACATTACGCAATATCAGATTTCTCCAAGCCTTTGAAACAGTTAAAATAGCTAATGAGCGTGATTGTAATTTGCAAACAAAAAAAAAACATTTTTAAAAATATAAAAAAAAATGCTTCGAAAAGTTTGACTGTAAAGCGAATATCTTCGATTTTCGTAAACAATTTGTTATTTTTCGAAAAAGGTCTTTAAAACATCGGCGATAACATCTCTTAATGTGAAACAATCAAAGTATTCCGCAGGTTTCACTAGAGTGTGTTATCATGAACTCATAGTTGAAATTCCAAGTCAGTCAGGGAGAAAATCGGTGATATATATATATGTATGTGTGTGCGTGTGTGTGTGTGTCAGTTTGGAAAACTCAGTCCAGAGAAAAATTCTTTTGCAGTTATACGCAAAGGCTATTTTAAGTGATTTTAGGTATCTGACTGTACTTGAAAATCGAATCTATTAGCGACAGAGAGAATTATGTGGTTCTGGGATGTTTGATGGATCATTGAAGACGATGCTCCTTAAATATTAGAAAAAGCATATTCCACACACGCCAGCAATTGATCGGTATGTGAGTTGAAAAGATATATTCGTCACTGACATCTTGTCGCGCGTGCATAGCAATCTAACATGTGTAAGACGCGCTATGTGCCTTATCAGCCTCAATGTGCCTGATGCATCGATACCAGGTTGTATAGCGAACAAAGAGCTAACGGATTGTGGATCTGATTTTTCTGAAACGTCTTAATTGGAAAAAAAAGTTTTATGTGGACAGAATATATTTCCCAGGCAGAGTGCACGAGTGGTAAAGGGCCTTTTTTAAACTTGCTCGATAAGACTTATAATGGCAACCAATATGTCAGGCAATTAAAATCTTCGAAAGCTAAACACAACAGTAATATATGGCGAAAATTCATCGAACATCGTCTAAAATCCTCATTGAATCCAAGCTATCTAGAGTGAACAAGATAACAAAGTTATTCATCGAACATTTCGAGTAAGTTTTTCGCGAAAAATCACATGTTAACCCTTGACCGTTTACCTTATCGGCATATGGTGTGACTTCTGCGAACTGAGAAAAATGCTTGTGTCGAAGAAAGGAAAGCGTGACAATGACGCGAAGCCTGCGCAAAAGTCTAACAGCGGCAATCTGAAGAGCATCTTTGCGATCTGAGTTATTCGTGTTCGGTGATCATGCGATTGAAACAGACGCATGCGGCAGGCAATTAGTGGGAGTAAGACAATTGAGTTTTGTCAAAACGATAAACTTTTATATGAAATTGAAAAAGTTTTGTTCACTTTAGCGAACAAACCCTGTATATGACAATCGTGATCTATTAAAGCTTTTCCGTACCTACTTGATTACAATATAATTTCTCTTTTTGGTTTTTTTCCACGCTGTTCAGTGGATAATTATTTTGTAAGTGTATTTTCATGTGATATTTTCTAAATACTACAAATTTATTTGTCCAGATTCACTGTGAAACTAATAAAGTCATTGTACTTAAAAACTTTTCTATCATACGTGTTGCATACGTTGGGCGTAGTGTATAAGTCAGCTCTGTGCTATTAATTTTCATTCATTTCTTTTGATTGAAAGCAGAGGAACAGAGACCGGACGAATGCTCTACTTACCCATTGTTCTTTCACTTATTTCTGGTATTTCGCATCTGGTACCCTTGTAGCCCGGTAGACAATGACAAGTTATGGCCGCATCACCAATATGTCTGAAGGTATAAGCGAGCAAAAACATAAAAAACATAATAAAGAATTATAACCTGACAATAAATAGCAGAATTATTTGAGTTGGTTCTCAAAAATTTTCTATTTTAAAGTTCATCTAACTCTACTTTTTATTTATTGTAGTACACGGTAGAGATTCTAATTTTAATTTTATCTAGTTGCTGTTGTAACGTTTTTTTTTTTACCGTTAAACGTTCTTTCTTCTGCGATGGAGATGGAGAGGAAACGCGACGTTTAGAAGGAGGAATTGGAGGGAGAAATTTTTGTAATTAAATTGCATCTGGCATCACAAGTCAGAAGAAGTTTTTTTATTGAAAATTAAAACTTCTGAAAACGATAGAGGGTGGCCTTAATTTGAAAGTTACTTTTCTTGTATTTAACGATTTCATTTTATTGCTATTCGGTTTAATTTCGTTTTACTTATCACAGCCATTGCACGTCATAGGTCGCACATTCGAATATATGAATGTCTGTAATGCACATAAATATGCAGGATTTGTTCGTTTCCTCATTTCCTTCTTTTCTATTGCTCTTATTTTATGTCTGCATGTTTTAATTCCGTATACAATGGCTATGCCGTGTGTTGCGCTAATAGTCCACATTTGCTTTTGTGCTTTTTTATTTTTTTATTTAATCACCCACTTGGAGGTGTCCTCTATACACGTAATCAGATGGACATTCAGAAAAAATTGTTGAGAGAGGGGGGTAAGGAGAGGCAGTAGTGGTTACGTAGGACTTCAAAGTGGAAGCATCAGAAGTAACGAGCGATGCGATTAAAGAGGAAACATGGTAGCCTGTTGTGTGCTATACAGACAAATCCAGGACACATGTATGAAACTGCCTGAATGTTGTGTAGGGCTGTCAAAGGTCTTGACTTGCTTTCCTCCAATAATTGCCCAGCAGGTAACTAATCATAAGCACAAGTCCGTACAAATTGCGCCAATGATCGAGAGAAAGGTGTTAGTTCTCGTTGCCTATGAGCATTTAAGCTTTCCCTGCACGCGGCCGAGGGTTTCCAGCTACGACCACCACTGGCAAAACACGTGCAATACTCGGAAAGAAGCTTCGGAGCACTGATTCGATTTAAGTGCGTCTACCTGTCCATCTGGCGTTGTGTTTGTTCGATATCTCCGAAATTAGCAAAAACATTGACAGTTCTTGCACAAAAGTTACTATTAAAAATGGGCCAAATTGGACTACGCACACGCCTATCACGTCATACTTTTACTTTCAAGAGCAAAAATATTAGCGTTTATTGCTTTTGGACAAAGTTACGTCATGCTCGTTCAATATTACAGAGAGCATCGGAATTTCATTGCTTTTTTTTGTCTTCCCGTTTCTTTCAAGAGGCGAGGTGATCGGCCACAGTCGATTATGATTTATTTACTTGTTTAATTGCTTATCAGTGTCACTTACTTGCATATGCCTCCATTTTTGCAGATATTGGTGTGAGGATCATTGCATAGAGGACCATAGCCGCAGTCAACACCACTAAAACCCGGAAAGCATGAACAATAATATGAGCTGGAAGTAAAGAACAGAAAACTAAACTTCAAATATGATTTTGACATTTTTCAAAAAAACTTTTAAAAACTGCTCGAAAGATGGCATTTATGAAAGCAAGCCTCAGGTTAGAATCATTTTTGATCAAAAAGATTTCCCCATTTCCCCATTCCCTCCTTTCTAGTTTTTCCGATTCATATTTATTTGTCTTTTATCTAAGGATTGTTATGATTCTTGCTACCCCAAGCACTCAGTTATGTGTAAATAGCGCAGATCTACGCTCAAATTTTAATTCTCAGTCGTATACAATAAAAAGTTCTTGGCACTAATATGCAAGAACAAGATCATTGTTGTTGCTACCAGTGGATTATACAGGGTACTCGTGATGAAGAGGCATCTAGTGAAGAGAGTAAGGATTTCAACCAGATTTGAAAAAAAAAATTGATTCCCTTCAAGTTACGATGAAAATTAATAGCGTGATTGTTATCATTGGTTTTGTATTTCAACACAATGTTGAATTTAATATTTCCTAATGAAATTTTGAGGTTAACTTACTCTTTCATTTATATGCATATTTGAATGAAATTTAAGCTACTTTTCATCAACTTTTACGCGTTACGGCTACGGGTTTCAATGTAGTACGGCACCTATTGCCTTGGCTTGCATTACTTCAAAGTCTCTCATAAGGTAAGATAGCTTTCGATGGAAAGCAATACAAACTGCCCTGATTTATGTTATATCTAACGTTGTATTGTATAATTTTACATGCTATTGTAGTTCGGTAAAAATGGTTTCGATGCAGCAAGCGTCTGCAGCTCAAATCAATTTTTATTGCAGTTAGGAAATTTCGCACCAGTTTTTCTTCTTTTGTGTTCGATTTACTCTAAGCATTTTTTCTTTCCCTGTAACTCAATCATTTTTGAATTTTTTTTGAACATTTTTTAAAGGTTTTTTTTTTCCTTTGCGTATACATCGCATAATAAGCCCCTGTGGTCATTCTTGTGGTGAAGTGCATGCTATTTACGTATCCATAGCGATATGTATTGACATTAAAAATATGAAATTTCTTAATCTATCCATAGGTAATCCGAGAATGTGCTTACTATAAACACACAAAAAGTACACATGCCTTACAACAATTACATCTTTTAGACGTATAATCATAAACTTGTGCGCTTTAGTTATTCTAAAGTTTAGTACCCACCCTTTTACATTATCTCGAAAAGTATAGGGCATAGTTATCAATAATACTTTGAAGAAGTTACTTGTAAGAGACATTTTATCCTCCCAACAACGAACTGAAACTCGTAAAGATTCGAATTGCATCACGACGGATTCCATTACATTTTTCTGATCTCACTTACGTAAGTTATATATTTTTAGATTTATTGGTAAAATAGAAAAAAAAAAAAAAAATATGAAAAACAACATAAAGAGATAACTATAATGACAACTTGTACACATACGTTACTATTGACACAATCCTAAATGTAAGATATTAAGTGCATATATGAGCACATTTTTAGATGCATGCATTTGTGCGAGTACGTAACCAAAATTTAGGTTAAGAGTTACCAGGTTCTCACTCTATTTATATGACGGCTTTTGCCTTTAATTTATATAGAAGAAATAGTTTGTGTAGAAGAGTTTTGATGCCGGTTCCTAAGCATGTATTTGTTCTAATGTTTCTTTGCAGATACGAATGTTTTGTTTCTTTATGTTATGCGTTATATTTACGTTTTAAGAGTGTAACAGTGCTGCACATGCGACATGTCTTCAAGTAAGATTTTTTCGTTGTGCAAATTTCTTAATTAAAAAATAAAAAAAAAAATTTCAAATAAAAATGAAAAACATTCGAGCAATGAAATGATTATCTGAAGAACAACGCAACAAAGCAATAGTAGGGTATGAAGTAAATTCGTATATCTTGGAAAACATATTCGATATCCTTTATAATCGTCTAACGCTTAAAGCGACTCGCATACGATTAAAAATTTTCCAGTCTTAAATATCTGAAACGATAAAACATCTGCCTAAATATTAGATCGATATCTGAAGATGTTAGTAATTAAAGTTTTGAGTAACAACAGGTCCGTGGACTATCCGTCGTCTTATCTATTTTTAAATTATGTTTGTGATATCGAACATAAAATATTGATAGCCTCTTTACAGGAGTGCCCGGTTCCATTTGCTTCCGTTAGAACTATGCCGTTCTTCTTTCAAATTTTATATTTTTACATGTTACACCGATCGTTACATCGTGAGGCTATGCTTATCTGACATTCTGAGAGGGCATATTAATGTGGTCGAAACTAATTCATGCCAACGCCGAGAAGGAGACACTGGAGACCCAACAAGGTATTTATATTTTTGATAACTATCAAATTTTGAATCGGTGTAGGCGTGCTTGTCCATCTGCCTATTTGTCTGTCTGTTTGGTTGTCTGTGCTAAATATATTCCCGGTCTTAAAAATTAAAGTATCGTCCTTAAAACCTGCGAAACATTGGAAGTATATTCGGGTAGGTGGAAAAGTGCCAAATCGTTTGAAAGACACGCCCAGAGTACAATATGAAATGAGAACATCTCTATGTGAAAACGGAAATTATATTTAGCTGCGACAAAATTTTTTATCACTTACCGCGTTTACGCTGCATAATATTATGTGGGAGCGGCTGATAGTTTTCAATTTCGCGGGACATACGTAATTTGTGTATTTATAAGTACTGACCAGAAACCTAGAAAGTAGTGGCGATGTCAGTTTATGTAGGCGTGTCGTTTGACTTGATCTGTTTCTGCCAAATTTGATGACGGCACTTGCACTTTTCCGATCAGGAGAATATTTACGTCAGAAATTAAACAGAAAGGCAGGCGGCAAGCGGCTCTATGGTCGAAATTTATTACGATAAATTCAAATGTAAAAATGTTTATAGGGTATGGGGATCGAACCATGTTCGCTTGATTTTCAGATTAGCGTTCATTAGTTCAATTACTATTTTCAATCGTTTTTTTTTACCTGTGTGGTGTACCGGGTTTTTCAACTTGGGGCGTTCTATCGGAAGTGGCCATAAAAATGGACGACAACAGGCTTCGCGGTAAAATATGCCATGCTTCCGGGTTTCATTAAAGCGACGCGGGAATAAATAAGTTGACCATAAGAAAGTATGGACAGTGGTTGGGCAAAAAGATGGACAGATAGAATTAAATTAACACAAAAAAACATTCTGAGTCGGTTGGCTTAAAAGAAGATAGGTCTCTCCCATGTCATTTTACATGCCGCACATGCGGTCGTACAAACTTACAGTAAGTGTACAGAATATATAAGTATAAGGTGGCTCTTGTGTGTAACAGTAAAAAATGGATGGTTGATCGTTAACTTTCGGCTTTTTTTTGAGAGGGCAACTCGCCCGAAATCGATTGGCGAAAGTTTTCGTTGCGGATATTTCTGTCTCCCTAGCATCACTCTATTTATTGCATTCATAGTTGCTGATCGGAGATTTTATTAAATCCTATGAGCATTGCAGGACTATGACGCTTGAGAGTTATGTAATTATATTAGATTCGCCATAGAGTTATGTAATTATATTAGATAATCAATATAAAATTCAATTAGTCTTTAAAGCCTCTTTATGGATGCTATAAACCACGTGATAACATAATAAAAATAGAGCTCCAGATGTACAGGCACAGGATATGTAAAGACGATAAGTTAACTCACTAACCACAACGAAATCGTAAAGAATTTTTTAAGCTCTTCGTTCTAAATTCGTTCAATGTCTATAAATAAGTTCATTTAGTATGTTTAGCGAATATTTTGAATCCATAAATTTGTTCGTGCATTTATGGTAAGTTTGAAAACAGTATTAAGAGACTCTTTTATGAATCATAATAAAAATGCAAACAATAAATAAACAGCGATTTTTTTTATATGCTCTTCACGAGCTTGACAATTTGCCAGAATACTGTGACAAACAGTAATCGCAGGCGCTAAAAAAACAAGGATTGTTGTCGTAGTTAAACAAAAGCTCTTGTATCGCAAGCTGATCTCTTTGTTAATTTTCTTTTTTATGTATAAAAATATACACAAATCAATAGATTTTATATTTATAGTTTTGAACATTCAATATTTTATAGACATAAACAAAAAAAAAAAAAAATGTTAATTACAAACCAGGTTAACTTAGAATGAATGTGTGAATATGTGTTTGTCCAATGGAAATATGTTCTTGATTAGAAATTACGAGTTGTCCTGGCACATACAGAATCTGCCCAAATCATGCTAACCAAAAATGTAGATACCTTTTAGGGTCTCTGAAACTTTCTTCTGCAATACATTTTCTAACTCGCATTGAAAAGACTTTTCATTATGTCAATTACTACCTCTTCATAACCAGATACCTTTGCGGAAATCATGCAATTGATGAAATATTGAAAACTAAATTTTCTGTGCGCAAAGTGTGATGTAACAAAGCAAATGATTTTCAATTCTTTAATTCTCGGTGCCAGAGAAAAGGAAGAAAAACAGTAGAAACTGTTTTGGGAAATAAAGTTTTAAGGATAAATTAAGCAAATTTTGTTCTTCTTCTTTCACAAGCTTGAGATGTGTTAATACTAAATATGATAAAGGGATTGTGTGTCAACGCATTTTATTATTATTTTAAAACTTTGTTGTGACACTTCATGGGTTTCAGTTCCTATTCTAGTCTTTGTTTATCTTTAGAGCAGGATAATGGAAAGGCGGAAAAGCATTTCCTACTATTATACATGTTGATTCGCATCTGATGCGACGGCGATAGACCATACCAGACCGTACAAGTAGTTATACAACACAGTTTCATAGACTTATGTTCGCCTTTACGTAGACATATGTCAGACTTTAATACCTTAATACCTATAATCTGGTATACTGTTTATTTACTTTTCCGATTGATGTTCTTTCACATATAACGTCACAGTTTTAACACTTAGACTTGACTTCACTTCGCTAATACTTTAAGCCTACAAAAATATTCAAAGCCAAAAC